ACTCTTTGCTTCACTGTGAGTACCATCTTTACCTTTGCACTGCTCAACTCACACTGAGACAGCCTGCCTTAAGCTCAGGTTTGGGTAGTATGATGTGCGTACACAGAGAGTGGTTATATGCATACATCCCCCCCCCTGTCCAATTATATCCACTTGTTATTTTTCTTCCACTCTCCCAATTTTTGTATTCACTCTTTTATTTACTTTTCTTTGCTGTGTTTCTTGGTAACCTAGAAATCTGTTCTCCAAGCTACTTTTATTTGTCCTACCCTGTATAATTTCATAATTCAATAAAAGCCTGATTTTGAATGCTACAATTATTCTTTGATCTTTAACCCTCTGAGCGTTATGGGCGGCTTTATCCGGTCAAGAGATTTTTTGTCATTTGTTATATATTAGCATATAATTTATGATATTTTGCTTTCTTATTTCCTTTAATAATATAAATATCATCTTAATAAATGTAAGTTTATGAAAATAGAGCCTAAAGTAAGTAAATATACAAATTTAGCTAATAAAGTGTCTTTGAATACAGGTCTTCATGACAGATCCAAAAACCCATGCCGCTCAGAGGGTTAAGGGTTGGTATACAGATGTGTAGTGTTTGGTAGGAAAAAAAAATATTTTACATTTTTCATTTTAATTCTGTTTATATGGGATAGAAGGGTAATCCATAATGAGCACAACTTTTGTTATAAATATTGTAAATAAAGTCAGCAGTTTTATCATAATTTCAGATGTCATTCAAGCTGATTTATTGGATTTTTGCACCACATCATTTTTATTAATATTTGTGTTCTTAAAACACATTTACTTTTTTTGTCTGTTTTGCAACTTTTTTTTTTTTTTTAATCTCCAGTCACATTTCGGCATTAAAGCACTATAAATTGCTTTTGCAGAACCTTGCTTCTGTTGCATTTTTAAGTTTTTAAACTATCTTTTTGGCAATCCTCAAAAATCATAGTTTTTTTCATATCAGACATTTGAAACTTTGACTTCAGATTTACCCCATGATTTGACTGCTTTGAGTTTTTCATGACAACAGAAGTCCACTTACAAAAATATTATCTGCACCTACAAAGTTAATATTTGTCAAAAATAATGAAATCAGTAATGTTTGCTTTCTTCTGTTTCATTCCCCCTTCCTTTTTTTAGTTTTTTCCCCCTGTTGCAGTTCTAATTTTTCCTGATTTTGTTTTTGCTCCAATAGTATTTACAATTAAAACGAGCTTTTGAAAGTTTTTTGAGCTGGCTTTGTCATCTTCTACAGGACTGGTTATTTCAATTTTGTTATTTTTAACACCCATCTTTTGCTTTTAGATGCCACAGGAAATAATCAAATTATGAAAAAGAATACGTACCTTGTATTTTTTGGCACCTGATCTGTTCTAAAGATAGAATGGAACTCCAATATGAATTATTCAAAATTAGTAGAAGAATTCAGATGACTATCTTAACTGTAAGGGCTTCATTTTACAGAGCATAGAGAAAAGGCTGGGTATGCTTAGTATAAGTAACACAAGAAATTCATTCTTGCATTACTTATACTGGCTACACACACACACACACACACACACACAAAAAAAAAAAAAAAAAAAAAGAAGAAGAAGACTCAAGAAAAAATCAATAAAGCAGTCATCTTCTTTTACAACCTATTTGTTCTGAAGTGAAAGAATGGAAGTTCTACAAAACTTAAGTACAATGGAGTTGGCAAAATATGAGTAGTATAAGTAATGCAAGAAATTCATTCTTGCATTACTTATACTACTCATATTTTTAAAGAAGATGAGTGAATGATATTAAAAGAAGATGAGTGTTTTATTGATTTTTTTCTTGATAGTCTCTCTCCCTTTTTTTTTTTTTTTTTTTTTTTTTTTTTTTTTTTTTAACAATAGCCAAACTGTTTAGAAAGTTATTTTACCATTTCCATTACTGAGAGTGCCAGTTGCCAAAAGCTGAAGTAAACTGATGTTCTATCTTAATGTAACGATTCTTTTGTTAATTCTTCTTTTCATTACCATTGACATTTTTCAGTTCTCTGGATACTTTGTGTTTCTCAATATTCCTACATTTACCAGCCTGAATTCCACACTTTCTCTTCAGAACAAGAGTACCATAATTTTTTTAAATTATGCTTTCTTTTAATCTTTTATCTGAATGATTGATCTCTAAGAAAAATTTTAGATCAGCATTTTCCTCTGTCCATTATTGAGAGTATTCATTTGTGGAATGTGAAATGCATTGACGTCCTATTTCAAGGGTCTGTAGATGTAAAAATTTTCTGTTTAAAAAAGGTGTCTTCTAATGTGTATTAACCATTGATGGACTGTATAAACAATTGAATATATATGAAAAGTAATTACTCAAAAGATTATGTGGGAATCTTTTCAAAACCAATTTTTTTAAGTTTGGGAACATTGTTTAAATATATGAAATATAATGAAAGGTATTAAATAAATCTCTCACTAAACATTTCTCACTAATTTGCCTATTATATTAGAAATAATGCACTATCTTAGTAAAATTTTCTTTAAGAAAATTAAAAAAAAAAAAAAAAAAAAAAATACGATAAAACAAGGTGAGCAATATTATCTCAAAATTCTGTTTTAAATACAGAGATAAAATTATATTGGTTTTTATTAAAAGGCGTTGTTCATTTACTTCAATTACATTAAAATATGTGGCTTTAAGACTTACTTTAGATTCTAATAAAGTTATGAATATGAATTTAATATTACATTAATTAACTTATCTGAAAAAGCACACTGTGTTTTTGTGTTTTAGTTATTTTTAGAATATTATCAGGGGTTTGTGTGGGGGGAGAAAACTGGGCTTTCTCAAAGCTGGGTTTTGAAGTATTATAAATATTATGTTCTGAATCTTCAAAAATTTTAACTGAATACTGTGCTTCTTGTATTCCCTTCCCATATTTTGCAGAATATTATCAGCAAATTGTGTGAGGGGCAATAAGATAAAACACTTCTCAGCCTATACTTTTTTAAATAAACAGAAATACATTATTTACAGTAAGTCCAAAGCTTTGTTTAAAAAAATGTTTGTATGTCCTGTTTTTTCCCCCTTCTCCCCATTATGTTTTTGTTTATATGCAATAACTGTATGATTTGATATTTACTTGAAAGTATTTTTAATTAATTTTAAGATTTTTGATTTTTTAGCCTTAGAAATGACATATAACAAAAGTTTTTCATTTAATTAAATATTTAATTATTCATGTAAAAATGTTTGAAACTATGCTGTACCCTAATATTTTTTAATTCACTGTATTTTATTCTTACCAAAAAGGTGCAGGTAATTTAAAAGAGAGAGAAAAATTGCTAGGCAGATAGCCCTTGTATACTTTGCCATATTTAATTAACCTAACCAATTTTCACTCGAATAAAAATTTTCTTTATGTTATTTTACTTGTAAAGACCTCTATAATATATTTTCCAATTGCATATGCTAAAACCAGTCAATAATTAAAGGCAGGTTGAGGGGAAGAAACAAAAAGAAAATGCTTGACTTTGTATCTGAAAAAAGTGCAGTCGACTGCATCATTCAGTAATTTCAAATCTATATATCGTAGAAACAGCTTTCTTCAGTATACACCAGGAGCTATACAGCAAGAGGAAAATGTGCCAACTAGGGTGACTGATCAACATCCTCTGTATGAAAGAAGGTCAGGACAGCACAAACAACATGTGCATTATCTTGTTGAAATGTGGCATCATACAGGCCTCAAAGATAGGGAACAGTCAAGGGCCTTAACAATAGTAATGTAATTGAAGTTGACCTCATTATTATCCTACAATACATGTATAGCTTGATGCTAAGACACTTGTCATCTTGCATGCAAGCTAAGTTCTTGCCGCAAATGCAAGCTGTTAATGTTTGTTGTTTTTGATGCTTCCACACATGTAAGTTAAAAGATATATTGATCATCAGGATGCTGTGTGCATTATGATGCTATAAGCAGAACCAGGATTTTGTCTGAAAAAATTACATGGTGTCACTCCTGTGCCCATTGTCATCATTCATTGTATCACCTAAACAAACCTGTCTTTGCTACAGTGTCAAGGAAAGCTGTAACAATGGTCTCTATGCTGATAGTCTGTATTGGTGCAGATGTTGTTGCTTTGTCCATGCAGATGCTTGCCATCTTGTGCACAAGCCAAGTTCCTGTTCTATGGCCCTGACATCAGCATATGTGACATTTCAAGACTGAGAAGACAGTATGTCTGTCCTCTTGGGCATCAGGACCACTGAGGTACTGTTTGACATTTGAGTATGGCCCCTCTTGGAAGCATTGATTCCATATCTGCCAGAAAACCATGTGATCTTGATTAATACAAAAAGCAGTACCATGGAACAATAAACCGCAATTCCAGTATGCCATTGGCAAGAAGTATAACATGATCGATGCACAAACAATCAATGTTCAAATGTGATTTACAAGGGTAAAATCTGCTGTGTAATCTTCCCATTTATGTAGAGTGTAAATGGTATTACTCATACCTGCTTTGTGTGCGTACACTGGAATGCTAATCATTTGCATGTCCCAGTACGTAGTACCTTTCATGCAAATTTGATGTTTGTTGCATGCTGACTTCGTGGTGTAGTAATTTAGATGGCCAGGATTGTATATTTATTTGTAAAAACATTAATTAAATGATGCAAGCCAAATTCTTATTGATTTACCTCAGTCTTTTTTTTTTTTTTTTTAATGAAAAATCTGTTTCATTATTTTTTAAACCATACATAATGGTGTCTCTAGGAAAATCTACATGCGATTCTGGAAATTTTCTAAATTCAGTGTGGCTCCTACTGTCATGAAGTTTGTCCACCTCTGATATATATATTTGTCAGAGTTTATTTAGGGAATTAATCTTTTGAAAGTGTTTTAAAAATACATCTGAAATGTTTCTTATGTATTTTTCTGTAGTTGACTGAAATATTTTTAATATTTCTCATATTTAATAGTTTGTTTTTGTTACTTTCAGTTCCAGCTAGAATTGACTATCCAGCAGATAAAAGGACATCTACTTATGTTAAAGAACATCATTCAATTACTTTAGAATGTGTGGCTCTAGGTCATCCACAGCCTACTCTGGCGTGGTTCAAAAACGGTTTGCCCCTTCTGGAACATTATAATGCAGTGAGTTTATTTCATCACCTTTTTACTTGAAAAATTGTATTTTTGTGATAGTGCAAATACTTGAAATAACCTTTGCAATAAATTTTACACTCTATAACATAAAATGCGATATGCCAAGGAGGAGTTATCTAAATGGGAGAAAAATTGATAGATGTGACGAGCATGTATTTAAAACGAAATGCTAACAGTGTCATAGGAATTTAATGTTTTATTCAGAAAATGCAGCTACAAGACAAAAAAAAAAAAAAAAAAAAAAAAAAAATCAATAATGCATTATCCCACCTCTGGCTCTCATGCAAGCTGTTACCTGGCTGGGCATTTACAAGTAGAATTGGCAGATGACTTCCTGTGAGATGTTTGATATACACATTCCAAATGGCAAGTTAGATCAGTGAGATAAAAGGACATTTGGAAGCACCTGCTATTCAGAGCCCAAATATGCTCTCTGTTTCTTTCTTCCCATTGATGGCAAGCAGCCAGTGTACTGGGGCAGTTAGCATATCAGCCAGGTGACCCTGCTGATGGAATTAACTTTGCAGCAAAAGTTCCTGGCCTGCAGGCTCCCCAGGGCAAATAGGTAAGTGAGCTGATGTGTTTCAGTTCTTTCTGAAAGTTTAAGTCCTCAAAAGACTTTAGCAAGATGAGTGCTGAGCAAGTAAGTGGTTTAAGGATGGAAGAAGGGTCCAGTGCAGGTGAGGAGAACAATTTCCATTTCCACATGTAAATTTCACAATTTCAGTTCAATGAAATAGAAATGGAAAAAGACTATTAATGGGCTTCCACAATGTAAAAAGTAATAAATTCTTTATATAATTACAATACAGGTGAAGATATGATTGAATCGCATGGATATACTTGGTCTAGTCAAACTAGTCAGCTATATAATGCATTAAGTGTGATAATAAATCATTAACAGAGTTACTGACACAAAACATAAAAATACTACATTGAGTAAGGCAGTAAACTCAATTATTCAGGATTAAATTAGAGTATTTGACATTAATTTAAAAGTGAATTTGTGTGTGTGCATGTGCAGGATGGAATGGAATGGGCAGATGGGTGGACTTTAAAGCATACTGATTTTGAAGTGACTTCGGCTCATGTATGGACATACTTTGCTGCTGGCTGTCTAAGGTGATGTTCTGCAATCTGTTTGCAAATGAATGCATAGTTATCCTGCCCTCTTTCCATCCTGCTTGAGTACTGGCCATTTTCATGTCATCTAAAGCAATGGTGATAAGTCATGAGAAGCCCATTCCCTGTTAGGAAATGAGTAAAGTCAGATGAGCTACTTCTTAGAAGCTGACCTAAATTTTGGAAAACAATCTGTATTCTCTTCTATCAGTATTCTTTTGGGATCAGATTGTATTAGCCTGAATCCTGTGTAAAAGGGGAACAGAATTTATATCCCAGCTGAGATAAACAAAGTTTCTAAATAACTTGAGAAAAACTGGATTTGAATTAAAATCTGTAACTTAAATTCTAGATTTAAAATCTGATAACCTTGGAAGAACATTTGCGGGGGCATCTTTGGTGAGATTGAGAAAAAGAACTTAATATCAGCCTTTGCTGCTTATAAAACCAGCATTGGTGTAGCTTTCTCTGAATACTCCATTTAATCCTGCAAGCATTAATATGTTAACAAGAACCCTGCTTGGAAATTGCAGAACAGCAAGTAATTTTTTTCATCTTTATTTCATTTAGTAATTTCAGTATTCAAACAAAATTTTGGAAGGCAATTCATTTCAGGTTTTAGCTTACTGAAAACAGGGAAAAAAAATTATTCAAGTTGCTGACTTTTGTTCTATTTCAACTCTTCTCAACCCTCCTAACAGCTGAAAAATTATAAATAGATATAAATGGGATTTGTACTCATCTCTGTTTCTTATGATCATATTACAATTGGGTCTCTTGTTGCTATATTTTCCAGCAAACATTTTAAATATACTGTGTATTCTGGCATATAGCATGCATTTTTAAAAAGTAAGACTGAAATTAAAGTTGTATGACAGATATGAAAAATGATAGATTTAAAAAATAGATTCCTGCTTTTAATTACTGCTGTTTATTTAATAAGAAATTGGGTAGCTTATGAACTAAAACTTTTCATTATCAAATACCATGAAAAGTTCATCATATTTATCTTTCTTCAGAATATCTTCAGGCACATTATCGAATTTCATTGATCCATAAATAATGAAATTTCAAAGTATATTGGGCTTAATTCCGTTCCATGTTTTCAACTCACACACTATTTCTAGACTGGCTTCATACATTTGGCCTTCTTTTGTAAATGATTTTTCACCTTCTAACACCCACATATTTTGCTGTCATTTTAAATTTCCTTTAAATGGTTTATTGATACACACATCATACATCTGAGCTAATGACATTAATCTGGTTTGAATAACTGTGATGTCTGTGTTACACACTTTCATCAGTTTCTTCTTATTATTTGTTAGTTAGGTTGTTGTGATGCATGCATTGTGTTAGATGTGATGATATAATGATGACATTAATATAAACTTGTCTAAGTGGCTTACCCTAGGTAGGCTCCTAGTCTTTATCATGGTAAGTTGTCCCCAGTACAAAAACAGAACAAGACTTAATTAACTTTACAAAGACTGTTTATTAATTCCTACATGTTAGACCGAGTTCCATATTGATTTTTACTTCATTGTACGAAGTAAAAAGGAAGTATTGTAATCGCAAAAAGTTTCAGGCATCTTATTTTAATGAAAGTATCCATTTTGACCGCTATCAAATGCAATTTAACGATGTTTTTGTGTGACATCTGTACGTAAGGACAGAATTAAAGATTCTTTTCTCCCAAAAAAATTATAAAACTTATTTTAAATGAATTCTGAAGAGAATTTTTCGTGGCGTCTGTATGTTTCTACGTATGTATCTCACATTACTGAAAAATAAGTAGCCTCAGAACGTTGAAATTTTGTATTTAGGACTGCTATAACATGTAGATGTGCACCTCGTATTTTGGTTGCAATCGGCCGCATATCCACTTTGTTACCCGGCTCAGTGATCTCAGTTTCTGTACTCTTATATGTTTGTAAGCTGTGCCTTTTGTGCATTAAAAATGATTGAATTATGTTGTTCTTATCTTCCGGTTAAGGTTTTTATGCCTTTAGTCAATTTGCATGCAATATTTGTGGAGTTAACAAAAATTTTAAAGTTGTTTAAGTGCAGCTAAGTGTAATTATTTTTACGATGGCTGACATGTTTGTTTACATTTCTAGAGGATTTGTTGCCAATCTAGAGAAACTAAGCTTCGCAACAACAGAGATGACGCCTTCTCTTATTATTGTGAATTAAGTCATGTTTAATCCATTCTGGAATTTATTTGAGGAAATAAGTGTTTAAAATTTACTTCGTAATTTTTAATATAGATATTTTGAGTTTTTATGTATTTTTGCCTTGTCAAGAAGTGAGAACTAAATTAATTGAAAGAGAAATACTGAATCATCTGAGGAAAACTTTTTTTTTTTTTTTTGTTTTGTTGTTGTTGTTGTTGTTGTTTTGTTTGCTTAATTTCTTTTATACATCGTTTTAGATTTATTATAGTATTTGAATAGAACATGTGGCAATGATTAGATAATTATTCAAATGATATAAATTTATATGCATTCGGAGTTATAATATGAAAGAAATGTAACGTTGTTAAGTGAACTTAGTGCCAAAGTGTCGCTATGGTAAACAAATATAGTGCATTTATTCTATTGTGGTTTATGCACTATCTTTGAAGTAGATTTAATTCAATCCAATAAAGTTTAAATGAAATGCAAGAAAAATGCATATAATTTAATATTCCATACAAGGTGGTCATGTTGTGTACACTTCAGATTTTTACTTGCCAATGTAGAACCTTCCTCTTATTCTTGGCAATGAAGAGCAGAATTCATGTGCTCCAGTTGTAGCTTCTAGTACAATACCATCATAATAGCAGCCAACATCACCTGGTCAGATGCAATTGCTTATTGTTATGCGCACTTGACTGCAACATGGTGAGTGCCGAACAAAAAAGTCAGGCCCGGGTACTGTGATCACAATTTGGACATCTTGAACCCCCAAACAGTAACTAATCTTGAGGTTCACAAATTCCTGCCTTTTATTAATACAGTTAAGTAAATGTTAAGCATCTCAATCAATAAAAAAATTCCACTGTTAGAAGAACAGGCAATAATAAAATTCCTCTTGCTTATCAGACAAACTGAACTGATATGATTTCTGGTCAGATGCTATTGCTTATTCACGTTACATGAAATAAGTTGGTGAAGAACTCTGTCGGCAGAAGAAACTGATGAAATCTCTTGCCTCTTCACATCATCATCTGATGCAATCATAAACGTTGTAATAATTCAAAAACTTAAATCAGTGGGACCATATCACAGGGATCTGAACATGTTTTTTTTTGGATTCTGTAAGGCAACAGAATGCTTTTTCCAAAAATGTGGTTTAAAATTATAGATGCATGTTATACACTTGAATACATGGTAATCTTTAATATGAATGAAAGCATCATTTGGAAAAATGCATTTTGACATCATGTTTCTTTTAAAAATAACCATGCATTTTAATTTTGTACCATGTGCTAAGTAGGAAAGGACTTCAGTGAGGTGAGACTTTTTGTGTCATATTGTTTTTATGTGAACCATTTTATATTCCCTTCACATCAATTATTTTATTTCCCATCATATAAAACATTGGAGTTTCATCCATATTTCCAATATGGCAGAGTAAATCATTTTTCCCCTTTTTTCTGTGCTTAGGACAATAATATACTTCTGGAAATTTATCCATTTTTTGTCCAAATTTTTTTGGAAACCTTTAAAAAACTTTTTTTTTTCTCCTAGAAACTAAATTATTCTGTGCCTAAATTGACTACATCAAGGTTGCATTGCTATAAAGTTTCCTCGTTAGCATTTTTTCTTCCCCATTTCAAGGCAAATAAAAATGTGCTGTTTCTTGTTACAATTAATCCATTCCGGGGCTTTTCTAGAATCTAGGTCACAGCACTTTCTTCTAAGATAGGCCATTTCATTACTCCTTTTCACAAAGCATGTTTATTCTTTAGCATATTGGCTATTGTGATTTCATTTTTTTTCGACTTGTGTATAGAACTTTTACTAACACAAAACATCCTTGCTACAGCATGATTTCCATTTTCTTTTTCAAATAGAAGGATTATCTATTTAAAACCAGTGCTGTGTTTTTTTTTTTTTAACCAGAACCATGTTTACTACTAAAAGAAGCACTAAAACAATTAGTATTTCAATTAAAACAAATGCAATTTACTAAAATCTTTTGTGTTCACTTCAAAATTACAGCTTCAAATGACTGGAGAAAGAGAAACCATCTGATTCTTACTTCTGCAAATTCATTCAGGTAAAAAGTGCATTCTTACCCCAAAATGCATCTTCTTTTTCTTGAAAAACCTGAAATAATGTTCTAGTGCACAATTGCACTGAATGTAAACCACCCTGTTTTCAAAATTATTTACTCAAGCAGTCCATACACACACACACATATTGTTCCCCTGATTCTGTATGCCATTGTTCGAAAGCCTTGGAAAGATCTTTGAATGAATGACAATGATAAGATCATTGCACTTTCAGGTTTCTTTGTAAAGAAAAGGATGAGTATTTTATGGAGAATATACCTAAAAATATGATTTAAAATTTTAGGTGCTTATTATACACTTAAATATATGGAAATCATATATTTGCTTATAAATTGTGAAATAAAAAAATCATTTATATCCTTGCTTAAATTTAAAAATAATTCTTGATTAAAATTCTTTTGTACAACAAATTTCTTAGACTTTTCTAAGCAGTGGGAAGCTGAAGATTTTTGATGCCTCAACATATGATACAAGTGTTTATTCCTGTCTTGCACAAAATGAAGCTGGGATGGATGAAAGATCATATAATTTAACTGTATATAGTAAGTCAAATGAATACTTAAACTTTTCCTACCTATTGGAGCTTTATTAACTGTACTGAATCTTCCTTTAACACAGTTGTTTTTCTTTTATAAGTATTATATAATATATAAAATTTTCTTTAAATAAATATAGTATTTCTTTTTCTTATTTTCAAATTTCGGAGTGTGAATCCTATGCATACTGAAATTTAAAAAAGAGGGCAATTTAATTTGTTAACTAAGTATAAATGCTTACAATTTCAATATAATATTTTTATTTAGTTTTATTTATTAGAAATTCTTATTAAAGAATACATTTTTAAACACCATTTCATTCTGAATGAAATCAAATTCTTTACTTCAATGCTCAGAACAGTTTTGTCACAGATCTAGGGCAAAATAAATTCGTTTCATGGTACTAAAAATATTAAAACTGAGTGACAAGCACCAAGTACTGCTCAGGGTATTCTAACTTAAAACTTTTGCATAAAGTCATAAATGATAAGTGTTGAATTTTTTTCTAGTTATCTAAAAAAATATTTTATTAGAAAATTGTGATAAAGCCTTCTTATAAGAATCATTTGTCAAATTTTTGTGTAAACATTAACTTAACTGAAAATGCATTACCACATACTTTGAAATTTTAAGAATCTTTTTGAATATAATAAATTGGCTGTGTTATTTTTTCAGTTCCTCCACTTATTAATGTGTCTTCTCATGGCCTTCATAAAGTGACTTTGCAGAATACAGAGATCACTCTTGGTTGCCCAGCAACAGGTATTCCACCCCCTCGAGTAATATGGTATAAGGGATCTCAGATGCTGCTACCAGGTCCTAGAATTTCCTTTTCAAAAGATGGAGAACACTTGAAACTATCTCATGTGACAACAGCAGATGCTGGAAAATATGTATGCTTAGCAGTTAATGAAGCTGGAGACACAGAAGCAGAACATTTTGTTAAAGTGCATGGTGAACTTCAGTATTTAATATTATTTAGTGCAGTAAAAGTAACTAATAAAGGGGGTGGGAAACAGTATTTCAGATCATTTTAAAATTATCTGTTATTTCATAACTAAGCTTGCATTTTAGTTGATTTTAATAGCAATTATAAAGAATGTTACATTTTAATGGTTTTCTGGCCTGCATTAACTAACTTGTTATTGAAAGAAACAACAGTTTTACAATCAGTATTGTTTTGTCTAATTTGGCAGCAAGAGATGCATTAATTATGCTTTTTACATACCAAAACTGTATGTAAAAAGGATTCATTGATCAATATGTCTATTTCTTCTTATAATTCAAGTACAGGATGTATGTTTTGATGTGCATTTAACATTTTGTACACAGTAATAAAAATGTTTGAATTATAAAAACAAAAACAGAAGCATTCTTTAATTGCAAAGCAGGTATTTGATGGCTGTTCAAGATATAATTCTTACCTATAAATATTTCATAGATCTGAATCCAACAATGCAGCTGTGTTTATAACATCTATTATTTCCCTTCATTTAATTTATGACCTTAATATTTCAAAATTTATTAAGTTAATTTATTACCTTGATTTCAAAATTAATTTATTACCTTGATTGGACAAAATAATTTCTAAAATTATTCAAAATAAAATTCTAAAATAATTTTGTCCAAGGGTATGTAGGCATTTAATAAAAGAGTTCTGTAAAAATTAGAATAGAGAAAGAAATTAAATATCTATGTAATAGTGTTTTGTATTATAGCAGATTATTTCCAGTGAGTGATAAATTAATTTTTTCGGTGACTGACAGTGAAGTATGAAACTCTATCACTGATACATTCTCTGTGTAATAATGCTATATTTATTTGCACGCAAAAATATAAGAATTTAATTTTATTGCCAGAGTAATAAACAGAAATGTAAATATAAAAAACTTACAGTTTGGAATATCAGTATTACATGGATGGATGTATTTTTTTAAATGCCAGCTATTACTTTGCCAAAAGGAGAAAGTTCAAAAACATGATAAAAAGGTAGTTGAGCGGGAAAAAAAAGAATGTGAAAGGTTTCAGATTTTAAATTACGTCCAAAGGGGGCATTTTTTTAATGTTTTGTGTGTTATCTTTATTTATATTAAATATCATGTGCTACATACTCAAACTATTAAATTCAGTTCAACAGCAATATCGCAAATTAATTTTAAAATGAGCATATCTCTAGAATTTTCGATGTTTTAAAATTACGATGATAGAATTTCTGATTAAAACATTTTATCTCCACTTTACCACTATCCAAATATGAAATCAATAATAAAACAAATCTCAAATTAGGGCTTCCACATGCACATATTCTATGGAAGATTACGTTATTCAAATTGTGGTGGCTCTAAGTACTGTTGTTTTATCACAATGCGAGAAACATACATACATTTATGCAGACTCTTCATTATTTAATCTCTTTAAATATAAGACAGGGCAATAATATATGGTAGCAACAATTTGAAAAGTGATAAAAGTTTGAAAGTGATAAAGTTTTCAACGCAAAATGCCAAAACAAAATTAATAGTTCTTCAGGGCAAATTGCCTCTTTGGACTAAAAATAAAACATTCAAAAAGTATTTAAAGAAAAATCTGGCTTAATTGTGGACAGAGCTAGACTTGGCAATTCAAATGATGAACTCTAAAAAATCTTTTCCCCCGCATCCTAAATGGCTCGTAATTTTAATATTTGTATTAATTAGTCACAAAATTAATACTGACTAATTCAGGGAATATACTCATAACTCAACTAGGTGTTTTGGTACTATATTCTCCTCACGGTACCCACATTTGTTAGATAACACCTGTGTTCAATGATCTCAATCTGGTGGAAAATTGTACAAAAAAGGAAAGCTGTTATAAAGGCAAAAGGTACTCAAAAGTCCCTTATGGGTGCTGGTGGTTTGGTAAAAATTTCTGTAGATGGTTCATCAGATGAGACTATCCAACAGGGTGGAGCCAGTATTCGCATCACTCTACCAAATGGAACAACTGTACTCCAAAGCCATGGAGCAAGCAACATCACTTCCAACTTCACATGTGAATTAAAGAGCAATCCAGAAGGCCCTGAAAATTGACATTCACTTAAACGATAATGCCAGTGGACTTCAAATTTACTCAGCTACTTCTTTTATTTCTCAGAATTTCTGGCATCCTTACTTTTTCTTTGTGTATCTTGGAATCTGGATGCTGACATCAGTTCCTTTGCATTCTTTGATAGCCATTCATTTCTCAAGCCAGATGATTCTTGTAATGCCTTTCATGACACTGGCATATCAGAACACACGTTATATCACTTGGTCTGGTCTACATTTGCTTTTAATATTTTAGCAAAAAAAGTAATAAATAAATAAAGGTAACACACTTTTAATAAATAAAAGTAACACACAAAAGGCTGAAAGTCCCTTTTAGTGTAATGTAAAATCTGAAAGCTTTCAGATATACATTTTTTTTTTTTAAAGTTGAATAAACAAAACTTGTTTAAGGTCTATGATTACAGACAATAATCTGAGAATTAAAATTGTTTCATGTATTGGAATGAACAAGTATTCAAGTATTGGCATCAACTGATAGGATATGTACAGTGATAGTTAATTTGTTTGGAGTTTTTAAAGCTCACTGCAGTTGAATATACTGGCATCAAAAAACTGTGACGCCTTGAGATGAAGTGCATATTACTTTTACATTCCTAAATATTTTAGTAAAACTGATCTTTTAGAAATTTTACCAGCCATTTCAGTGATAAACTGCTGAAAATAAACTTAATCATTTTTTAATGTAATTTTTATTCTGATGCATGTATCTATATTTTATAGTTCCTCCAGTTATTGAAGAGGCATCTATTTATGGATTACCCGATCCTGTCGTTAATCAGTCTGTAAGGATATATTGTGATGTTCAAGGCCTTCCTTTTCCTAAAATATCTTGGTACAAGAATGGTGCATTAATTGATCAAAATCACAAAAGATTTAGTTCATCTGGAGGTGGACGATATTTAGATATTTTGAACATTCAAATTTCTGACTCGGGCACTTATACATGTCAAGCTGAAAATATTGCTGGGCAAGCCAAAAAAGATATCAAACTTTTTGTATCAGGTAAAACAATAATTCTATATTAATTTAAAGGGTTTTTTTTTGTGTGTGTCTAATTATTACTATTGCAAGAAAATACATCTAAAATATTTTAAATGTTTAATAATTAGTCTTGTACTCTGACAAAATATCGTATGACTTCAATGTAGTATGGGTTATTCTTGATATATACCATAATTTTATTAGTGTCAGAAGCTATTTAAAGCTTAATGCATTCCTTTAAATAAAACTTTAAAATATGTATTATCTGTTTATCAGCAATAGGTCTATAAAAAACAAAATAACAAAAACACAACAAAACAAAGACAGCAATAACAAAGACCAGTTGTATAAAAACAAAAGAAGAAAGTTTGTTTGTATATGAAAACAAAAGAAGATGTCTACAAAAACACAAAAATGTGTGTAAATAGGTATTCATAGTATCCTCTCGTTTTCAAAATTTAAAACAGAAGTTAGTAAAAATTTAAATTGTTCTAATTCCTTTTAAAAATTCAATTTTTAAATTTTTAATTTAATTTTATGCAAATGTGCCATATTAATTTTTTAAAAACAATACTGCCTGTCAGACTTATTGCAGCTTCATCCTTTTTGCTATTATTAGTTTCATTCCTATAAAATTTGGATCAAAATACAATTATACATTTCTCGTGTATACATCTTTTACATTTATATGTCATTTCATCTTTGTCCAGATTCATTTCTATTTATTTTAATAGGAAAATATTTCTTTCATATGTCATATAACTTCAGTTATACATCACTTTTGTTTGATTTGTTGCATTGATTTTACATTTCACTGTCTTAAATATAAGTATTTTTTCCGGAAATGAGGATAGGAAAAGGAAAAAAGGCATGAGACACAGTCAGGTACTGGAAAACCAGTCCATGAATAGAGAGAATACTTGAAGGGAAAAATAGATACAGATGTTTCTTCTGAATAGGATACTTCTTTAAGTAAACTAGGTGGAAGATAATTAACAGATACAAAATGTCTCAAAGTGAAAGATTAAAAATAAAATTCAAATCTATAAATATTAAGAGAACGCTGCTTTGAAATTTGAGTTAGCAAAGAAACTGGATATTCCTGTGAAAACAGTAAGAACGGTTGTTTGTGATAGGGAAAAAGTTGAAGAAAGAGCAGAAATTTGTAGGTAGTCCACTTTAAAGAAATTATTTACATAGTCAAGATGGAAAGATTCCTGAGGCCGAAGCCATTTTGTTCAAATTTTTCATTCAGCATCATGGCATCCAACATTCCAGGGAATGACCCCAAGTTAATTGAGAAGTCAAAAGAAATAGCATTTTTACTGAATGTGAAGAAAGCTTGTTTTTCAACTGGATGACTACATAAATTTAAACTGGGGCATGGAATCTCATGTCATACAGTAAATGGAGAATGAAAAAAGCATTCTTGTTGAATCAGTTGAAGAGTTGTTCAAGAATTTATCTATAGATAGATATGATTTAAAGGACACTTTTTATGTTGATCAAACTGCTCTTTTCTTTAAAATTATGCCTTCAAGAGCCCTAGTTTTCAAAGGTGATCAGTATCATGGAGTAGGAATGTCTCACTGTTTTAGTTTATGCAAATGCTCTGATGGTACACAAAAAATGACTCCTTTAGTTATAGAAAAGTCACCAAAACCAAGAACAGGTTAAAAATCTGCCATTAGGATATGAAGCAAATAAGAAAGCATAATGACTAAGATATTTTTATAGAATGGCTTAAGAAAATAGACAAAACTGTAAAATTTTACTTTTTAAGGATCAGTGCACTGCCCATCTTCAAATGACAGATTTCTTGCAAAATGTGAAATTTGCACTAGTGTAGCATACATAACCTTTAAGGAAGTAGATATATGTGTGTTTTTCAAACCATAATTTAAAGTTTTGTTTATACGGGTTTCTCATTTATACCTCATTTGTGAATGGTCGCATGAGAGACATATAAACAGTACTTCACTGTATAATTGGTAAACATTTATTAAAGTTGTCATGAACAGGTGAGAAAAATATTACAATATTTATTGCAGCTAATTTTTAAAATATATGTTCCTATGTAAACCAAAGTAAAAGAAGTTTGTTGGAGAAAAGAAAAATGTGTTTTTTTCTTGCCCAAAAAAAAATTATTTATTTATTTATTATTATTTTTTTTAATTTTATTTTTGAAATGTTTTGTGTAGAGGCTATTTACACTTGATTCTTGCATCCACATTATCATTAATCTGAGAAAGAAGTGGAAAGGAAGATGAAATAAAATTATTTAATTGATTATTCTTAGTTTAGAATGCAGTTGAATTATTTGATGTTATTAATTTTAAAATAAACACTAACAGTTCCCAATTTTAAAATTGAAAATTATTCATATGCATCTTTAATGCCAAATGAGATCATTGTATCACGGAATACGATCAGTAGTCACACTTCAAACTACTAAGAACATTAAATACAATGCAAAGCACAGCTAAAGAGCAAAGCTAAACTGGAGATAGTACTCGAAACTTATGCTTCAGCTGGCTGCTAATAATAACAACCGAGAGCAAATGCTCTCTCTCTCCTTATATAGTTTTCATTGGGCCACCGAGATATTTCTAGTACTTTCTATTTTTCAAAATTACTGGAAGACAATATGAGGACAGAATTATCGCTACAGCTAAAATAGTGATTAATTACTTTTATTCAATTGCAATATTTATTACTGTGATACTGGCCCAAATGGTCGCCAAGTTTGGCTACTTTTGGCAATTTCTCACTAAAATTGGCAACAAAAATTGAACCGAAAAAAACCATTGTCAGCTTGCTTAACGATATCTCACCAAATTACTGAGATACAGATTTACTTAATGCTAAATAGTTCCTATAATATTATTTTTCCAGCATAGCTCATCTCTCTAGATTTTCATGTTAAACACAGTAAAATACAACAATTTCACACATATAATCTATCTATGTACAAGATTCATAACAGTATGTTCACAAGATACATGCACACATTGATTTAGTGCACTGAAATAAATATTTGTAATGCATTGACCACTAAGGCCCATATCACATGACGTTTGTTTCACTCGAACAGCTGTTTCGGACAATTTTTTCACTAGTTTACTATTGATAAAGAGACATGCGACTTTTTCCTTCCTTTCCAAAAAAATTGCAAGTTGTTCGTTTTCAAACAATCAGCTATGAGCTTCGAATGTTATCAGCTTGTTTGTAATGGGGAACCAGTTTTCCCTGTGTTAACCCCAAAGCGATGTATGGTGATTGGCTATTGTGACAAAGCAGAAAAATTTTTCCAAACGGTTGTTCTTCCGAAACAAACCGCCGTCTGATAGCAGCCTTACACTTTTTACCTCTCGTTTATACAACAAATCTGGATTTCTTTTAGTCATTTGCATAAGTACAGTTGTCATTATTAATACAGTCAAAAGTCGTTAATTCGGACACCCATAATCCGGAATGATCTATAATCCGGACCTGAAAGCTGCAAACTTTCTGCGCATAGGCGTTTATGCGTGCGCGTAAGACCTTTACCGCTGCGAATATGCGTGTGCACATGCGCTATATACGTTTACGCATGCGCGTTTAATGTATAACGGACAGTATAAGCTAAAATTATCTAATTCAGTTAATGTCGCAGATTGCGTTGTTCCTTAATCTTCGAATTGGATCCGGCTTATTATTTTTTGCAGACTGTTAGAGCAATTTTATAAAAGTAAGCTTGAACTTTCGATTATGTCAAATAGAATATCCGATATATATTTACTAATATGTAATCCTTTACATCTACAAAGTGAATGTTTTGAAATCCGAAATCTGTTTATCAATTTCACGCTGCTCTGCGACGGGGGGGGGGCATAAATGCCGCGACGCACAATGAATTGGAAGTTGATCTGTCAGCACTATCCTTATCTTCAGGGCAGATGTTTTTATTTTATTTGGCTTATAATTCCTTACTAAATGTAGTATTTCATCTCGATGTACTCCGTCTTTGATATGATTTAAATCAAGTTCCTCGTCATTGTAATTCGCTTCCAATAGTGAAGAAAGTGACAGAGAGGTTATTGAAAACGAAAACATTTCGATTGACAAATTAGTCGGTATTCTCGACACAGCAATTACAGGACTTGAACAGCGGAACTTTGTAACTAAACAAGAAATTATGCCTGTTTAATAAAAGTATTATCACATGAAACGAAGCAACTTAAACAACTTACATTGAAAGAAATGTTTAATAAAATAAACAAATAAATATTAAGCTTTTTCTTTTTGTAAATTTTGATACCCTTTAGATCATAATTGTTCTTTATTTCATATATTAAAAATTTCATATTTTTAATTTTGTAATTTCTGCATGCCATCTTACCAGATTTAAACTGATGATCTATAATCCGGAATCGCTGAAGTTCCGACGAGTCCGGATTAACGACTTTTGACTGTATTATATATACTTATATTTTGATATGCACATAGATCAGAATTTTTTAAAACAAAATTGAAATGTATTTTTACAAAAAAATAAATAAATAAATAAAAATAAACTAAATTTAAAATGTTTCCTTTATAAATCTTTATCAGAACATAAATAATAATAATAATGGTTTGGTTTATGTGATTATGGCAAAACACTTGAGAGCTATCTGCCTGCAGGGAGGAATGAATTCGTGGAGGACTTTTTAAGGGAAACTGGCTCATATACACGATACACATGATGAAAACACCCATGGAGCCAGTCGGTTCACTGAATTTTTGTTTAGCAGTGCATTTCAGTTATAAATTAATTTTTTCCTTGCAGATGATGATTATAATGTCAAATCAGATTCTTAATCACTAAAATTTTTTATATCTTTTTGTGAATTCTTGTTGCAATAGTTGCTATTTTTCTTGCACATTCTTGAAAATTTTTGTCTAAAATAATAGCCATGATTTAAGATATGAAACATTATTGCCAATTGTGTTTCCCTTGATTTCAGTTTAACCTTAAAAGCTTTATTACAAGCAGTGCATTTCAGTTATAGATTTATATTTTCCTTGCAGATCATTATTGAGAGTACTTATGTGTTTAAATCAAATTAACAAGAAATGTTAAATCACAGTCATATAGCCTGTCATGCAAGCAGACAGTGACACAGACAAAGCCCTAGTCTATTCATTCCACCTTTTTCCCTTCAATAATAATCGTGTCCATAAAATCAGTCATTGTCCTTATGTCTATAAAAATATAAGGATTGTATTTACAATAAATACATATTTGAAATGTATTTGGTGTTGCTAGTTTGGAACTAGTGATCTGATACTCATGCATTGTCTAAATATTGCTAATTCTATGGATGTTGATTAATTTAAAAAATTTTTTCAGTGTATGCTAATTCTGTAACAATTACAATTTTATAAAAGCTTTCAGAATAATATTTTATTATACATATATTTTTCCAGTGCCCCCCGATATTGATGAGAAAGGTAAATCGAAAGAATATCAGGTTATTCTTGGAAAACCTTTGCGTATTGATTGTGAAGCATCTGGTACTCCTCCTCCATCCATTACTTGGCTAAAGAATGGATTGCCATTAAGTGAAAAGGATCATGTTCAATTCGTGAACAATAATTATGCACTGCTTTTTACATACACTTTACCTGATGAAGCTGGTGTCTACACCTGTATCGCTACCAATAATGCAGGATCTGTTGAACAAAAATTCAATTTGACTGTGCTAGGTATGTTCTGATGTTTCATTAATTTCATACACTAATTCAATTTGACTGTACTAGGTATACCAATTCAGAAGTCAAACAACAAAAATCAGCGTTATATTTACAAAATTTTCACAGACATTTATTTACAAACTGTGAAAATTTTGTAAATATAACGCTGATTTTTGTTGTTTGACTTCTGAATTGGTATTTATTCGGCGTGTTATTGTGTCTTAATTGTACTAGGTATGTTTTGATGTTTCATTAATTTCATACACTAATTCAATTTGACTGTACTAGGTATGTTTTGATGTTTCATTAATTTCATACACTAAACTATTTGTTATTTAAAACAAAATTTTACGTGTGTGTTAACAAAGGCTGTATAGTGTAATTTTTATTTGCTGTTTTGCCAAGTTACAAATCATTATTGTCATAGACCAATACCTTATTCTCTATTTTCATCGTGTCATATTTTTACGAAAAAATGTTATGTATGTTCATGTACCTTAAATGCATTAAAGCTCATACTTTTTAATGGATAACTTTGTACTTATATATTTTGAGCAAATCTTTAAACTATGTGATTATATATGTGAGGTATAATTAAACTGTATTCAGTGCAGATATTTAATAAAATGTTAAATTAATCAGTTTTAATAACTGATATTAAATTAAGATTTCAGCAAATTCACATTAAAAAATATTTTACTGCTTAACTATCTAAATCATATTAAATGCCCTAACATTGATTTTAAAAATAATTAATGTTTGAAAGTTCGAAAATTTTTTCTTATCATTCCTTAATCCTTTGACTAGGAATTTAAAAAAAAAATTTTTTTTTCCCCGTTTACTATTCAAGTGAACAAAACATGGCATAAATAAGGTAAATTTAGCATTTGGGATTTTTTTGACAAACGGTTTTCAAGCCAAAGGCTGGGGCACATATATCCTGGCCATAGTTATTGATGGGATACATATGTCCCACACATGGCAATCGGCTTACTATTAGCACAGCTATTATTCTGGAAAACTTTATTATATTAAATAGATTTTACATCGTATGGTGCAGGATACAGCATTCTTTGCAGTACCCAACATTACACATTGGGCAGCCCATATTTGTTCTTTTTGATGTTCATTTGCATATAACAAGCACAGTGGTGCCTTCATTTTCTAGCTATTGGAAGATGATCCTGAACAGGTGATGCTAAGTACTTTTTAACGGGAGATTCAAAGTACTTTGTAACACAACAAGTAATTTTTAAACTTTTAGTGGGACATACATGCCCCTTTAGTAGTCAAAAGGTTAACATAGTTATAGGTCATTTTATTTGTCAGTACATTAATTATTACATATAGTACATTTTTATGAACATCCATTTTATGAAAAAGAGAAATGAGCTAAAAATGAATGCTGGTTTCTGAACTGTACAGTTTGCCTGATAAATTATGGCAAAACATAATGTTTGAAATTATAAAATGTATTGTTGAGTGTTTATAAGCAGAAATTTTTCATCTTATTTATAAAAAAAATTGCTTTTATATTTTAACAGAATTGATAAATGATCTATTTATTTTCAGTGCCTCCTGTCTTAAATAATTTCAAAAATGGAGATAATCTGTCTATAGTTGCTGGCTCTTCAAACAAGCTGCATTGCTCAGCTCAGGGGATACCTATGCCAGATATTGTTTGGTCCAAAGATAATAATATCATATCTAATTCAGAAGCTATTCATATAAAGGATGGCATACTAGAAATCTTAGAAGCAGATATAAGTCATAATGGAACTTATTTATGTGAAGCTAGCAATGTAGCTGGAAAGGTGACTAAATCATTTGATCTGATTGTAAACAGTAAGTTTTTAAAAATCCTATCTTTATCCAGTTAAACATTCTTTTCAAATTTTACGTTTTTTTAACCCTTTGACGGTTATGGAAATGAGCAGTTTCCGTTTACTTAATTCGCGCAGCATTAGGAGTAAACAGTAGTCAAAAGTGGCAGCTGTTTTCCCCCACCGTTCTTCCAAAAATGTCACCTTTCTCTGGCGATGCCGTAGATAGCTCGCCTCGCGCGTTTTAAAAATTTCTTAAATATTTGTAGTACATAAATAACAGTTTTTACGTACTTTAAAATAATTATTAAACAGTAAATTATAAATGATTATAACCAATTATATAAATAATAGTTAATTATAAATATAAGAACAAATATTAAATTGAAAGGAATAAATAAATACAACTAATGTAAAACTTTATGAAGCACAGTTAAATACAGTAATTACCTAAAAATCTTTCTTGTGTGCGATATATAGTTTAAAACATGGAATTGCACATAATAGGGCATTGCAGTTTTTGCAATAAGTACGTGTTTCACGGCGAATTCTTTTTCCACTAGCATCATTTTTGCTGCAACATACCACACATCATGTAGTAGGTTCTTTTTTTTTTTTTTTTTCTGTACGTGGAATATAATCAGGAAAGTGGCGGTGTTGACACTCTTAAAGTATTCGAAACTGTTTCAGCAGGTTTTGATTTCAAATGTCTGTGAGTGTGATATTTTTCAACAATTCTTTCAGCTAGTTCAAGTTCAGAATTCCAAATTTGATTTTTTTATTCCCTTTTTTTTTCCCACAGCTGAAAAGAATTAAAAATTGTTATGTCCAATAAATAACGAAATATTTTATTGTAATATTTCCTTGTTGAGATGGGTTATAGTATTTTTTGCTCTTAAATTTATTTAAATTTTCAGCAGCAAAAATGTTGGGTTTCCGTAACAATATGGATTTATAATCTCATCAGTAAAAAAAAACAGCTCAAAAATACTCTAGTGGATCAGAAATATTTGTCACGCAAGCTTTCATGCCTACACTAGTAAAACTAAATCGGCTAGGAGCGTGAGAACTTGAATCAATTATACACCACTGTCGAACACTCGAAAATCTTCCTCATCGCTTGAATCGTCTCTGAGCTTGAAATACTGTGAACAAAGTCTTCATCAGATTCAAAACTGATAAGCTTTCTGGTATCACAATCATAAACTATCTAACTTTCGCTTTGAGCCATTTTAACTGTACAAACACCCTAAAAACTGCGCCAAAAATTACATATAAAATGAACAAGGTCAAAAAAAAAAAAATCCACCTTCATTATGCAAAGAAATTCATGGAACTCGTACTGCCATCTGTAGACAGTAAAACTAACTAAATTCGTTTCACGAGTAGGATTCCGTTTGAAATGTAACATAATCAGTGCAGAATAATAATGGCGAACGAAGTCAGCTCGTCAGCGCGCATTGGGGAAAAATTTCACTACGCAAGTAGTGCTCGTTACTAACCATTTCGGTCAAAATCTTGCTCCCGAGCGGAACTCGTTTGCGTGCATTATGAAGCACGATTGCGAGCTGAACTCGTTCATAACCATCAAAGGGTTAATTGAAAAGGGTTCTGTCCTTTATTAGGGCCTGTTTATAAGAGTATCTATTTTGTAACAATATTAATCTCTATAGAAACTTTTTATTGATCAGTAATTTAATATATTTAGCTTTCTACATAATAATTTGATTAACTTAAAAAATTTTGTGCCAAAATACCACTCAACAGCATAATTTGATGCAGAAGTTGGAGTGTCGCAGTAACTTTTTTGTTTTGAAGAATTATCAGACATTTCCCAAAGACAATAAGCAAGATTTTCTTTCTTCATGAGAGTAATAGCCAGAATAGATATATTATTGCATAGTTTCCTTGAAACTGAAGAAAATATTGAAGTTCTTATAAACAAAAAATAACAATTAAGTGGGATCTTGTAACTGTAAATATATAATACTGCAAATGGGACAATGCTTATTAGCTGTTCCACAATCAGTATGCTTCTTCTCAGACATTAGTGTCAACATACTCTCAGTTTTTACTAGAAAGTTAGGGAGTAAAAATGTCTCGGAAAATGTCTGTGAAACGATTAGTTATATCAAGGCATTCAGATTGGCTGAATAAAAAAAAAATACTTAAAAGGAATGGTTACATATTTGCAGAACTCTTAAGACTTCTGTAAGACTGTATATGCTGCAATAAATATGTCTCAGCCTTATGGAAGTTGTTTTATCACTTTTTCAAAAAAAGGTGTTTGGTTGGGTGTGTAAAACTCTCAAAATGCTGTGATCACTCAAAACACTGGGGATCTGGACTGTAACATTGATATGGTAGAATATCTCAGCTACTTTTACATGGCAGACATTATTCTCAATATTGTATCCAAAGCCTGATGAAAATTTAAAAGCTTGAGATGTTTTCCCGTCAAGAAATTTAATTATAATTCTTTGTTTCACAAACTTAGGCACTTTTGACTTATCCATGATTATCATAGGCCACACTCGTAACTAACAAAATTGCACTTCCACTACATTTAGATAATAAATGATGGTCCAAATAGCCAAGGTCATTTACTGTGCTAGAGGTGTAGCCATTTGGAAAATCCCATGATATGTTTAGCAATAATATATATATATATATAATACATAAAATTATAATATTGTCAGTCCATTAACTTTTACATTTTGAGTCTCCTTATTTCAAATGACTTTGGCCATCAAAATAAAGAGAATTCTTCAGTTCACATCGGATGATTTTTTTAATAATTGTAATTAGTGTATTTTCATTTAACTGATTTTTTTTTTCTTTTTTTTTTAAATAAAATGAAATTTTGAATTAAATGTATATTTCATATGCATTTAATTCAAAAGAGCATTAGTATAGTTGCACCATTTACATTTCATTCCAAAAAAATCTGAAAGGAAACTTAATATTTGCAAGTAAAAAAATAATACTGGATATTTTTCAGATGAAGAATAATGCACATTGTAAATATTACTTACAAAACAATGAAATGTAAATGGGTGCAACTGTACTATTATAATATGCACACTGGCCAATGAATTAGAAACCCAAGATCAATATTTTATTGGATCACCTTTTTTACAGACAACTGCTGCGATTCCTTTGAACATCAAGTCTACATGCTTCTGGAGTGCATTTGGGTCCAGAGAATACCATGCATTCGCTATGTGTCTTTTTAGATCTTATAAATTAGAAGAGGAGAGTGCTATCGGATGTGTCTTTCCACCATATCCCACACATTTTCTATGGAGTTAAGATCCAGGCTATGCAGTGGCCAGGGAAGGTGTTGGAAGTCAGACTGATGTTCAGCTAACCAATTTTGAACACCTTCTGCACAGTGTATAATTGCATTATCATCCATGAAGTATCTGTCACCATCAGGGTAAAAAAGGTGCAGTTGATTTGCCAGTATATCTAGGTATCTCATGGCTGCTTGTTTATCGACAAAGAACACCAGATGGGGAAAATGACAAAGATCTGTCATTTTCTCCATTTTATCTCATTCATCATGAAAAGAAATCTTGCACCTTATTTATACTAGCATTCTAACCACATGTAACCTACGCCATAGAAAAAATTTGCATACTTCATCACTAGGATGCATTCAGATGAAAATCTCAAAGGTGTTTAATTTATTGGCCAATGTATGTATTTTATAGTAGTATTAGTATTTTAGTATGAAAAGTATTCTTCATATGTCCATTTTTATGATTTTGAAAATGACAGATACTGTTTTCTGAAATGGTGAATCTCGGCATGTACCAAGTATTGTATAATTTAATTGATAAAATTATAAAATAAAAAAATTAAGAGGAAAACCAGAACTATAAAAATAAAATCTGAAAGGTTTCAGATTTTAAATTACATACAAAGGGGCGTTTTTTTAACATTTTGTGTGTTACCTTTATTTATTTATTTATTAAATATCACGTTCTTTGCACTTAAAATTCAGTTCAATAGCAATGTCACAAAATAATTTTAAAATGAGCATATCTTTAGTATTTCTGATACACAGTTCCGCTCACTGGAGATAAAAAGGTTCCCTCCCCAGTACAGTGTTGCCATTCCTTGCTTTGAAATCCTTGAGTTTGTTAATAAAAAATTCGGTAGTTTTACAAAATACGAAATTGGTCATAAAAAAATTCCAAATTTCAAATTTGGTCTTCCACATGCCCATATTCGTAGGAGGATTACGTCATTCAAAATTCGATGGCTCTATGTACCGTTGTTTTATCACAATGCGAGAAATATACATACATTTATGCAGATTTTTCGTTATTTAATTTCTTCAAACATAATGCAGGATTCTAACATGTGGTGGCAACAGTTTGAAAAGTTAAACGGACATTTATAGTGATTCAACGCAAAACCGCAAAACGAAAACAATAGTCCTTCAGCGACAAAGCCCCTTTGAACTAATAAAGAACTTTTATTAATTATAAATGACAAAATAATGCATACTATGACTGCAAATAAAGTTCAAATTCTCTAATGTTGTAGAGTCAGTAGGTTTTTTTTTTTTTATGCTGGAGAAGTGAAAAATGTGGGATGCCCTTGCCGGGACTCGAATCTGGACTTCTGGAATATGCGCCGAGCGTGCTACCATTACACCACAAAGACATGCAGAAATGAGGGAGAAAATACCTTATAATGTTAAATTCACTGAGAACAAAATTGCATTGTCTTTTAACCCACTGTAAATACTTAATCCCTGCTGTAATGAAATATACTTGAAATGTCTTTATTTTCTTCAGGAATTTATATGTTTTTTTTTTTTTCCTTTAGTGCCTCCCAAAATTGAAAGAAGTGATGAAACGACATTCGTTACATCATCTGTTAAAGAATCTGTTGACATAGAGTGTGTTGTACATGGAATACCTCCACCAACTGTGCTCTGGTTCAAAAATAAAATGCCTATTTTGTCTAGTTTTTTATCTGCTTATAATATTAGCAATCAAGGTGTTAAACTTACAATCAGAAATGCTGATCTGAAAGACTCTGGAAATTATATGTGTGTAGCAACGAATTCTGCTGGTAATGATACAAAGGATTTTGTTCTGAATATTTTAGGTAATTAATTTTAACTTTAGTTTTATGAAATTGCATGAAAATTTTGATGTGTCTGCAAACATTCTGTTTTATAATATATAATTCTAGTATGTCAAGTGCTGTATTTTTTAATGTTTATTTATTCTTGAACTTTTTATTTACTGCTGAAGATTGGCTATCTACAAATACCATTTTGCTGATAAATAAAAGCTATAATGGTTATAGAATTCCAATTACTCAAATTTCTGCTATGTAAAATGTTTAATCACTCAAATTATGACTGATACATCTGCCAGATAAAAAATTGTAGAACATATAATTATCTGCTGGCATTTTCTTTCTTTATTAAATTCCAGTTTAAAGAGATTCTCTTTGTTACAATCAGGTGATATTTTATTTTTGTTCTGGTGCTGGAAACCTCATACATACTGATGCTGCAAATCTTCTTTCATACCTGCATAGCTTTCTATAAAAAATTGGTAGATTTTGCCATAACAGGGGGAAGAAACTATTTCAGTAATCAATCCTCTTTCATGAATACTTAGCCTTCTCTTGATATTTCTCACTCTATAACTTTAAGTTGTTTTTATGCAAAGCCCCAGTTCTAAGCTCTAAGCTTTTCTATATTTTCTTATTTATCAAATTTTTTTTTGAGTTGAAGCTATCATACACGTGAAGCTCAAATATACTTGGATTCATTTTTTAAAAAATAATTTGTCTTCCAAATCATAGTTCCTTCTCTCAATCTAAAATATGTCTTTATTTTTATTGTGTGACATTTAGAATATTGAATGAAATTTCATGTTAAATTTGCTGTTATATATCTGAAAATATGCTAATATGAAGTACTTACTTGTAATTTTAAACATTGGTAAATAATAAGAATGTAGTTTCATCTTTTTATAGGCATTCTTAAAATGTTTTTTGTAAAAAAAATGTTATATATATATATATATTGTTGTATGACTAAAGAATTTAAGATCTTCTGTTCTTTAAATGAAAATGAAATATAGCATGCAAAAGAATCATATAGAAGTAGGAAATTTTGCATCTAGAACTAAAATATATATATATATATATATATTCATCAGAAATTAAGTTGAGGATAATAAATATAGTGTTGCAGTCTGGCAGGTTTGGGGGCAGGATAAAAAGTGTAAATGGATATAAACATATTTATTTGGATATTTAATACTACATTTAACAATAGAATGCCCATGTTAAATATGCTGGGTGGTCCACCAAAAGTAGCTTATCTAAGACATGACAAGAGAAATGAAAGTCTTCTCGAGGGAACGAGCCATAGGTATGGAAGGTTGCCTACTTTTCCATAATCCACCCTGTATTATTACATGCACAATACAAATTCATTCATATTTTAAATAGTATTGTAGAATATTCTGTTATATTTCAGAATAAAAATTCATTTATTGTTAACATTAGGTATTTTATATCAAAATGCATGTATTTAATTGTGTCATCTACCTTTTTGGATATCATAATTTTAATAAAACTTTTAACCAGTATACGTCAGATAAACAGCTAAAACTTTTATAGTGATTTTAATTTGCAAAAATTGTATAGCCAGTCAACTTCAGCATCCATTGGTTATAATTTCAACTTTTTGCGGAAATCGTGTTTTAATAGATTACTTTCATTTTTTATTTAGGTGAATAAATATCCCAGTGTAACACTGAATTTTCTTCTTTCATCTTTTTAAGGATCCTAGTATAAGTTACCTGTCATCATTCTCCATCTTATTGATGTGCTGACACATATAGTTGCAGAACTTGTCGCATTATGCAATTCTTTTGTAATAAAATACAGTGTCCATTCACCATTTGTATCATCTCAAATGATAAATTTGGTCCAAAATTTCAGATTGCTACTGATATTGAAAGTAAACTTGTATTACTGCATTCAGTAGAAAATTAAAATTTTTTGTTTGTAGGATATTTATTGCAAATGCTGAAATAGTTATCCTTATCTAATTCAAATTACTTCTGCCAGCGCTTGGTAAACATATAGATTCCACTGTTAATGAACTGTTTTGGTAGATACACAGCTGCTTATGTACATCTAATCAAATCTCATTACCACTCTAGAGGTGCTTTCTTGTTTAGAAGTATATCCAATGATATGCTACAGAAATGCTTCACCATCACTGATAGAGAGTTCTTAGAAGATATAGAATGTCTTTCTTACATTTCAGTTGCATATTTGGCAAATGTTTACCAGCATATCATTATTATTTTGTATGTCAGCCATCATTACAGATTACAGTTTGCAAGTGAGTTACAATATCGTTAACTGCAGCATGCAACATATCCGAATAGATGCAGGGTATTTTGTGACGAAGGACATCCTTTAACTGCATTAAAGAAGATGGGCTATTGTGGAACACTTTTGACTTGACAGTCAAAAATCAAGTGACGTTAAGTTCAGCAAGTGGGGGGCACTCATTTCTACAGTGATGGCTAAGTAATCACCCTTTGGTGAAGATTCTTCTTCGGAACGTTTTCACTTTGGTTGTGACAGGAGGAGGTACCCTGTCTTGCATCAACATCACTGTGTGAAAGATATTATGTTAAAGTAAGCCTTTTTCTTGCAGCAGTTGTAAGTAGTGTTTTCCAGCAATTTAGCAGGTCTTCCAGCCAGCTTTTGCACTGCGCTTTTCAAAGCAAAAAGGGCACACAATAATGGATGCAGTGAAACCACACCATAATACTGTAATAAAATGAATGTTGGAGCTCCTAATTATAGACAGGTGGGTTCTCCTTTGCCTAGATTCTACAGTTAAGGTGTTGACTGTTTCATGAAATAAAAAATTAGCCTCATCTGTCCACAAGATATTGAGAAGCTATTGTGGATGGTCATCAGTTTTTTGACAAAGCCCAATTTGTGAATTCATATCATTTAGCTTTATAAATTGATAATGGCTGGTGCACTGATCGCAACTTTTTAGAGTACAATTTTAAAACACTGTGAAATATGCTGAATACTGATGTTTTGGTATACCAGTATTTCGTGCCACTTCTCTTGTGCTTCTTACTGCACTCGTTGGTTGGTTACTGCACGCTTAGAGTGCCCATATGCAAAGCCACATTGTAATTACGGACCATCAGAAGTGCGATGCTGATAAACTTGGTATGCCATTACGAGAGTGATGGCACATGATTTTTTTACTATCATGACTCATTTTTTCGAAATGTCTTATCAGCAAAGTCAGCCTAACAAGAGTGATTGATCTCAAGCCTTTTTCTGTCTCTTCAGTGTCCAAAACCTTCATAAAGCTTCAATTGGCAATTCTTAACTGAGGTGAAACAACTTCACCAATAACGCTTTATCCACCAATATCAGCATTACAATTAAAGCTTTATGTATGGACGAAAAATCAGACGTGGGTTGTTGATCATAAAACCCTGCAATTTATAGGACTCTGGTTTTCTATATATGTTGTTACTGCATTTCTGCAAACTGTCTATCCATGAAAATGTTAACTATTTTTATCTTTATCCCCTTCCCCCCCCCCAAAAAAAAAGAAAGAAAGAAAATAACTTTCATGAGGGTAACTTTCCATAAACTGCATTCTGTTCTACAAATTCCTTCAATTTATATGAATTTTTAAAATATTTACAGATTTATGGGACTCCCTGTATGTATGCATTTTATATTAAAATTATAATAAAAATTATTTTGAAAGATTTAATAATGCTAAAATGACTCTGGCTAATATTTTCAGGAAAATAAGCATTCTAGTATTGATTACACGTGGAAACAATGTTTAAGATTAATTTACGCAACTAAAAGTATTTTTGTGTGTTCTATTATTTTAATTATTTTAGTAAAATATTTAACAGCTGAGTATTAATTTTTGTTCTCATGAGCTATTTAAAAATTTATTTTTGAAGTGCATAAATCTTGTAAATTGTGTACTCCGTTAAATACTAGGAAAACTTCAGAAATGTTATTTTGCATTTGAATAAAAACTGCAGTTTATTATCTTATTTACTTGTATTTTCTTTAACATTCATTTTGCTTTTTTAATGACAGCACGAGACATAAAAGTGTATGTACCAATAATAGTAATCACTTCTATCTTGATAAAGATTTGGTTGAACTGTTTTTATTTAAATAAGAAAAAATCAGAGATATTTTAGAATGTATAAAACTAATAAGAATACTGCTTTTGTTTTTAAGAATTTTTCTTTAATTGGTAATGTTACAACAAAGTAAATAGACAAGGATCATACTTTTATTATTGTCTTATTTTTTAATTATTTTTTACAAATTGTTTGATTAAGTTATTTTTTATATTTTTCTGAAAAGGTGGCATAAAACTTTCTTTCCCCTTTAAACTTAGTACTTCCCCTCCCCCTTTTCGTTTTTCCCCTTTAAACTTAATAGGATTAATGCAATTTTTCTTTTTGCTAAAAAATGAAAAATAGTTGACTAAAACTAAATGGTGAGCTAAGAGGGAGTGTAGTATGTAATTTGTAGAAATTATTTACGGAATGAGTTATGTTAATTTTAGTATATAACATGTAAGTGGTTTAAATTTTTCTGCTTATTTATTTATCACAAATTCGTGCCAAATGCCATATTTTGTAAAAACAAAATGTGTAATTATATTTGTTGATTAATTGAATATTTTATTTTAGAGCCACCAACCATAAAAGACACAGCACCTTTAATAAAGACTCAAGTAGGAAATAAAATTGCTCTAGAATGCTCTGTTGTTGGAGTTCCTCCTCCTGAAATTTCATGGCTAAAAGAAAATTCTGTATTACTTTTCGATGATTCAGAACCTTCAATATTTGGGAAGACTGAATTGTATTTTGATAATGTGAAACTTCAACATGCAGGAAATTATTCTTGTATTGCAGTTAATGAAGCAGGAGCAGATAGAAAAGATTTTGTCTTGCAAGTTTCTGGTAAATTTATTAGCTTATCTCAGTTTCTTCAGTATAGAGGTGAATGAGAGAATATGACTTGATATATTATTAAAATTTTGGATTGCTAAATTAGTGTACATATATGTTGTATACCATTAATTGAGCAGGAAGAATAAGAATAATAAATTTGCCTCTTCAGTTACTATGTGCTGAATCACTGAATAATCAATTTTTTTTTGTTGTATCAGTAATTATTATTAGATGGAAGTTCTTCTATTTTTGTCACTATGATTGTAGTAACCTGTATACAATTAAATTTTATATTTTGTTCTGTAAGTAAAATATATCTGTATTGTTTTATTGGTGGTGCTGAAATACAACATCTTACTTATTTAATTGCTTAAAATATACAAAATGTGAGATTAATTTAAATATTTTAGTAATTGCTTTCCTTAATTACAGTCTCTTTTTTTCGGATGCAAAATATATGAGGAACAACATTACTGTTCTTCCTGTAAAAATATCAGGAATTATTAGACAAAATAATTATTATGTTGCAACTTCTAAGTTCTGTTAAGTGACAGGTACTCTCTCTTTTCTGTAATATACTCTATTGTCATAATGCAACATCTGAATGGATGTTTGCAAAAAAGTTCAGAAGAATTTTCACATGTGTTTCAGTGATAATTGTTCTTATCCATGTAAGACCTACCAGTCCTCAAATCTCACTCTGTTAGTTTGAGAAATGAGATAAATATATGAAAGAAGCAAATGAAATCTTTGTTTAAAGCAAAAGATAATTTTGAGAATGAAGACTAATGGTTTCTCTGTGTATTTCTTGATAGAGGCATGTAATATAATTTAAAGTAATAATAGTAAATTAAAAGCAATCTTTTTGTAATTAATATGACTAAGCGCTAAGTTATTGCTTTATTGCATTGTTTTTAAAAACTAATAAAAGGTTAGAAAGTATTCTGTTATACTTAAAAAGTTTCTGTTACATTTTAAAAGATGTACTTTTCTTCGATTAAATGACATATAAAATACATCTTCACAGTTTCTTAATGTTAGATGCAAGAAATATTTATAGCATAAAAAGCATACAAAAATATTTATAGCATTTTGATCATATACCTAAAGGAAATTGAAATTAATAAAAAAAATGTTCTTGCATAAAAGAGAAATTTAAAAAATTTGCCATATTTGGATTCCATCTTAATTATTCACTGATAAAAGTGTAATTAAAGTTTATGTTGTGGAGACATTAGGTATTTTGAAAGCAGGAAACCCAGTCGCCAAATCCTGGGTGTGGAGAATCATCATCCACCACCCTTTTTAGGTCGTGCGTCACTGTAGAGACATTAAATATTTTGGAAGCAGGAAAGATGTGAAAAATGAGCAACACCTTTGCCGGGAATCGAACCACGGACCTCTGGAATACGTGCCCAGTGTGCCAACCACCACACTACGAAGCCATGCTAAAAAGGTGGGGGAAATACCTTATAACGAAATATAAAGGTAACAATGTGAAATATGCAAAATTTCAAAGTTCAAGTTTTTATAATCAACACTTCAAAAAGCCAGTACATTTTTTTGCTTGGTCAAAATAACTAACAATTTTTTTACTTGAGATTTTACATTTTATTTGTTATATGAGATTCATATCCATGTACATGAGATTCACATCCAATTTCACAGCTTCTCTATAATTACATGTGTTAATTACATGTGATTTTACATGTGTTAATTCTCTATAATTAACACATGTAAAATCAATAAACATATACTACCTATCTCTTCTATCTAATTTAGTTTTTTTTTTTTTTAGTATTATTATTATTATATATATATATATATCAGTTCAAAATCTAATCCAGTTGCATGCTGAAAGCAGCATGAAGTGGGATAATAATGCAAAGTAAATTTTAAATATGTTTAAAATCTGTCTCATATTCAATTCGGAACATGGGATGGGAGAAACATAGTGGCAAACTGCATGTTAGGTGCAAAAGAAATTCACATCTTTTGCTGCATCATCATCAGGGGATTGGTGCAACAAATAAGCAAATAAATGGACCTCTTTCTGAATCACAAAAAGATACAAGTTAAAATTAATCAAAATAATCTGTGTCTTTATCAATCCAGCCCCTGCATGTCCTTGTTAATAGTGCAAAAACTGCAAGATTATAAACTTATTTTTTTATTTGAAGCAGACCAAGGTCCAAAAAACAAATCATGTAAAGATAAACAGTCTAACCCATGAAAAAATAATAAGAGAATTTGAAACCATACACTCTAGAGTAAAAAATAATAATAATGATGATGAAATTATGGCATCAAAAACATAAACAAGCAATATAGCTTTAAAATGTAATAAAAATAATTTTTCATGTAAACTGGCTGAGTCGGGGGGGGGGAAAAAAAAACTGTAGAAGCAATCCACAGGTAAATAGAAGACAGTTCGATCCAAAAAATATATATATATATATATATATATATATAATAGAAATAAGAGTTATTAAAATTTGTAATATTAGAGGAACAAAAGGTTTGAAATGGAAAAATGTTAATTCGACTGTGTGCTAAGAATTAAATAAGATTCATTACAAATTTTAAACCGGTTAATCATAATAATAAAAAAAAATCAAATAGAAACTTTTAATGTAACGTTCAATTTTGTAGTAGAAACGAATAATTTTTAAAAGGAAAAAACATAGAATTACCCATTGGTATATTACGGGTAACATTTGGAGATCCGTTTCAGTTTTGTAATTCAGGTAATGTGATGCTTATTCCTATTACAAATTATTTATATTTACTATACCATGTTTAATGACACATTAGAAATTTAAAAAAAAATTCTTTTATATTATTAACAGCTTAAAATTTGTAATTAATCTTTCATTACATAGCATTACTTAACAATCATTTGCTACGAGGCATGTCAAATTTTCAATATTTTTTCATTTAAAAATTTTTGTTGCTTAATATTACACATTTTAAGAACTAACTCTTCTTTTTATTTTTATTTCATTTTTTTTTTTTTGATGAAATTTTCATCTGTTATTATTTTTTCATATATTGGATTGCTTCTGTTTACACATTTTGTCTTTTGGACTCGGTTTGTTTAAACAGAAAATAATTTTTATTGGATTTGTAAGCTGTTGTGCTTGTTTATTGATTTTGATGCTAGAATTTCGCGAAAAAAAAAATAGTGCGTCTTTGTATGGTTTTAAATTTTTATATGTTATTATTTTTCATGCATTGGAGTGCTTGTATTTATGAGATTTGCTTTTTTAAATTGGTTTGCTTATTTGTAAATTTTTTTTTTTAATTTTTTTGTTAGTCTAAGCTTGTTTTTGATTTTAATGCTATAATTTTGAAATTTTTTGCACTGCTGCAATTTTGCAATTTTCACATTTACTACGGCTTGTAAGGGACTGATAAAGACACAAATTGCTTGGATTAAATTTTTTGAGATTTTTTTTTTCCCCCTTGTGGAGGCTCAGAAACAAGCTGATTTATTTATTTCTTTCGTTGCACAATCCCCCTAATGATGATGCAGTGAAATACATAGTCCCCTCCCCCTTTTTGGTTTTGGCATTTTTTGCATCTAATATGCAGTTTGGCACTGTGCATCTTTCCTTGTTTATCTTAGTTTGTTCCAAATAGAATATGAAGTATATTTTAAAGGTATTTTTAGTTTAGTTTATTTTGCATTATATATATACAGATATGTAAGTAAAACAAAAATAAAATTTTCAGATTTATCATCAAACTATTGTAGTTAAATGCTTAAACAAAAAGGTGGGTTTTTTTTAATTATTATTATTATTATTATAAATGCAGATGCAAACAGTATGAGTTATTCTACTTTCTGTTGATTGAAATAACCAACTTAACTCTAGTGTACTCTTTTATATATGTTCCGTGTTAATACAGTTGGACATTCTGTTTTAAAGCTCTAAGAAATGATGCTAGCTAAATTAAAGTATTCAAATTTATTATCGGATGTTCTCTGAAGTAATCGTTGTTTAAAATTAGTAATTTGTGATAATGGCATCATTTATTTTACATAAAAATTTGAATTCATGCAATATAAAAGTACTGAAGATTATATAGACACCTTTATATATAATTTTAATAGGCATATTTTGTTTTCATGATGGAGTTGTATATTTTTTTTTTCTCTTCTCTCTTTGTTTATTTGTAGCCCCTCCTGTTATAGAAGACAATGAAACCCATCAGAAAATTTTAGCAGGAGATTCTGTTTCTCTGCAGTGCTTGGCATCAGGCTATCCTATTCCACTGATAATGTGGCACAAAGATTCTATTCTAATTCATAATAATAAAGGTTTGTGTTATTTTTTCCCAAATTCTGAGTAACTCAAAAACTCAAAAAACAACTCAACTGCAAACAACTGGAAAAGTTATTTTTAATGTTTTTTTTTTTTTTTTTTTTACAGATCATCAAATTTTACCAGATGGTACCCTTCACATTCCAAAAACAAATCTCTCTCATACTGGAACATACAAATGCTTAGCAGAAAATGAAGCAGGTTCACAAGATGCAATTCGCAGATTAACTGTCTTAAGTATGATTTTATAAAGTATACTATTCCTTTTGAATGTAGATTTGCTAGGTTGGGCATGATATATTTCTACCCATGATTAATATTTAACATTTAATTTATTCATCTAAACACAAGTATATTTCCCTCTTTTATATTAATCACATAGATTAAGCCTTATGGTATAAGTATGTATAAGGCCTTCCAAAGTATTTATTAAGTTTAATAAACTTAATACATACTTTGGAAAAAGTAAGGGCTCAAGCAAGGGCTATCCACACCAAACTATTTAAATAACTTTATAATGCTAAGCAAAACAGAAGTGTTAAAATAAAGAGCAGTGTAATTCAAAAACAATAAATAAATAAAAGTAAAAAAGGGTAGGAAGCTTGCTATAACTTAGTATATTTAAAATATCATCAGCATATTTATTAATTTACTTTAATGTGCTTTGATGATTTACCTACTTATTAGTGAAAGTCTAATGTTAAAAATTCACTTATTCTCCATATTTATATGGTTTCTTTTTCTTTCTTACCAAACTGAATCCATGCAAAAATATTATTGTAAACTTTCATTAAATGGCACAAGTAATATGATAGCAATCTGCTGAGGAAAGCAAAGAAAAATCCTCAATTGTTTATTTCAAAACACTAAATATTATTCCATATTGATTGCAGATGAAATTTATAAATTAAAATTGTGAGAATTAATGACTGGAAGTTAAAGTGAACCAGTATTTTTTGTAGGAGAGGGTAGTTTGTAGGGGAGGGTAATGTTTGAAATAAAAATTAAATATCCTGTTATGTAAATGTACTGATAAGAAAATTTGTCAATTTCTTCTTATGAGATGTAAAATTAATATTTATATTTTTATCAAAATCATAAAAGTAAAATTGCTTTCATTGATTTTGGTGTGCTTATATTTCATAGAAATCTGATGCATTCTGCACCCTGAGTAAATATGTAATATCAAAATAATGTTCCTCGCATCATTATCTTTGAATATTTCAGGTCCTCCGAAAATTGCCGAACTTTCTGCTGATAAGTACAAAACAACCCAAGCTCATCCTGTCATTCTTCAGTGTTCTGCAAATGGTGAACCTCAGCCATCTATTTCCTGGGAACATAATGGTGTATCACTCGATCTTTACAACCCTCGTTTCAAAGTATTTCCATCAGGAGATTTACACATATCTCTTACCCAATCTTCAGATATGGGTACATATACTTGTATTGCAAAAAATGAAGCTGGTTCAGCTACAAAAAACATAGATTTAATAGTATTAGGTAAATTACAGTGGAATTTCAGTTGTAATAAAACCTTCCTAAATGAAGTTGTTTAATGCATATATTGTTTATAATTATATTGCTCTCAATGTGTAAAGTAATCATTCATTCTTAAGATCTAGACATTTCCTTCTGAAACTTTAGACTTTCTAAGAATATATCAGATTTGTTTATTTCAGTTAGTCAGAAACTTTTTCATTTAAAAAAAAAATCATTAACTATTTATACTATAGTTATAACAGGGTTCGTACGGTCCTTAAGAGTCCTTAAAAGTCCTTAGATTTTTTGGAATCGATTTTTGGTCCTTAAAAGTCCTTAATTTTGGCCAAAATCAGCAGAAGGTCCTTAATTTTAAACATCTGAAATTTCTGTCTGTTTTTACGACTGCCATTTTGAGTGTGAATTAGCATTTTGGAGGAATATTTTTTTGCGATTAGATAACCGTTTTTTTTTTTTTTTTTTAATGGGTTCATGGGTTGTAATTTGTTTTTATTTCTAATATAAACTCGAGTTTGATGGGATACTCGAGTTTCTAAGCAAGAAGTGAAACATCAGCATTTCGAAATTCATTTTTGGTAATAAAGAGCTCTTAAACAACTTTCGCTTTTGGGGATAATTCTTTTATTGAACAGTTCTAAATTTGGCGATTTTAAGATTAGTTTCTATAGAAACTTTTTAATTCCGAGATCTGAGAATTTTTCGAATGATTTTTTTTTAAAACATTGTAACATTGATAAATTTCATTAAAATAATGGTAATATATTGAAATTATATTTTAAAAATAACATTAAAATAAAACATTTTTATTTTTCGCTGTTATATTATAAAGTTTCATTTTGGCAACTTATTATACAATATTTTAAATCTGAAAAATAAACAAGGTATAATGCTATAAAGCACATTTTACAAAACAGCTCTTAGCAAAAGCAAAAGTTAGCTATGTAATTAATTAAAAAGTCTTGTTTTTAATTTTTTCATAGTAAGCGTTTTTCCGATGTAATTCTCTCAGAATATTCAAAATTCTCAGAATATGCATCAGTTTTCTTCTATAAAAATTAATTTTATACTTTTTCCCACCTTTTTTTTTTTTTCCCCCAAAATATTTCTGGCTCTTTGCTGTTACAAAATTGGTTGGGATAATTTTTCTTTAGTATTTTTGACATTGCAGCTTGGAAATTTAGAAGGATTTGAAGGCAAGATTTATAGACCCTCGATTTCTAGATGATTCGAGAAATATGTGACAAAGTGAAAAATGTCTCCATGGTATAACGCGTAATGGATGTATTTTACAGAAAGTTTGCGATTGAATTTCTTACTTTTTGGAGAACGTCTGGAAGAACAATGAAGGCATAATATTTGAATGTTTTACTTTTACTCGATACTAGAATTTTCTTAACATGTTTATCTTCCCTTTATTTTCTGTACTTTTCACTAGACACAAGCATGGAAAATATCAAAAATGCTTCTAATCTTATCACTTGGAAAGGGCATTATAGAAAAAGGGATTTTTTAATTAATAAAGAAATTAAAAAACTTACAATTTAAAAGGTCCATCTAATATGTCTTAGTGCATCATACACAGAGCTGGCACTAGAAATTTTCCCATCTGATTCAATCTCTGTGGATCCTAAATTCTGCTGCCTAGTGCCTTTCTAAAATTCTGCTTCCAATGCCTGCTCTAAATTCTAAAAGTTTTGCTATTTCTAGATTTTGTTGTTTCGGTGTGTCACTAAATTCTAAAAATTCTGCCACATCATCTCTGTAACCGGTCTTTACCATATATATTTCATATTTCTTCTGAATGTTCGTATTACTAAAGAAATAAAATTAGCTGCTTTTTTCTATACATTCTAAATGCATTTAGTGTTTTTTAGGAAAACTTAAACCCTTAATTAAATCCAAAAATTCTAAAATGAAAAGGAAACATGCTGAAGAAAGAAACTGAATACATAAAGAAAATTATTCTTCAAAGATATGTGCAGTTATTATTATGTAAATTACCCAATTGTTTATAATTTCAACCTTTACTATAATTTTCCATTTCTGTTTCCTCATATGATAGGGTTACTGAGCCAGATTAAATTAAATTGTATAATCTTTGACCACTAGTCCACATTTTTAGTTTGAATTTGACTGTTCTTGTTTAATTACGTCACCGTGAGCTGTAATAGATTTTGTTAGCACATCATTTATGCATGCATTTATGTTTTAAGTTCTTTTTAAATAAGAGGCTTATTTAAACCTTTGTCTGATATTGTAGTTAACTTTCAGACTTAGTGATAATTTGCTTGACATCTGTCTGGAGGGTTTTGGACTGTTTAGCTTTTACCAGATCAAGTAAACCCTCATAGGTACATTGTGGAGTGGTTGACAAGTTAGGAGATAAAGCATGCAGAAACTAGTGAGAGCATTGGTTTGCATATTAGCAAACTAGCCAAAATGTTTGAGAAGGCTTCAAATTAAAATGACGGATAAATATTTTGTTGAGTGTTGTTGTTACAAACATACATGTTTTGTAGCTTTTAATGTGTAATTTTTCTAATATTATTTAAGAATCAGTGTCATAAATTACATGTATTTTAAACTGTGAAATTTTATTAGATTTTGATTTTAATAGGGCTTTTTTAACAAATATTGTTGGAAAAAAAATTTAATAGTGGTCGTGTAAGAGGCCTGGTGGCGCAGTGGCTAGCACATTGCGCAACAGCACCACAGGAAGGAAATATCATATAACACAAGTCCGGGGTTCGAACCCCAGGCTGGGCAAGGTTGACTCTGCCTTTCATCTCTTGATTTCCATCCCTTGGGTCGATAAAATGAGTACCAAGCTCGCTTGTAAACTAAACACTGGGGGGGGGGTCCTGCGACAAGCTGACCACTTGTTCGGGGTATATGCTTACGCATCCCGGGGCCCATGGTCAAGAAAGCAGATTTTGGGGCACTGCAGGCCTTGTCTCAAGGGCTGTTTGAGCCACTGAATATATATATATATATATATATATTTAAGTAGTTATGTAAATCCATAATGACTAAGATTATCAAACTACCTAATTTAATTATTTATAACTAACTGCTTACCCTTAAAAATTATCTCTACATATTAAAGCGAGTGATTGCCTTTCATTAATATTCACTGTGATCACAAGATAAAATATAAAAATGTAAAAATTCAAGTAAAACTTATTTGATGCATCTACTGAGACTTTAAATAATACAAAACAACTTATCACCTCTGGTGCTTTAACGCCTTATTTGAACCTTAAAATATACTAACTGGATTACAACCTCTCGAACTGTTACTGTACACGAAGCTATGACACTAAGTGCATCAAACAGAGCTTGACTAACTTTCAACACTTGCCAACCGTGCCTACATCAGGCCTTTCAAGTTTGTTCTAATCAGCAGGTTTGTTCTAATTGCTCTCTGGACAAGCAGCAGCAGTGACATAATTGTCTTTTGTTATGAATCATGCTGATTATGATCTGACTTCTCATTTTAACGTATGCCATTTGACATAAAATTTACCTGGTTTTTTTGTCACATGCTAGACTGAGCAAGTATGTGACAAAATGAGGCATAAAAAAATGTAACATAAAGCTAACTGTTAGTAAAACGTAAATGTCACTTATCTTCTTTCAAATATGACCAACTATTATAAGTGTAAAATATTTAATGTTACTTTATAAATTGCATAAAGTTTATTTTATTCTCAAACTTATTGACAATCATATTAATTCATGTTTAGTAACAATGTGTACTTCTTAGGGATCTATTTTATTTTTAGGATGGTATTGCAAAAGTGAAATTCAGGCATAGATAATATTTTTAATTGAATTTATTCAGTTCCCATTTGCTTATAGGTCCTTAATTTTTTCATTAATGGTCCTTAAAGGTCCTTAAAAGTACTTAATTTCCATGTGCAGAAATGTGCATGAACCCTGTATAAAGAAATGTGAATTATAGTAGAAGTTATTGAAATTTTCAAATTCTGATTTTAACTGCACCGTATGCATGCATTATGCAAATCTGTATGAAGGTTACTGAAGTTAAGATTTTTACTGTAAAATGTAAGGAATTATGCATATCTATGTGGAATGTTTATGATCTAAATAGCTGACCCAGATTTTCATGGCATGAATTATTTCCATAACATAGTGTTTAAGCTAATTAGTTGCCTTCTTTAGCTAACATATTTACCAATAGTATGATTTCATGCATTATCTTCGTGGAATATCTGTACCCAAAACACATAAATGTATCATTTACAGAAAAATGATTAATTCCACAGAACTCTCTGCTTATATGAAATTTGTAAAATCTTATCTTTTAGATTTTCCCAGTTCCAGTATTTTCATCAGCAAATTGGGAATTATTTATTTTTTTAACTGAATATATCGAAGCATATAAGGCTATTTGCTCGGGAAAAGAAAGGAAACATTCATGCAGGAATTAAATGCCCTTTTGCTATGAATTAAATCTTCTATGATTGCAACAATCTTATTAATTTGCCCACTGGTGGGATCACATTCTAAAAAAAAAATCCTTTTTTTAAATAACAGCAATCTCTAAGCGTCTGTTTTTATATCATCTTAAGTTTACAGACCTGTAGAGCATTTAAATTTTTTGAAGAGCAGAAGCATGGAAAGTCAACTATACTTTCACTGAGAATCAAATTCGGACTTCTGGAATGCCAACCAGATGTGTTTTTCAAATACACTGCAAAAGATGTGAGAAGGTGAAGGAGAAAATTCCGTACATTCTTTGCCACTTAAAGAGTGAGTGATAAGAGAGTATACCCAATTGCCAAGTCTAGGTAGAAATGAATTATCATCCACCACATTTTAGTTCAGGGCCCACATGTAAAGCAATTGGAATTTTTTTAACAGCAACAGATAACTAAAGGGCTGGAATCAATAACAAAGGGTATTCTGTCACAAGTGTGGCAGGAACTGGAATACTACATAGATTTCTGCTGTGTCACTAGGTGGGCACATATAAAACCTCTATAAAAAATTAGATAACTATACTTTCACTGTAACTTTGATTTATCAAAATAAAGTGTTTACAGCATTCATGGGTATGCTTTCTTTTAGTCCCATTCAATATGAAACACCCTGTATTTTTAAATATTGTAGTCCACAATAAAAAATGCAAAAACAAAAAACTCTGGTCTATGAGTGTCTGAAAACGAAAGTAACATTACTTGCATGTTTTTGCGGTGAATCTGCACTTGTTTATAATTGCTATGATTTTCAGATCCAGTTTATTCCATCAATCCTCTTTTTTATCCCATATCCATTCTAGGGTCCTTCCCCATATATTACAATAATGTTTTATAGAAATCTGTGTACAAAGGTATGGAAGCTATAAGGCTTCCATACCTTTGTGAATTGAATACCTGTGTGCATTGAATACACATTTTTACTGTGCATGTTGTGTTTTTTAACATTCAGTGCTTGTATAATTAAAGTAAGTAAATTGCACGTATTTTTGTAAACTAATTTTAAATATCCTTTTTTTTGGGGGGGGAAGGGATCTAAATCTAAAATCCTGTAAAAATATAATCTCTCAGGCAGCTATGTGATAACATTATTTAATATTTATTTAGATAAATGTATAGAGAGAGGGGTACTTTTTACTGTGAAGTTCTTGCTGTTCCATTAAGATATAAATTTATTTATTTTACTATAAACACACAATATACATATATAAAATTTTATTTTCATATTCTTAAATTCACTTACAGGGAATATGTACACTACCGTGATAATTCAGGTGATAAAAAATTCTCAACGGAATTTTAATTGAATGTTTTTCTTTTTTAGTTCCACCTGTTGTCACAATTAATGGAGCAAACACTATTGTAGCAATTAAAGGTAGAAGTGTTACTATTACTTGCTCAGCAGTAGGTTTTCCTCCACCACATATTAGTTGGCAAAAGAGTGGAGGGTCTGTTTTAGATTCTACTATTTCTGATTTATCTAGGGAACTTGCTCTTCATAATATCCAGGTACTTTTTATCTCTTTCTATTAAATAACTAATTTTTAAAAACAAATTGCAAAACTCTAAAATCCTCTAAAACTGTGTTAAAGAATCAATGAAGTCAGATATTCAGACTGACTCCTTTGGCCACATAACAACTTTTATTAAATATTATTGATAAAAGGTATAAAATATAAAGGTTCTTTCCTCAGCTTAGGATTGCCATAGATTGTCCTCAGCTTATGACTTAGGAGTCCTGTAAGTCTGTGATTTACATTTGCATTAGCTTGTTTAGCTAACTAATTGTGTAATATTTTGTTACATCTCTTGTTAGAGTCATTGACAGGGAATTTAGCAATTGATGGTGCACATAATTATATGTCTGAAAACACAGAATATGTTTATTATATTGGAGGTGGAGAATTAACAAACAGTCATCTCTTTGGGAAGCATTACCCATGAATTTTGGCACTAGCATTCACAGCACTGTATCCAACTAAGAATATTGTTTTGAAGTTTGCAGATGAATCTAAAATCAGAATATGGGAATCTTCAGGAATGAAATGATCACATGTACAGTAACATACAGAAAGTAAGCATTCAGAAGTAAAAAATGATTGAATGAACTCTCTTATTGCCATTACTGGTATCATATTTCTCAGCTTCTGACATAGATAACATAACAGATAAACATGTAAACATGTTTAGATAAACATGTAACTTTCCATCAAAACTATGCAAAGTTAGAATTTTAAAAGGAGCTCCAAAAAGCATTTTAATTAAGAAGTTGTTTCTTATTCTATCTTTTTGTGAAAAGAATACTGTAAGGTACAAAATATAATCTATGAAAGAAAACATTTGAAACGTGTTCACTGCAAAGATCAATTTAAGAAGTCATATCAGAAGCTGAGTTTGATTAGATAAAAATTTAGAAATTTAATATTTCTGTAAATGGGAAATTTTAACCCATGTTTATGTCTTTCCTTTTCTCTCGCATAGAAATAATATTTTGAAATTTTCTTTTACAGATTTGAATTTTCCACTTAGATTTATAACTGTCTTTAGTACACTTTATATATGTCCCATGAGAAACAGTTGTTGCCAACTCCTTTACATATGTCCCATTTATTGATATTTCATAGAATTTTAATCACAAGGCAAGGGGCTTTTCCATTTCTATTTAACAGTGAAAAACACTTTTCTCACTCAACCCCTGTAAGGCCGGTATAAAATTTTTATGTTTTGTATATGTTTATTAAAAGCTTTGACATAACCTATAATGTCACATCTAGAAACCACCTTTATTGTATGGATTTCTTAAAAATAACTTTTTCTTTTTAATCCAAAGGGGCTTTGTCCCTGAAGGACTATTGTTTTCATTTTGCGTTGTATCACTATAAATGTCCGTTTCACTTTTCAAACTGTTGCCACCAAATGTTAGAGTTCTGCATTATATTTGAAGAAATCAAATAATAAAAATCTTCATAAATGTATGTATATCTCTCACATTACGATAAAAAAAGGATACATAGATCCATCGAATTTTGAATGATGTAATCCTCCTACAAATATGGGCAAGAGGAAGACCAAATTTGAAATTTGGAATTTGTTTTTATTATCGATTTCATATTTTGTAAAACTTTAACGAATTTTTGATTAGCAAACTCGAGGATTTCAAAGCGAGCAATGGCAACACTGTGTACGGGGGGGGGGGAAGACCTTTTTATCTCCAGCGTGTGAACTGTGTATCGGAAATTCTAAAGATATGCTCATTTTAAAATTATTTTGCGACATTGCTATTGAACTGAATTTTATGATTTAAGTGCAAATAACATGATATTTAATAAATAATGGTAACACACAAAACATTAAAAAGATGCCCCTTTGGACGTAATTTAAAATCTAAAACCTGCATTTTTTTTTCCTAGAATTTAATAAGTATATTCAAAATTTATAATATATAATATAATATATATTTATAATATATATATTATAAAGCTGTATATTGAGGCATTTACATCAAATAAATAAGTTTTCTTTTGGAAAACATTTCAGTAACACTCAGAAGAGGAAAACTTCAAGGAATAAAATTGCTATGTTTTGGGCAATCTGCTATTCTCCCCCCCTCCTCCATTTTCATAAGTATTTGTATTAAAAAAATTGGTCTTGTGTTTATACATAAAGGATTTTGCTTTAAATGAGCAATATAAAATGAGTAAATAACGCATTTAAGATATGAAGCAACATTTAAATGAATTCCTATTTCTATGTAAATCATATTCTTAATAGAAAACTGTGTTTTTAAGTTTTGCTTTTGCAATATATAATTTGATCAATTCACAGTACTGAAAAAGCTTTTTATACTTCAATTAACCTTCCACATAATAACTGTTTATGTGTTTATTACATGTCTCACACATAATAACTGCTTAGTTTATTATGCAATAAAATAAATCACTAATCCAATCAATTATCCCACTGTATCCAAAAGATCTGTATTAAAGATTAAATTATTAAAAGATTATAGTAAGTAATCAATTATCCCACTGTATCCAAAAGATCTGTATTAAAGATTAAATTATTAAAAGATTATAGTAAGTATTAGAATGTGGTTTATCTGCATATATTTTAAGTATCATTGTCTTGCTTTAAAATATATACATGAAAATATATTGTAATAAGCCGTGCAAATAAAAATTTTTTAACAGCCGGAAGATGGTGGGAATTATGTTTGTATTGCATCAAATTCTGCTGGCAGGGATCACCAAAGTGTAAGTTTAGATGTCCATGTTCCTCCAGTAATAACAACATTACCTAAAAGCCAAGATATTTCAGTTGGAGATATTTTATCCCTTCATTGTGAAGCTAGTGGTCATCCTATTCCTTCAATAACGTGGTTATTGAATAACACACAAGTAACAGGTAAAGATCTTTCTAAAATACTATTTTATGCATAAATGTGTCTATTTTATATTCTGTGTAAATTTCGAGTGTGTTTGGTGGTACAAAAATTAAACATAGTACCTTATTTAACGTTTTGTATCAGTGTAAAAGTTAATATTCTTTTGGATATGTGATTTGCATTTAATTAATAACTGTTTTTCAAATACCAGAAAGTTAGATGGATAATCGAAAACAGTGTAAAATTTATGATGATGTTTTTATTTATACTATTTTGAGTATCCAACCCTCTAAAATAGCTATTATGAAAAGTTGCAATATGAATTTAATGAATGCAGTTAGTGTAATTTTATAGGGCCCATCTAGTGTAAGGTCATAAAAATATTTAATAATCCTAATAATAAACCAAAATTATTGCCCCTCCCCTACCTTTTTTTTTTTTTTTTTTTTTTTTCATTACAGTAGTTAAATCAATCATTCCAGTCCAACAATTCGGGACTTTAGATGCAACAGAAATTATGCAATGAGCTACATAGTAAATACTACAATTCATTATATTATTCTTTTAATGTTCAAAAGAGGCCTGGAATGAAAAAGGTGTTTTAAAGCATTTCATTTTCAGAGCACAAAGGCATTATATTGCTTAATAATTAAATATAATATTTTAAATATGAATCACCTTATTTCTTTCTGTCAGACCGCTCACCTCTCTGTCTCCAGACACATATGCAGTGGTCATCAGCATTGAGAGAAAAGCATTTTTCAATCAGACACTGTCTAGCTTGAGTAAGAGAGACACCATGTAAGATGACACTGATTATGGTGGAATGTCAATGGCAAGCGTCTTAATGAGATCTGAACCCAGTGTCACCTAGTCTTCTGTGAATCATATCCCTGGATATTATGGAATTGCAAGATGGCAAGTGGTGTTGAATCAATGATAGCACAATTGTTGGCACATATGTGGCAGCTCTTCTAATTGTGTGATCAACTCATGCATTGGAGACCCAAGGATGTTCCGAGCTAGTAAGGCAGCCTTCGCTGAGCCACTGGCTCCAGCAATGGACAACAACCATATCACTTAGAACAATATGCCGGCCAATCTGCTTGTTTGATGAGCCAGCCTTTTTTAGCCCTATCATGTGACCTCTATCAAAGTCTGACAACTGTTTGTAATGCCACTGAATATGTTTTAAAGGTGTCTTTCAGTACAGTTTTCTGCATCTAAGCCATCAGCATAGCTGTAAAAGCTCGTCATCCACTGCACCTGCTCATTTTACGTTCTACCAGCTGACGTACGTTGTATTACTCCATAATGCTAATTGATGCTGCAAGTCTAATCATTTATACAACTCACCAAACCACATTTGCATACCATGTTTTATAGTTGTGGCTCAGTTTTTTTTTGGGTGCATATATTTTTTTGCAACAGAGTATATAATGTGTATGACACCTGTACAACAAAAATCGACTCAGATATTTCATTTTAAAGGCAGAGATTATAATTAAATGACATATGCAAATTAATGAGCAAAATTTTTGCGATTTTATGTCATTAAAAATAAAATATCAATTTAGAAAACAATTTATGACATTAATAATTAAGTGACAAACGTTTCTTTGCAAACTGTTATCAAAAATACTGATCAATATAATTTTTTTCAAAACGAAGATCTTATTCACAGAATCTTATAGGATTAGCATGGCTTCAATATTAGCACATAATCAAATCGTAACATTATTTGTATAAATAAAAAATTTTTAAAATATTTTTAGTTTAATGAATTTTTGAATGATTTAAAACTTTATGAGAATATTAATTATTTAATAATAATTCTTAAATCTTCATGAGAATATTTCATAATAATTGATAATCTTATTTTTTAATTCATTCAGAATAAAATAAACCTGCAAATTTATGTATTATATCACATAACAGAAATAACATAACTCTATAATTACAAAAAAATTAACAATTTTTATGGCTGAGCTCGGATAAGTGGTACTTGGATAGTATTATTTTTTGTGCCATTTATGAATAGCATAAGAAAAGTTGCTAAGTGCTGCTTATTTGAATTCTGCCAATTGAATTCCCAAACAGAATGGCAAAAGTTCAAATGAGATTAATTGCGAAGTGTTTATATGGGGCAAGTCCGAATGAATGTCGAGATTTCAAAGGTTTACTACCCAAAACATAATTAATGTATTTATTCAAAAAATACATACATAAATGTAGAATTTAACAAATATTCTCTATTCGTATAAAGCGAATATAAAATTAAAATTGGAAATTTAATTAAGAAATTTTAATTGAAGAAATAAAAATAATTATTATTTCTGTCAACTAATTTACAATATCATTTAAATTCTAAGAGCATATGTAAATGAATTGCACTTATCTAATATTCCAAAAAAATAAATTTATATTTCTGAAAATTGCATAAATGAATAATTATTGAGCAGGCAGGAGACAGACTTATCAAGGGAAAGTTGCCCCATACCTAACTCTTCAATTACTCATTTCATGTTTCGTCATCCACATAGGCAAGGGTAAAAGTAAATTTCAAAACCAAAAGTAAAATCAAATGTTGTGAATGCAAAAAAAGAAATTTAAACAGTGGAATTTTAAGGAAATAGCAAGTAAATGACTAGAGTTAAAATTAACTAAAAGTCAATATAAGAGTAGAAAACCAAAGTAATTTAGAAACTCTTGCCTACAGGAAACTTCCCCTACACGAATTATGCATGTAAACTTAAAATAAATTATATACAACAATTAAAAAAAAAATAATAAAAAGGCAAGTAAAAAGCAATTTTTAATTTAACTTACCTAATATTTGAATTTCTGAGCTGTACCAGCATTTGCTAAACAAGTTGAGTAGTTTGTACTGCTAACTGAAAAAAATAGAGGTATCTAATACAATGTAAAGTTGAGTGTAAAGCTGCTATCTGTGAGAGCTATTGTAAAAACCATGTTGTAAATCCCAAAAATGTAAAAAGTAAAATGCTTGTTAGTGTGCAAAAATGTTGCCAACTATGAGTCATTGTAAAAAGTGTTAAAGAAAAAAAATGCACTGCTACTGTTTGTGAAAATGGATGTTGCAAACAACTAAAGAGTAAAAAACTTTTTGGAAAAAAAAAAATTAGTACAGGGGTCGGCAACCTATTTGTCCTTAAGGGCGCAATACTAAATTTGAAAATCACTGAGGGCGCATATTTTACAGATAATCAACAGGTATAAATAGGCATTAAAAAAACATATTTTTATAACTTTATTTTGTTGGTGTCATACATAATGATACATATAATTCAGTGTGAAACTTGGGTGTCCATATTTTCAGCTAATTTCTTATAATTGGGGATATATTTAGAGTTCCTGGTCCTTAAACAATTATCTAAATGTGAGTCATTAAGCTTTGTTCGGTATTTTGATTTCAAATATTTCATATTTGAGAACAAAGACTCTCAATTGTATGTTGTTGCACAATATGAATAAATTTTTAGCATACATTTCCTTAAAATAGGATACTTATTTTCATCGACTAAGTTCCAAAACATTTTATCCTTACTATGCGCTTTTAAAATAATATCACTTTGCAAGTTTATTATTTCTAATTCTAGGTCTTCGATATTATGAAGCTCGAAATACACTGAAGCTTTTTCAAAGACATCATCTTCAGTAGCATTGAATAAATTTATGAAAAATCTTAGAACGGATTCTAATGCTGCAAAATCTTCAAATCTAGAAGAAAACTCTTCTATTAGCTTATCTATAATTTCTAAATATGATGTAGCAGTAAAATTTTCATTATTCAAATTTAAACTCTCAACAGTATATTTTATATTTGGGAAATGTGATAATGATTTTTTCAATAGATGGGATTTCAACAACACTAACTTGCATTTGAATGCATTTACTGCACTAATCATGTCAGCGATATGCTGATTTTTCCCTTGTATTTTTAAATTTAATTCATTCAACTTTGCCGTTATATTTGTCAGAAATCCGAGGTCGATTAGCCAATCCTTATTTTCTAATTGCTCGCAAAATTCGCCTCTTGCTGCAATAAATTCCTTTATTTGTGGTAAAAGCATGATAAACCACTCAAGTATTTTACCTCTGCTCAGCCACCTCACTTCAATATGTAAAAGAAGATCTGTGAACTGAACGTCCTCATTTTCTAAAAGTAATTTAAACAATCTGTGTTGCATAGCTCCCGATCTTATGGAATTAATAATTTTTGTTACTATTGTAAATACATGTTGAAAACCGATTGTTTTTCCGCATAACATTTCCTGGTTTATGAGGCAATGATAAGAAATAAATTTCGGGAATAAGGAATCCTGTCTACCTAAGGCAATAAATCCTTTTTCTTACCAGTCATCGCTGGTGCCCCATCTGTTGTAATTGACGATAACTTTTGTACAGGTAATTTTACATCTGTTATATACTTTTTAAAAGTAGAAAAGATATCTTCTCCTCTGGTGCTTCCCTTTAATGGCAGAACTTTAAGGAATTTTTCTTTTGTTGTAAAATCAGAAAATACCATCTTCATGCAAATTGCTAATTGTGATATATTTGTCACGTCTACCGATTCATCCATCTGTAGTGAAAAGAAAATACAATTTTCCATATCATTTGCTAATTCTGCCTCCAAATTCTCCGCAATTACTTCAATTCTTCTAGTAACAGTTCGTGCTGATAATTGCAACGTGTTTATAGCTGAAACTATTTCCTTTTTATTTTTAAATTCTTCAAAAAGTGAATCAGCAGCTTCTAACATGGTTTCTTTCACTAATTCTCCATCTGTAAATGGTTTTTTATTCTTAGCTAGCAAAAGGTGCGATCGTTGCTGCTTTATGTTGTTGCAGTGGTTTAGTAAAAAAAAACTTTGCTGGTTAGTTATTGAAGATTTTAAAGAAATTTTTTTTTTCTTCTAATTTCAGAGTGTATTGGATAGTCACTATCAAAATTGGTATGAACGGTCTTAAAATGTCTTTCAATATTACTTTTCTTAGGAATCGCAACACTATTATTACACAACAAAAAAATACACTTCCCTTTGTAATCAACGAAACAATATAGATGTTCCCATTCATCGTTAAAATAATATGTTCTTTTTCTTTTACATTTATCCATGAAGGGTTTTGATAGAAAAGAATTATTTCGGATTACTCGGTAGTTTTAAATGCACGATCTGCGCGTGGTCTATTCGAAATACAATCACACACTAACAAAAAATACGTGCGTATTATTAGATACGCTCAAGGTCAGCAAACTGCTAACCTATGCACAATCCTAAACTCAACTGACTACTGTCTAACCACGCTAGCGAGAGCAGTTTGGCTGAGGGCCAAGATGGGTCAGTTTAATTGAAGGGGTGTATGGGCGAAAAGCGCGGGTATTTTTCCCTCTCGAAGTGTGGGTGAAATCGAAGGTCAGGGGACATTTAGTGTCTACCTGGCTACTGCACTCACCCTTACATAACTGATAGATGTGCCCACTTCCGCCCCAAACCGGATGTTTACATAGATCTGGAATACCTGGTCAGACAGTACTTGCTGTATATCGCCGTTTGACAAGAGTAAGTAAATCGCTCTGGCTATCATACAATTACATTAGTCCAGCGAGGGCACATTAACCGCTTGCCTGATTATCCCGAGTTATCTCAGGTTCGTATATATTGCAGTTAATTATTATTCCGAGAAAACTCAGGCGATGCAGAATTTGTTAGTATGATTTCTTTTATCACGGTTTTACTCGGTCTGGAGGAAATGAAAGGAAATATTTAGCTTTGATTGGCAGTTTCCAAATTTTGTTGGTTGTACGGTTGTTTTGGAGGGACTGGTCGCGTGTTTCCCTATTGTATAGTATACGTTGGCTTGTGGATTAGTAATGTATAAAGAAGGATGCGTGCGTTGGAAAGAAATAAAATAATGGCGATGATGGAAGATAGCGAAAATGATGATTTTTCAGATAGTAATTATGAAAAGGTTGGGAAAAAAATAAAAAAAAATAAAAAAAAATCAAATCCTACGAGACAGTGTACTCTGTGCTCCCGTGAAAGAGATTCCAGCGGTAAGCCAGTAAGAAAAGAGACCAGATACCAGTGTAGAACGTCAGGTATCACTCTGTGTTGTCCGTTGTTTCAAAAACTATCATACAAAGATTAATATTTAACTTTTTTCATTTGCCCGAGATAACTCGGGATAGTAAACTAATATTAAAAATAAATGCTTTTACACCTTCAAAAAATTAAAAATTCAACTTGAAACTTACATATTTTGATTTGTTTTGTTTTGTTGTATTTAATAATAAAATAAAAAAATGTGATGATTTTTTGCAATTTTTTTCAAAAAAATTTGTAAGGGAAGCGGTTAAAAATCGATCGGGCGTCTGAGGGCGCCGCATTGCCAACCCCTGATTTAGTAAATAAAATTTCGAAAAATAATTGAATTGAATTCAAATTAATTTAATTTAATTTAGTAAACTTAAATTGAGTGGAAAAGAAAATTACAAATTGAAATCGAAAATTATTATAAGAAATTTTTGTACTGGACTGCATTATGTAAAACTGAAGTTACAAGTTCAATCAAAACTTTAACTAAATATTGGCTAAAGGTTAGAAAATTAGATAAAAATCTTCACTCAATTTGGGCTATAATTGAGACTTTTGAAAAGAGTTGGTCCGTCATTAGTAAAAGGAAAGAATCCAGTGTTGATAAAATATGCATTTTTACGAAATATTTACAAGTAATCTCTTAACTCTTCAAAATCCTCCATTACCCTCCAGTTAAGGTTTAAGGTAATATTATTATACCGTAAAGAGTTAAAAAATTAAAAAGAAAAGTTAATGCCTGTCATTTGAAGGTATTATAATTAAATCTAGAATGTAGTCCTCAGGATGTTCAATATACACTCCTTTATAGAGAAAATTGTGTGCAGTATTTTTTACTTGTCTTACTTGATCTGCAATACATATATCTTCACCTAAATCTTTCAAGCATATTGTATAACAATAAAATTGCGTTATTGTTTTGAACTTGATATTTATAATTTTTTTGTTTTCTTTATTATTAAATTATTAATATCATTGTACTTCTTTAATTTATTACTAAATAATTTTTAACATAACAGTTAATTTATGTAACGAGAAATTCCTTAGTTATTTTTTGGGTGTTAATTCTTTTCCTTTATTATTAAATTTTTAATATCATTGTATTGCTTTAATTTATTATTAAATTATTTTTGAACATAACAGTTTATTTGTGGAGACAGAAATTCCTTATTAGTTGAAATTTTATCTTTATACTTTTTATTTTCCATTAACTATTTTTTAAAGATTAACTTTTTCTACTAAATAGGTTCTGTGCATTCAATTTTTGGGCGAAGTAAGCTTCACATTCAAAATGTTAGTAAAGAGGATGAAGGCACGTACATATGTCTTGCTCAGAATGCTGCAGGGGAAAGAAAGGCTGCTGCTGCTGTTCGGGTTAGAGGTATGATTGCATTAAAAAATTTTTTTTTTTACTATAACTGTTTGATTTTGAACCTAGAAGGAAATAATCCAGAGAATAAAACTCTATAAACCAAACAGAATATTTATTAAACTTAACATAACATAAAGCAAAAGAAATAAAAAGAGATGACCAGCAGCTCTGTGCCATGTACAATAAAGCGAATACTGGAATTTTTCTGGAATAGTAGCAATACTGCTATAGCAGCATGGCTATTTGTAATATTAGTAAGCAAGTTTAACTTTTCAGCTTGGGGTTAGCTGCAGAAAAATAAAATACAGACATTTATCCCAAGTGTCACTCCATTACCAGGTATAACTATCATGCGGCATTGCACCATCACTCCAAGAACTGGATACTTGACAAAGAGGCAAGAGGATCAACTTGTTTACAGAATGCTGGAACACAGTTTGAGACATCTGAACTTAAGCTACTCAGACAAATCCATCGTATCCTAGTTATACCTCCACTATTCTTCCCAATTACCATGTAGTTGGAGAAGTGTTACCTTTTAACAGAACCATGTTACCAACCTCCAGATTTGGCTGATCTTTTTTCTGTTTTATCTGGACTGCAATGTATGTAGGTACTCTCTGCACCGTCTCTTCCAAAACCCCTGCTTTACCTGCAAGGCTTTCATCTTAAAATAAGTATTAACTATTTAGTTTAAATTTTACTCCCTTTTTTATCAACACGTCATACCTCATTCATGCTTATTTTAAAGATTATAATCATGTAGCAGTAGTTTTGGAGAACCATAGTTATTGTGCATGTAAATTTCTTGTTCTGAATTTTATTTTCCACAAATAATTTAAAATGCTTGAAAACTAAACTACCAAAATAGAAAAGTGTTGATAATAATTGGCCAATATTCCAAAACACAGTATTATGGAATATTGCCCAATATTTTCCATTCAATATAAATTTATTCAATAATTATAATGTTTTTTCCCAATCCTCAAAATATATTTTAAAGTCATTTCTGTAAAATCTCTTCATAACTCATGGTAAATTTTCTTTTATAAATTAATAAACTCAAAACATTGACCATCAAAAAGCTAACCATGCAAATAAGAAAAAGACATGTAATTTCATATATTTCAGCTAAAAACAGAACTCACAGTGCAATATGTGTTGGATTTTGGCCCAAAAATTCATGAAAAACAAGAGCGTGTTAATTATTATCGTTCAAAATCCATGAATTTTCTTATCACAACTTGGGTGATTTCCTACAGTTTCTTTCAAGCAGTTGCAGCAAAACATTGAGTAATTTGATCATTCGGCTGAAATTCATGATGTGCACCACCATGGAAATTGAAGAAAATAATCTGCAGTATCTTAATTTTCAATTGATTTTTACCAAGATCTTTTCAATTTTTCTTCATAATGATTCTTGACTATACTGAACTGTTTCTGTATCAAAAGTGTAAATCCAAGTTTTATCACTGGTAATGACATAAATTTTTGTATAATATGGACCGTATGATTAAGACCTTAAGATGGATTCATCTCAAGAAGGATCTTCTGGATTACATCAAAAAGAAATGTACAGCAAGACTAAATGATCTTTCATATTTGCTGAACAGAATTTAAATGAAATGGTAATTGCTAAGCTCCAGATCTCTGATTCAGTTAATATGCTTGTCATTTGTTGAAGTATAATTTATTTTCACTGCATTCTCAGCTACTAACAAGTTCTTGATTTTGATAGTTTTTCCCCAAACCTTTTTGCAACCAGAATTTCATTGAAAAAACAAAAATTAATGCCTGTTCATAGCTCAGTTATATAGGTCATTTGAAAGATTTGAATCACCAATACAAAAATTCTTTGTTCATTAAAAATGAATTTATTTCCAAATGCTAAAAGGAAGTGAAAAATGGATTGTTACCTGGTGAAGAAACTTGTAATAACTTCTGACAAAAATGTTGTAGTCAATTTTTTTTTATGTACAATCTAAAGGAATCATTCTCTATATTTTTTGTCACAGTAGTGTAGTGTTCTAAATATAATGCTGTAACACTTTAAAATGTATTTGAATTTATACTTTTTGTGTAACTTCTATCAATTTTTAGCACCTCCTATTATTTTGGACTCTTCTGGTGTTAAAAGTGTACAGGTGAAAGAGGCTGTTATCTTAGACTGCCTTGTCAAAGGTGATCCATCACCAAATATAATATGGATAAAAAATGGCCAAAGATTAGAACTAAATCATCGGATACAAGTGATGATGAATGGATCCCTTTTCATCTATAATTCCTCAGTGAGTCAATTTTTTAATGAAATTAATAAAACATATTATTGTAGTCAGTTTTGCTTCTTTTGTGTTTACATATGTGCCTTAATTTAAAAAACCTTTTTGATTACTTTCTTTACTTTTATGATTGCAGGATCAAGACTCGGGGCATTACAAATGCATAGCTAGTAATGATTTTGGGTCTGCTGAAAGAACTGCTGAACTTATTGTCAAAAGCAGACCTACATTTATTATTGAGCCCCACAATACAAAAACTGAAGTTGGCAATACTGTACATTTTGATTGTCGATTAGATGGAGAACCGAAGCCTACAGTAGCGTGGATGAAAGACTCTGTTCTGTTGCAAAAAGATGCACGTGTCCTTACATTTCCAAATAATAGCCTTCAATTAATTGCTGTTCAGCAGTCAGATGAAGGAGTGTATACTTGCTTTGGAAACAATTCTTTGGGATCAGCAGCTGCAGAAGCCCAACTTATTGTGCAAGGTACAGGGTACAACATTATTCAGAAAATCTGATATAACATTAAAGGCCAGTTTACATCTGTCAAAGCTGCTCGTAGCGAGCCACTCGTCCGGGCGTTTCAAACCGAGTGAACGGACCTGTACTCTGATAGATTGTTTACACCAATCAGAGTGGACTGACAACTCACCTCCGTTTGTTTACGAAATGGATACCGACGTCGCAGCTGCAGGAAAGAATTGCATTGGACATACATAGATGTTCTTAGGCTGCAGTGCTTGAAGTCTGTGAAGCAGTTTCAAACGAATTAATTTCTGCTCTTGGGAGGGAAAAAAAAAAAAAAAAATGGGTACGTGATTGGGTAGCTTGCCGCGATGAATTAGGAGTATCAAATGAACTATTAAATGAATTTCGGACGAGAATGTCCAAAGTTACAAAAACGTTATTGCATATCAGATACAAGAATTTAAAAGAAACTCAGTTTGAGAGAAGTTATTTAGTCAACTGTGGTTACTGAAAGTCAAATTAACAAAGCTTTTCTACTATATACAACTGTTTATTTACACCTAATTAATCATTTACAAAATAATGTAAAGTAATAATGTGTTTTATTATTTATTAATAGAAAGAATATATTTATTCATCCAGAATCCACAGAATCAGTAGCTCTCTGTGCATGAATTAATTATGCAGAGTTCTGACTGGAACCGTGTTATTTCTAGAGAAGAATGCAAAATTAACACATGGAAAATTTATTCAAATCTACCATTAACACGACAGAAGTAAACTGTATGATATCTACCTAATTATTCAGAAAATCTTAAATAAATAAGAAGTAGCAAAAAACTTGAGAGCATTACATATATTACCACAGTGGCAACACACAAAGTGATATCAACAAAATTAATAATGGGTAAATATAGTGATTATACTTTACTTCTAAAATGCTAAAACGGATAGTTTAAGAAGATTAGAATTCATCTAGCATAATTTGTATAAACCTTAATACACCTTCAGTACTTGCACTCACACATCCAAGCTGAAAATGTTTCACATCCAAGCTGAATTGTAACGAATTATAGCCCAGAATGTTTTTATACAAAGCAAGAAATTTAAATATCCCCAATAAAACAGATCTACATATATTTTTTATATTTTTTTTATTTTTATAGTTTATCATATATTTATTGCATCCTCATGTAGGGATGCTTGTAGAAAAATGAATATAAGCTCACATAATTATAGAAGTAAAACACTTCATAAGATGCATACGCATTAAAAAAATGCCATGGTTTGGCTATCGCTTAATCTCGGATTATAGAACTCACTGCCACGACGTCCCTGTGAACGCTGCTCGGAGTAACTGCCCGGAGAGATTTTTTCAACAGGTTCAAAGTAGAAACGGAAACGCTGACTCATCTCCCCAACGTTTGTACTCCGTCGAAGTGAGCGTTTACATTGTCAAAGTAATCGTAAGGTGCGACTCGCTCCGAGCCGCTCTGACAGGTGTAAACTGACCTTAACCTTCGTCATGGATACCTATTATACTTTATTTTTAAACCATTCTTCATGATCCATGTTCTTATGCCTTCGACTTATAATTGTTTAGAATTTTGGGGGGGCGGGGGGCTTTTATATTTGATGCAAATTTATTTATTTGCATATGTATCATATTGCCAAAAAAAATGTAACGCTTTTGTTTGAGAATCAAAGAAATTGATGCACATAATTATCCTTAAGAGTAGTAGAAGGGGAAATTTTTTTTGAGAGGAAAAAAAAATTCTTCTGCCTTAATGTGTAGAACTCAGGTCTTTATCATTAATTTTCTACTTCTCCCCCTTTTATTTATTTGCTGCAATTGATCTGTTTTATTAGAAAATAAAATGTGTAATTTTTTTTTTTTTTTGTGGTGTGTGTGTGTGTGTGTAAGTTCTGTAGTAAAATTTCACCCCCTACTATATAGAAAAGAAAGTATAATTATAATTGATAATGATAACAGATTTTGGTTATGATAATATTAATTTAAAAAATAATGGGATACATTGGAAAACTACATTCATAAATAAAATTGGCTTGTTCTTTAATAGAATTATGTTATTATTATAAATCGTTATCTTTGTAAATGCTTTGTTTTATATTAAGCATTAACAAGTCTTCCAAATTTTACTAGAAAGATCTTATATAGAAGAATGCACATCATTCATTAAGATGAACAGAAATTGCACATATTGCAGTGTGTGATAACTATTAAGTGTGGCTTCATCCTAAAGCTGTTGTATCAGGTCCAGAATCAGAGATATCAGATTTTTAAGTCATTCACATGATACCCATTTTGAAGGCTATTGTCTAGTTTGTTTCAAAACACACAACAATATTTCAACTCATAATGTATCATATTACACGAGGGTTGGAACTTTTAATAGTGGCAACTATTTATTTACAAGGAATACAAAAGTGATTCATGTCACCATGTTTTACAGTCCTTCAGCATAGTCGCCAGCATTGTGTATAACCCATTTCCAACGATGTGGAAGTCGCAGAATACCTGTAGCAGCGCCTATTTTGTTGATAGTTTGAATGGACCAGTCTACTGCCGCAAGAATCTCAGGAACAGTTTGAAAGCGAGTGCCACGAAGTGGTTCCTTCATCTTAGGAATTAAGTCATAGTCACAAGTGCTTAAATCTGGGGAGTATGGTGGATGGTAAAGCACTTCCCAGCCCCATCACTTGAACAAATCAGTCACAGCTTGCGCTGCATGCGGCTGAGCATTGTCATGCAAAATGAGAGGAGCGTTCTGCAGAAAGTGTCGCCGTTTTTTCTCATAGCTGGTCGGAGATTGTGCTCCAAAAACAAGCAGTAATACTACGCAGTGACGGTCTGCTGTGGGGGAACGGTATGCGTTAGGATGACACCATCACAGTCATACACGAGAATCACCATAACTTTCACATTGCTGGGGTTCTGATGAAATTTCGAATGTCGTGGTGACCCATGATGACGCCATTTGTTTGATTGGCGTTTCAGTTCTGGCTGGTATGATCGGGCCCAAGTCTCATCCAAGGTAATGATACGGCGTAAAAAAGCATCTCCTTCGCGCTCATAGTGCTCCAGGTGGGTTCGGGCAGTATAGTATCGTAGCCATTTCTGCATTTCCATCAATTGATGTGGAACCCATCGTGAAGCAATTTTTCTCATGGACAGGCGTTCCTGCAGAATGTGCAGCCCAGTCGTATGCGCTAATCCTGTTTGTCCGGCCAGCTGACGAATCGTTTGGCGGCGATCACTGTCCATTAGTGAGGCAACAGCTTGCACGTCTGCATCGCTGACACTCAGACGACCTGGCCGCAGCATGTCTGCCATGTTTTGGCGTCCTTCATTGAATGCTTTCACCCATCTTGCTATGGTTCTGTAAGGCAATGCGGATTCCTCGCAAGCCTCTTGAAGCCCTTGATGACACTGTCGTGCTGTACGACCTCTAGCACATTCAGTTTTTATCCAACATCATTTTCTTCTTTTGAAAACATCCTGACAACACTTACTTTAGGCCACGAGCTAGTACGAGGATTCGTTCTTCGCGTCACTCCGCATGCGCGTGACGTAGGCAGGACGAGTCTTTTTGGTTAGAGGTAAGGTAGGTATGTAGTTCACGTGTGGTATACGCGATATTCTTTGGTTTTGTTGCGTAGTATTTTTTAAGCTGTGTTGCCACTATTAAAGTTCCAACCCTCGTACAAACTAAAAGAAATTTGTCTGCTAAAGGTGATTTCAACAATTTTATATAATAACTTTTTCCCCCCAGTAATCCCACAGATCCGTTTAATTGAAACTGGGTGACGCTTCTCTTTATATCATGAAACCCTGAGGTCTTACTGGTGCAAGATGAAATTTTTATATAATATTGACTTATATAGTTGAGTAATTCTTTCCTTTAATGTACATGCTTTCATATCTGTCCCAATCGGTTTATAGATTTATCTGCGATGAAATCCTAAGACCTGTGGCATATGAAACTATGAATAATCATTACTATATTTTGCATTGGCTTAGGGTCTATACAGATGGTTCTAAGGTGGAAGATTATGCCAATGCAGGAGCTGGTGTTTTTGCGAGCCCTTCTCATTTTACACTTCTGTTCGTGCTCACGTCAGTTTTTGACAGAGAAATCTGTACTATCCTATTGGCCCTTCTTCAACTGCAAAACCAAACGGAATGTTTTTCTAAAGTGGTGATTCTTTCAGACTCAAGAGCAGCTCTTCAGACCACAGACTCTGCTGATCCATCCCATATGAAAGATGTTGATGACTGTATCAATCTTTTGGCATGTTTATCAGATTGTAATAAAACAGTTGTTTTGCAGTGAATCCTGGCCCACTGCAGAATCAAGAGGAATGAGACTGTTGACTTTCTGGAAAAAAAAGGGGGCTTCTGTTTTACATCTAAATGGCCAGAAACTGTCCTGCCAATCTATTAAGACAATAATTAAAAGGACACTAATGAGTTCCTTCTCTCAGCACATTGTCGTTAGAAGTGGTCAAAAGCTCTGGTTCAATCATATTTCAGATATTCTTGAGTGGCCTCTTGATAAATTGGTGGCACTATTATGGCTATTTCCTGGCGATGATTGTCTCTGAAAACACATTTCTAGAATTAACTTGGCTCTAAATCCTGCTTTTTCTTTATGGACTGTGGAGAGGATTTTGACATTTCTCCCCTTGCCTCCTGTCCTGCTCTGCCTGTGTCTTGATGGGAGTGAAATTTGAATAGCCAGACTGAAGTTGACAGATTAACCGATGTCTCTTTCCATTTTTATGTTAATTTCTTTTTCTTAAGATATCTGTTGTCCTGTTGTTTTAGTCACCTAAAGAACTTTAAAAACTAGGCAGTGATAGATGTCTGGTTCTAGGCACCTGATATTTTAAATAAATATCAGGTGCCTAGAACCTTAAAATGTAAGTTACTAATAGGATAAAGTAACTGTACCTCAGTCCTGTCAATCATTTATGGAATTAAATTTAAAGACAGATATTTGCCTTAGGTTATTTTTTTTTATATTTCTTCTGTGCAAAAGTAGATTTTGTTTTCTCATGCACAGAAAAGTTAAGTTGCCCTGGTGTAAAGCAAAATTTGAGGGATATACGGTTTTACCAATCTTTTTTAGGCTATAGAGACAAGCTTGAAGTCATCTCTAAAGTAGTATAAAAATATATTTGGAATTAAAATAAAAAGTTGTTGGAATATTGGGTTATGCTAAAGCAAATGAAGGCTACTTGCCTAAGAGGAGAGCTTTTTAAGGAAAATTGGCTTGTATTTACATTATGCGTAAGAGAAATCATCAGAACTCTCATGCACCTAGTCTGGTCTCTGGAATTTCAACTTGAGTCTAACTACTAGCATTCAAAATAAGCAAGAATAAAATCAGTTTGTATAAGTTTAATTGTCTAAGTTATTAAATTCTTCAGATTTTGATATAAAAATGCTTCATATTTTACTTATTATTTCATAGTAAAAGTAATGCAAGAAGATTTTTATTAAAATGAAAGATAGTAGCTAATCATTTTCTGGGAGAAGAAAAAATCATTAGTAAATAAAATGTTAAGTATATTATGTTAATTATATAATGTTATGCATAATTTCGCTTTTACATTTTAATCCATTTCAACAAATGTATGATCCATATTTTAAAAAGTGAAAAAATAAAATAAAATGCTTAAAACATTACTGATACATAGAGAATTCTTTTGTATTAACGACTTTTATAAGATGATCATATCTGATAGTGACTTCTATATTTGAGAATAAAAATACAGTTTGATGTTGAAGATTAACTTACTAAGCAACATCTTCTAAACTGTAGTTGGTCTTCTTAGAGAAGATACGCAGTAATTAGAAATGTATATGAGGTTTACAATTTTTTTTAGTTTTCATGTTGGATGGTGGTAAATTATCCTGGGTTTGCTTCCTTATAAGCAATGAACTGTCTGCATACAGTTTTTATCTTACGAAATATAATTAACAGCCAGTTTTCCTAAAAGATCTTTTATGAAAGCATACCATTTGAGGCACATAAACTCCAAATGCTCTGCCATATTTTAATAGTCTAACCTAAATTTTATTGCCTTTTGTCTTTCTTAGTAAATATTTGTTAAACATGTTTCTTTTATTATTTAATGTTTTGTATTTTTATAATGGTGTTTTCAAATATTACTTGAACTAAAATGCAATTTATTAGTTCATGGAAAATGGTCAAACTGGCAAGAATGGGGACAGTGTTCAGCTTCTTGTGGAGATGGTGAGCAATCAAGACAAAGATTTTGCAATGATCCAGCTCCAAAAAATGGAGGAAAAACTTGCATTGGACTTTCAAATGAAGTCAAGAAATGTAATGAAAGACCATGTCCAGGTACAAAATAATTGTTGCTTAATTTTGTAGATCTGATGAAGTAGAACTTTCAAAAAACTTAAATTAAACTATAACCATATTATGTTTATTATGAAAACTATACTTTTGAATAAAATATGATTAGTTCCCATTATTATTAATTCTGTGATTTATTATGTAGTTGTAATCAGAAAAGTTCAAGAAAGGGAAAATATTATATGATAACATTTATTATTTCAAAATAACTGTGTTAAACTTTCTATGAATTAAAAGAAAGCAATTAATCTGTGTTATTTTTAGTAATTTAAAACATTAAGATTTTGTGCACTTAAGTTCTTGTGTACATTAAGTTCCTTATGCTGTTAGCTGTTTGCAAATAACCTCATCTTCAATACTTAATGCTTGTGACAAACTATATTAATGAGAATATCCTTATTTTAACATAGGACTGTACATCTCTATTTATACTTAAATATTATGTATGTTTACTTAAATATTATGTAAAATTATATATGTTTTATCGATATTTTATGATGCTGTTGTTTTCATGTAAATGCTCAATAATTTTTTTAATGTTAAATATTAATGTGTGAGAATTTTTAAATGTAATGCAAGAATATAATGAAATTAATTTTAATATCTCACGTGAGTTAGCATATTTACTCACCTTAATAAAGTAATGCATTTTATAAGTTATATATTGCAGTGAATGGTGAATGGGGAAATTGGCTGGAATGGCAAAAATGTAGTGCTTCATGTGGTGTTGGGCAGCGTAAGCGACAGAGGAAATGTGATAATCCTAGCCCACAGTATGGAGGTGAAAACTGTACAGGTCTGGATACAGAAACAGACATCTGTATTCTTATGAAATGTCCAGGTAACAATTTTAATTTCTTACATTTTTTGATAAAATCTTATTTTAGAAAGCAATTTAATTACATCATAATCCAGAGGCTGCTATTCTAATAGTAGTATATGTATATGCTGCAGAAAAGTTAATAAAAATACATTTAAAACATTTGTTTTAACTTATTTGTATTAATATGTATATAAATAAACTGCAAAAACAAGTAGACTAATGTATATAATTAATTTTTTTCAAAGTGCAATTTTTTCCTTAATCCTGTTATTAAAAATTATTTATCATATCAATAAATATTACCTTTTGCTGTAGAAATATTTTACTTGGAATTCTGGATGTTCCAAAGATATGAGTATAGATTTAAGGGGGGAAAATATATCTGAGTTGAAAACGTGTATGCTGTAAATCTTTGCTTTAAAAACAAGATCTTTCTTATTTCAGTGGATGGACGCTGGAGTATGTGGTCGGATTGGCAACCTTGTAGTGTTTCATGTGGGAAAGGTATTCAGATTAGAATTCGTGAGTGCAAGAATCCTGAACCACTACATGGAGGACAGCCATGTCTAGGTGAAGGTGAAGAATCTCAAGAATGTGTTCTAGATGAGTGTGCAGGTAAAAGAATATTTCATAAACATGGAATTTGGTTCATAATGTAACAAGAGCTTTTCTTATTTTTGTCATTGTACTTTTTAGAGGAGAGTTAAATGCTACAAAAACCTTTTACCTAATTTTATGATTTATGAGTTCTATTTATTAATTAAATTAATGGCCTCTCTTTGGATTTTTTATGGTGTCATTTAAAGTACCAAATATGTTGGAGAAAATGACAAAAGTAATACTTTTCACTTTTATATTATTATTGTTTTTTAATTTTGAAGTTGATTGTTCATTAAATAGACATCTTAAAATAAAATGTATTTTTTAGCTTCCATCATTATTTAAAGCTTACAATTCTTTGAATATAGACTACAGTTAAAATAAACCTAACTTTTGAGTTGCATGTTATTGGTTTCCAGTAACATTTTAAATTGGTTGAAACATTGGGAAAACTGTTTGATCATGGTAAATCTGGTATGGGTAATAAGGAAACAAAGAATTAAGAATAATTAAAACTCAATAACTATTAATTCAAATTAGTTAATTGATTGAACAAGAAAGAGCATATGCAGTCTTTCATGAATTCACATAAATGTGAAATATTGTCCTTGATTTTCTATCAGATATTTTGTTTTAATTGCATACGTAATTAAAGTTGCATTATATCTGTAATTAGCATCCTAACAAATCTTATACATGTTTTATTGGGAAAATATGTAGAGATTTAGAAAACATGAGAGTATTGGAATGCTGTGAAGGCATTCACTGGAGATGTTTGCTATGTAATTAACACTGTAAAAATCATAATTGATGTATTATCATGTTATTGAAGCACTGTGAAATGTAACTGGAGGTTGCTGAGTACCATAAGCTTCCCAAATTCCAAGTGTGCTGAACATATGCTGCCATTCAATTGTGTGGCATGTACTGTTGTTCAGACCTCCTCCATACAAAACGTTTCCGATTATCAAAGTCAAGAGAAACTGTGATTCTTCATAAAGCAAGAGACAACTTAAACTGAATGTTTTCCTAACTTTGTGCTGCAATACCAAAGTATTATCGCTGTTAGTGCTGAGAGTTAATGGTAAATGTTACAATAGATGCTAACAGTGGAGTGGATAGCAGCTGCTACTATCACATAATCCTTCTACAAAGTCTGCATTCTAAACCTATCCTTTATCCTTGAGACAATTACGAATACTTTGTTGAAACAATGCAAGTATAATGATCATGTGATTGTATCATCACTCTAACCATCATGCTGGGTGATCTATAAATGAAACCTGTTCTGACAAGTCTGTTTCTGTTAAATCTGTACAATGACTGCCCTAAATAATTCTAATGTAAATGATCTACAGTAAAAGTTCGACTATGTGAAAAGTATGAGAAATGCCAAATACCAGATATGTGAAAATTCAAAAATTCAGGATAATTGAGCGTATAAAAAATGCAGTTGATGTTAAAAAAGCTAAATGAATGGAAGGAAAAAAATTTCTATCTATAATTATAAAAGCAGTCATCATCTTTGTTATTAGCTTGAATATAAAAAATGCATTTCAAACTTAAAGCCGACACATTTTTCTAGACCTTAAAAATATAAAGTGAAATATCATACCTGACTATGAAATCCCATTGACCACGTAAGCTGGCAAAGATTCTGCTACCTTACACTAGTTGTTCTGGCAGAAATTTTAATGAACTTACTACTCTTTATTTATTTAGATAATCAAGAAATATAAGTTATGAATATAGCTTGTAAAAACCTTAAATCACCTGTCATAATTTTTCACATTGTATTGCCTGCCATCGTTTACCCATTTTCAAATAAAGTTATATATCATGGCCGTTGTCGCACATTTTTCTTGATGCCAGGATACACTAATTTTCTAACTACTCCACTATATGATGCTATTCTATTTTGGGCAGGTCCTAAGTTTTAATAGTATTTTCAAAATGCTAGGTGGGAGCAGATAAACAACAGTAAACTTGCATTTTTCTTCTTCACAAAAACTAAGTATATCAAAAATTATTTTTCTCAACATGAAGTCCAAAGCAAAATTCTTATGACTGGGAATTCTAGTATGTCCCATCACCATAGTCACAGGAGATCTTTAAGAATGTCCACATTAAATCATCATGCATTGTTATGGAGGATGATGACATCATCTGAGATATCTTTTGTATCCAACACTTGGAAGAAAGGAATGACACTTACTGGTGACATTATCCTCCATGACAATTTTCTGTGTCACTGTGTAATGTGAAGGTACTGGAATAGTGTGAGCTTTGTTGTGATGGCATGTACTGGAATTACGATCATACGTACCCAGTATGAGTCCATGTTACTATGATCTCTTTGCCGAAACGAAAGAACAACTGTGAAAGTTCTGTTGCAATAGAGAGTTTATTATTTAAAAGAGTTCTCCAGTGGATTGGCTCCTGACCACAGCAACTCAAGGCTAGAGTAAAACTTGATAGTCCCTCTCATGCAGTGTTGCCAGAAATTTTTCAACTAAAGTAGCAAAAAAAAAGACTGAAAAATTCTCTAAAAGGTGCAAATGATGTCAGAGATCAAATAATTTTTGTGACGTCATAATTACTTCAATCCTTAGTTGTTTTAATTATGTATCTTAGCTTTAACAAAAATTTTAAAACTATATTGTTCATTTTCAATTGTTTAAATATCCATTCCTTTTGTAATTAATTCATTTAATTTTAGATTTCTGTTTTTAAATTAATTTGTAAGATATTCCTCACATCTAGATTGTTAGCGCTATTGTACTAAGTTTTTTTAGTCTGCAGTTAATTTTTTTTTTATTTTGAACATTTTAATTCAGGAATGCTTTAATGCATTAATGAGGCTTTTCAGTGAGTTTTACAGTTTTCCATTCTGGATGGTAGACTTATTTCAGATTCTGATTACTTAAAAGTTTTTTTTTTTTTTTTTCCCTGAAACTCCATATTTCTTCGTTGTCACAATAATTTTCTCAATTAAGAAGTGTATGTTAAATGTCAATCACACCGAAGGTACGTGCAGTTTTCTGTTTGCAGTTAGCCGTGTTTGTTCTTTCACAGCTAAATTTGTTTGTGTTGTTATTTAGAAAAATGCAGTTGCTTTGATTTATAAGTCATTTCTGTTCCTTAGTTCTTAGCACTATTATAATCAGAAGGATAAATTTTTATTTCTTTTTCTGTTTGGGGACCCACTATATGACACGCAAGTTCTTTTATTCAATTCGTTATCACCGTAAAACTGAGGGAGAAGGGGACTGTCTTAAAAACAAAATTTGTAGAGTACTAAAATCATGAATATTAGTATTAAGGTACATAATTCTGTGTTTTACAAAGCATTTTATGATATATTAAAGAAATCTTTGAAGTCGCAAAAAGTATCATAAAGAAATGATGGAGATAGCAAATACCAAAAGTTTAGTAGCACAAGTTTGTCAAGAGTCACAAATTTGCAATAAATCGCACGATTTGGCAACACTCTCATGCTCAGGGTATGAGAATACTGTTTATATATGTGTTATAGTGAGTTTTTGAACTATATAGGGAACTTTGGAGAAAGGACTTATAGCTATGTACATTTCACACTAAGAATCAATATTTCTTATTAAAAATTTTATCGTCCAGCATTTAAAGGAAGAAATATTTAATTTGCTTTTAAAGTGAAATATACCTAGTTATGCAGCTTTTAGCCATCAATTTTTATTTTTTCTTCTATAGATAGAATACGTAGAAATATTTGTTAAGATAGCACTTGCATAATTTTAAGCTAGTATATATATTTTTTCTAATAAAATAATTTCTTGTTAGTTGATTTTTTAAAATTTTCTTATACCAAAACAAGGGCTTGCATAAGCCCACAGATTCTCTCTGCAGCACTGCAACTTCTTCTGTATGCCATTTTTACAGTTGAGGATCCTATAAACTACCAATATTATTTAATGTACTTAATTAGTATTAATTTTTAACTCTTTTTTTAAAGAATTTACATATAGTTTCTCTATATTTCATTTTTTCTCAATAAATAACTTTACTTGCCATCATAGACTGGTCTTTACATCCATTCTAAAAGCTTTCCTGTTTTCTTTATGCATATATGAAATTCAAATATATCTAAAAATTGTTATTACATTAATGGATCATATATATAATGAGTCATTACATAAACATGAAAGCAATGAACTATGTAGCATATTATTCATTTAATGCAAGAAGTATGCCTTATACCCCCATAATAGGATTTATTAAATCAAGTCTTTTGTATTAAAGGCTATGAAAAACATTACAAATATATATTTTAACTATCTTTAAGCTGGATTTGTTGAATAAGGTGTTAATTATGTGCTGTTAAAATTTTTGTAAACTATTATTCAGAATTTTTTACAGTGATTTTTGCAACTTTTTTTTAAAGGAAAACCCACTGTAAACTAATCTACGAAACTGAATAAGTACCTACGAACCTAATTTATCTTAATTTGGAATGTAAGATGATATGCACAATTTTCTTAATAATTACTGTTTATTTATTTTAGTAAGATTATAGAGCTGCATAACAGGTACTTTTATTTTTAATTTTTGATTGTTATTACATTGTTATTTTGTTATTTTCTTTATATGTCCTGTTACAGGCAGTTTGAACTTGAATGATTTAAAATGTTCATAATTTTCAGTTCATGGTGAATGGGGTGCTTGGAATGAATGGTCATTATGTTCATCATCATGTGGAGGTGGTACTCGTGAAAGGATAAGATTATGCGATTCTCCTGCTCCAGCATTTGGAGGCCATTATTGTACAGGTTCCCATATTCAGACTGACTATTGCAATAATGCTCAGTGTCCAAGTAAGCAATTTCTTTCCTTTCTATTTTTTAATTAAATCTGTTCAACAAATTGGATTTGCAGTTAAAATGAAATATAATAAAGGAATCAAATCATTATTTTCTCTTGTAGAAAATTATACTACTAGAAATTATTTTCCAATATCATATACAGTCAAAAAGTCATTAATTCAGACACCCATAATCCGGAATGATCTATAATCCGGACCTCAAAGCTACAAACTTTCTGCGCATGCGTCGCGTTTACGTGTGCTCATAAGACCTTTACGGCTGTGACTTTACGGCTGTGCATTGCACTGCGCATGCATAATACGTTTACGCATGCGCGTTTAACGTATAACGGACGGTATAAGCTGAGCTAAAATTATCTAATTCAGTTAATGTTGCAGATTGCGTTGTTCCTTAATCTTCGAATTGGATCAGGCTTATTATTTTTTGCAGACTGTTAGAGCAATTTTATAAAAGTAAGCTTGAACTTTCGATTATGTCAAACAGAATTTCCGATTAATATGTACAGGATCTACAAAGCAAAAGTATGTTTCGAAGTCCATTAAACAAAAAGTGGAATTGCTGCAAAAAATGGAAAAAGGCATATCCTTTGTTTCTTAACCATTCCGAAATCTGTTTATCAATTTCATGCTGCTCTGCGGGGGGGGGGGGGGGGGGGGACATCGCAGCGCGCAATGAACTGGAAGTTGATTTGTCAGCACTATCCTTATCTTCAGGGCAAATGTTTTTATTTTATTCGGCTTATAATTCCTTACTAAATGTAGTATTTCATCTCGATGTATTCCGTCTTTGATATGATTTAAATCAAATTCCTTGTCATTATAAATATCACAAGTACACATCAAATAGTTTTCTGGTTGCAATTTTCTAATTTCGACTATGCTTAATGTATGCTTTACGCATGTGCTTGTTGAAAGAAATGTTTAATAAAGTAAACAAATAAATATTAAGCTTTTTTTTGTAAATTTTGATACCCTTTAGATCATAATTGTTCTTTATTTCATAAATAACGGTTTCATATTTTTAATTGTATAATTTCTGCATGCCATCTTACCAGATTTAAACTGATGATCTATAATCCGGAATCGCCAAAGTCCCGACGAGTCCGGATTAACTACTTTTGACTGTATTTAACCTGAAAAAAAGAGACAGAACCTTTTTTTCAAATGGTATTGATTTTTGGGCCATTTTGTTGCACTTCAACATATAATTTTTAAAGCTGATAGTGTCAGAAAGGTAATGAGATATAGGAAAAACAAAATTATATAAAACAAATTAAAAATAAACTTATTGAAATTATTTTTATATCAAAATTTTAGGAAAATATGATAATCAATTATATTTAAAAAAAAATCCTCGAGTTTATGATATAGTTTTCCATTTATTCAGGTAAAGATTTTTTATTTATGCAGAAAATTTAAATCTAGAAATATTTCAAATTAAAGTACATAATCTGTTGAATACTGTGCTTCATTGCTAGTGAACAAATCATATGCAATCAACTTTTCTTATGCATTAAAAAAATTTAGTTATTGTTTCTAAACATAATAAACAACTTGCAAGAAAATAATTCTAATTCTAATGAATATCTAATTCAGAGACTATAAATGTGAGTATATGCAAAATATATATATATATATATGTGGGGATTTTAAACGATGAACAAATTAATTAACGAAAGACATTTTAATTAGACAAACGATTATTACATAAATTTAACATTTAAGAGAATTAAACAAGTAATGATTCGTCAAAGTTCTTTTTGAACAGAAGCAGCGTCTCTGCTTTCACGTCAATCGTCTATCATCTCAAAACGGTAATTCCCCTAATTTTTGCTTGGCGCCTTCGGAGCTCGTAGAGAGAATGACGTCACGGCATCTGGTTTTCATCACAGCTCCAAGCGATCGGCACTACATTTCGGCCATCCGAGGGTGGACTGGCCCTCCAGGACACTGCAAAATACAAACAAACAAAAAACAAACAAACAAAGCAACAAGCAAGAATATACAATAACAGAAATAAGTGTTCGTGAAAAATTTTAAGGTGCCGTCCATTTCTTGAGGAATTCGGCACATGTGGTGGTGCATATGGGACCCTCATGGCATCCTTCCTTTATTACGTCATAGGTGTTGCCACCCTTAACTTTCTTGATCTTATAAGGTCCGAAATACTTCGCTCTTAATTTTAAGTGTGGTCCGAATTGAGTCCTTTTGATTGCCACTAAGTCACCAACTTTGTACGGCTGTGCTTGTCTTCTTTTGGCATTATATGTCTTTTTATTTTCGTGTTGGACTTGGAAAACTTGCCTCTTGGCTTGCTTTCGTAATTCTTCTCTTTGAGACTCGAATTGAGATTGAAACTCACTTTCTATCAGTTCTTTGAGCTGATCGGTGCCCTTACTGTTCATTTTAGTACCGAAGAGTAATTCAAACGGAGTGGTGTTAATGCTTCTTTGATATGTTGAGTTAAGTGTTCTCTGAACTTCGTGTGTGTGTTTATACCATTCAGTTGGTTTTTTTTAAGGACAGTTTCACTAATACTGATATAATGACTTGGTTGATTCGTTCGACTTGTCCATTTGCTCTCGGCAGGCCTGTGGTGATTAGATGATGTTTAATATCTTCTTTAGCACAGTAGTCAGAAAACTCACTGGATGTGAAAGCCGTTCCTCTATCAGAAATGATCTGACAAGGGCTTCCAAAAATGGCCTTCTGATTCTCTAACTTCGCTATCACCTCGGCTGAGGTCGTAGATTTTGTTGGATAAATCCAAGTAAATTTAGTAAAGGCGTCGACCACTACTAATATGTGCTTGTAGTTTTTATGGGTACTTTCCAGAGGACCCAAGTGATCTATATGATAAGTATGCAACGGAATGTCCTCCTTGAATCGCGGATGTAAAAATCCTTCCTTTTTCCCAGCTTTACGATTTATTAAGATGCAATGAACACAATTCGCGATAACGTTTTCTATCTTCTGCCGAAGTTTGGGAATGAAATAGTATTCATCCAGGTGTTTCTCTGTATGTTTGATACCGGTGTGCCCTTTCTCGTGAGCATCTTTTATGATTTCAGTCTGCATACTTTCCGGTACGACTATCAATTCTTTACCGTCAATAAACTTGTATAGTACGCCATTTCTATTACAATAATTTTCATAACTTGAGGTTTTCAATAATTCCTTAATGGTTTTTATTTCAGTGTCATTTTCTTGGAGCAAGTTTTAATTTAGGTAAGATATTTTCAACAGAAATGCACATAAGACGTTTACAGGAGCTCTACTTAGAGCATCTACATGTGGCATTCTAACACCTTTACGATGCTCTATAACATAATCGAATTCTTGTAACAACAGAGCCCAACGAGCAACACGCGTCGCTAAATCTCTTTTTTCCATCGTCCGTTGAAATGCTGAACAGTCCGTCACTATCTTAAATGAAATTCCCAAAAGGTAAACACGGAACCTTTTCAGTGCTTCTACGATCGCGAGGACCTCCAACTCGTAACTTGAGTACTTTTTCTCTGCATCAGAGGTTTTCCTACTCATAAAATAAGTGGGGTGAAAACTGCTATCACCTGGAGGTTTCTGCATTAGAATCGCCCCATATCCTTCTATACTGGCGTCTGTGTGTAGTTCGGTTTCATAATTAAGGTTATAAATTGCAAGTACAGGCTTCTCAGCTAGCGCTGATTTCAAACGATTGAATGCGATCTTTTGTTCTTCACCGAATTCGAACTTATTACCTTTTTTTAGCAGGTCGCTAAGTGGCTTGGCAATTATAGAGTATTTATTAATAAATTTTCTGAAATACCCTGTCAGCCCAAGAAAACTTTGGATCTGTTTTAAATTAGATGGTTCAGGGAAATTTATAACAGCTTGCGTCTTCAAGGTGGATGGGAAAATTTTACCCTCTTCTATGACATGACCTAAAAAGTCAATTCGTTTCTTTAAGAATTGTGATTTTTTAAAATTTATTTCCAATCCGTATTCACTCGCTAGATTTAAAACTTGACTCAGCCTCTCGATTCCCTCTTCGTATGAGGCGGATAAAATGATGATATCGTCCATGTACGGCAAAACGATGCCATCATTAACTAATGGTCGGAAAATGGTATTTATGAATCTCTGGAATACAGCTGGTGAATTACAGAGCCCAAACGGCACTTTCAAAAACTGGTACTGTCCTTCATGCGTCACAAATGATGTGTACTTCCGACTTTCCTTTTCGACGTCCACGTGAAAAAAGCCATTTTTGAGATCAATAGTGCTGAAAACACGTGCTTCTTGAAGGCGGTCTAGGATATCCTCAATCAGGGGAAGGGGAAATCTATCCTTTACGACAACTTTGTTTAAACGACGATAATCAACGCAAACTCTTGGTGTGTCCCGTCTTTCTTTTTAACGATGACCAATGGGCTGGAATATTCCGAAGAACTCTGTTCTATAATTCCTGACTTTAGCCATTCGGATATTTGGGTTTCAACAATTTTCTTTTCCGCAAACGGTAATCTACGCGGTTGATGCGATACTGGTTCGTTATTTTTAACAAAAAGTTTTAACTGTATGTCCGTAGATTTGGTCTTACATGGCATATAGTTCGAAACTAACTGTTGAACAGTCTCTTTAAAGTAGTTTGGAACACTAGGTGCAATGTTTATTTCGTTCTTCGTTACTAGCTAGGTCAACAGGTAAAACAGATACAATATTTACTTCCTCTACACTCTGTGACTTACTTTTTATGGTAACCCCATTTTCATTTATTAATATTTCACCTTTTAATATTACGTTTAAGCCTAAAATGGCTTCATGTGTCATTACATTGTTGTCTACAACACAAATATCTGCAGTACACTGGAAATCATTAATTTTAATATTACCTTTAAAGAAACCTAGAGGTTTTACTTGACATTTACCGAACCCACTCAGCGTTGAACTTACAGGCACGAGGCCTTCGATATTCAGTTTATCAAAAGTCAATCTACATAACAAAGTAGTTTGACTTCCTGTGTCTATTAACGCGGTTACATATACATCATTAATTTTTACTTCTTTGGTCAACTTCGAGACTACATCAATATTATTCACGGTTGATACTTCTGGTTTCGAATTCGTATTTGAGCATTTGAAACTTCGGTGCCCAAATTCTTTACATTTAAAACACTTGACTCCCTTATCTTTATGAACACATTGTTTGGAAATATGACCGCTTTCACCACAGTTGAAACAGGTTGTATTGCGTTTAATTTCAGGAATTGTTCCTCGACTATCAATTACGTTACGCTTTGTTTGGTTAACAGAATTTTTTGAGTCATATTTATGCCCAGATTCAATTTTTTGTTTACTTTCAAATTTTATTTTAGATGTTCGCGACTTTTCTTCATCATCACATATCTGTTGATAAAGCTTCAATTTGTTCTTAAAATCAGTTAATGTTTGTGACCCATACAAGCAAGATTTTTTAAATGCGGAGCCTGGTATACCATCTATAACATATCGTATTAAAGCAACATCTTCAATTTGACCATTTTTAGCAATTCTTTTCATATTTAAAAAATACTCATCAAATGTTTCATTGCTCTTCATTTTTTGTTTTGATAATAACTCATGCAGTTCGGCCGAATTGCAGCTGGACCGGAATTCATCAAGAATGGCATTCTTAAAAATTTGCCATGAGTTCAACTTTGGTTCACTAAGAACAAATAGTTTTGCTTTGCCTGTCATTAGGCGTTTAGCAAAAATCAGTTTTTGTAAATCATTTAACTGAAGAATGGTAGCTGCATCTTCAAAACTTTCGACCCAACTACTGACATTTTCGTGGCTTTGGCCATCAAAGTGAGCAACAAAAGATTTGATGTCTTCAATAGTAACATTTATACTACAGTTATGAAATACATTCGACTTGTTTTCAATTGTACTAAGAATATTATCATTAGCACATTGGGAAGGAAGTTGTCTCACTGTGGCACCAGAATTGTTTCTTAGTTTCGTTTCATCTCGAACATTATCATCTACTTCATTTTTATCCCCACCATCCACACCCTCTAAATCACTTTCGTTTTCACTTTCTTCTAAAATTACATTATTTTTAAGCAATTCTAAATTATTCAGATAAGAAACAATTCGGGTTGCTAAGTCATCTTGTGTGCCAGAGCTATCAATGCATAAAACATTGGCAATGGAAATTAATTCATAAGCCTGAAAATCTTGTTTGATTTTTTCGAGTTTTTCATTAAGTTCTTTACTATTCTCTCTAAAGAGAAACCACTAAATTGTCTTAACCTTTTTCGATTATTTCTGTCGCCCACATTGTTAAATATTATTTTGTGTAATAATTTTATATTATGCGCTTTTTTCACTTTTCAGGACATCTTCCATTCCCGGCACATCAATTAGAAACATAGTTAATAAAATTGAGAAAATCACTCACTTCATATAATGGTAATCCACGATGTTCCTGGCTCTATAATCTGGAAACAGAAACGAAACAAATTACTTCCATACCATCCAATGGATCACAAATGCTGTCGACAAGAGGCGAGTACAAACAGATTATGTCCGATGGATTTTTGGCCACAATTCACGTCTTGACACTTGACATCCAGTATTATTAAAATTAATTCCAGTCTTTAATAGAGCTGCACACTATTTACTCACTATTACGCAGTTTCAGTTCAGGTAAATCAGCATACATTCCTAGGAGTTTGATGAGGTTTTTGTTCGAAACACAGTTCATTATAAATCGTAAAACAGTCAGCACAGCAACAGTTATTCTTCAAAGCCGGTAGTAATCCAGGAAAGCAGGTAAAATTACAGTTCATTCGAGTGCTGAAGTGCTATCCCACTTCTGAGAAAATTTTTGTGGGGATTTTAAACGATGAACAAATTAATTAACGAAAGACATTTTAATTAGACAAACGATTATTACATAAATTTAACATTTAAGAGAATTAAACAAGTAATGATTCGTCAAAGTTCTTTTTGAACAGAAGCAGCGTCTCTGCTTTCACGTCAATCGTCTATCATCTCAAAACGGTAATTCCCCTAATTTTTGCTTGGCGCCTTCGGAGCTCGTAGAGAGAATGACGTCACGGCATCTGGTTTTCATCACAGCTCCAAGCGATCGGCACTACATATATGTGTGTGTGTGTGTGTAATGCAGTATAAATGCAATATGTATACAAAATAGCCTAAACATAATCATTTAAAAGGCAACTTTTGCATTACACAAAATAGCAAATAAATAAAGCATAATAAAGCATGCTAAATTTCAACTACCAGTTTCATATAATGTTCACAGCTTAAAAAGGTGCAAGTTTGTAGTACTAAATTAGCCATAAAGTAGAATTTTCCTATTGTTTTTTGATGAATTTCAGTGTTAACTTATTAAAAATATTTATAATTATATTGTAAAATCTAATAATAGTATATTACTGAAAAATATCAAAGAGTCCATTGAAAAGTTACAGAATGTTTTTATTATTACACATATTAATAAAACTGATATTCGAATGCAATATTAGTTAAAAATTTGCATGAACCTATTGTAAATTCTAAAAATTATGCTAAATCAGACATTCAAATAACTGTAATTAGAGTTGAATTTTTGCTAAAGCTAAGAAGATTAATTTCATGTTTTATAAAAATTATGTTTCCTTCTATATTTTAGTGCCTAAATTCCATAAAAACTCTATTGGTTTTTGTAGTATTACAAATACTTTGGCAAAATTCATAATAAGCTATTACAAAGTAGTCATAAAAGATTCAAAATTCTTCTGTTATTTACAGCAGTTTTGATTTAGGTAATTTTATTTATATATGAAACTTTTCATTCAGTATTTTGTTTTGATTTGAAGTTGTACCGACTCAATACAAATTAATGATTTATTTCATATTCTTCCTAAAATATATGAAGATTATACAGTACAAAGTCTGGACTCTAATATCTGGAATGATATAGTATCCAGAACAACAGCATTTTTTTAAAGAAAATTTTTGTAAAACAGAAAAGAGAATTAGATTCTAATGGTAGCATCTCACTTTATCATATGCTTAATGAATCATGCATGTGCGGTAGACATTTTTTCATAATAAAGCATGTGGAGGGTCTTAATTCTTAATTTCATTCTGGCGCTAAATAAAAGACCTCTGTGGGGAAGGTGCTTGAGCAAAATATGACATTATATTTTTTCCATATTTAGTTAATGGAGGATGGGGTCAGTGGTCTTCATGGGGAGAATGTTCATCTTCATGCAATAAGGGACAGAAAAAGCGTTTTCGATCATGTGATAATCCAACTCCTGCAGGTGGTGGTCGTGATTGCTTAGGCCCATCTCAAGAAATTGAAGTGTGTAATGCCTTTTTGTGTCCCGGTAAGTAAAAATTTCATATAAAAATGAACATGAAATTCCAAGGTTTGTGAACTAATATCTTTTCCCTTGCCATATTCATCTGAAGAATATGGCACTGAAGTATGAAATGATACTGTTTCATTATAATTTTCATTTATAGTTCAGATGGAAACTAACTGTTATACAAACAAACAAAAAATTTTTGTATTCTTGAATGAAAAATGCTTTTAAGACTGAACTCATGAACTTCATTTAGTACTGCTTATTACAATTAAATCATTAGTCAACTGTATATGACATAAGCAAAAAGAAAAAGGAACTTTTTGAATTTTTTGTGGATTCTGATACCCCACTTGCAATGAATAACAGAAAAGGGTTCATTATGCGAAAAGTGACAATCATGACAAAGTGATGATTGAATGGGTCAGACGGCGTCGCAGCGAGGTTGTGCCATTGATGGGTCCAATGCTAATGGCTCAAGCCAAAATATTTCATGAAGAAATTAACTTAACACTGAGTGCACATATTCGACAGGTTGGTTAACCAAATTTAAAAATCACCATGGTATAACGCAATTAAAAATTTCAGGTGAAAAAGCTTCAGCTGATACTGAAGCTGCTGAACAATTTGCAGATGAATTCATTGAACTCATTACTAGTGAACAATTATCTCCAGAACAAATGTACAATGCTGATGAAACTGGTCTTTTCTGGCAATATGCACCACAAAATACCTTGGTAACCTCTACAGAAAATGCTCCAACTGATGTCAAAGAAAATTTCGGTTGACAAGTTAGTCGGTATTCTCAACACAGCAATTACAGGACTTGAACAGTAGAACTTTTTAACTGAACAAGAAATTATGTCTGTTTATAGAATTAAAGAGAAAGTATTAGTACAAAAAAACGAAGCAACTTAAATAACTTACATTGAAAGAAATGTTTAATAAAGTAAACAAATAAATATTAATTTTTTTTTTTTTTTTTTTTTGTTTGTTATGTGTGTGTGTATATATATAAATTTTAATACCCTTTAGATCATAATTGCTCTTTATTTCATAAATTATGGTTTTGTATTTTTAATTGTATAATTTCTGCATGCCATTTTACCAGATTTAAATTAATGATCTATAATCTGGAAAAAACCCTAATCCTGAATCGCCGATGTCCCGACGAGTCCGGATTCCACACTTTGTACTATACTATCATCTACATCCAAAATAAAATCAAACAAGGATTAAATTCTGTAGTAACATGCAAATTGCAGTCCTCTTTTTTTTTTAATAGTGTTTTTTACACGTATCATTCATCATGAAAAAGAAAAATGCATAAGCAAATGTTAGAGCTTTCAAGTGGACATTCTTTTTTTGGCAAATATTAATTTTTTTCAGTCTTAAAGATTTAGTGTTACAAATTGGCAATAATAAATATTATTTTGGGGAAAATTAAAAAAATATGTGTATAATTTGTTTTATGTTTTCTAAATTGTTTAAAACTTTAATGGAACATTTTTGAGGTGTTATAATACTTTTTTTTAATATATAAATTCAGCCACATTCTGTCATACTAAAGAATGAATGGAAACAACAGTCTGATATGACTGTGTGGAAAGCCCATTCCAAAGAATAATTTCAAAAGATATGAATTCCTAGCATCATTTATAAATATCAGTCTGGTGACATAGTATAGAACAATGGTATTCAAGCTATGGGTCAGGACTTCATTTGAAGTCATGAAAATTTATTGTAGAATTGCAAAATAAAATAAAAATCCTAAAAAATCTGAATTTGATGGTATATAACTAAGTGTCGATGCTCTAATCGGAGTTGCAAGTGTTTTTTTAGAGACCTTTGCATTTTTATGGCGCACTGTCATAAATTTGAATAACACTGGTATAGAATAATAGCATAATCAAAAAGTATAGTAAACACTAAAACATTAAAACTGGTCATAGGAGTTACTTCAAAATTTTTCTTAATTTTTTACTTATTAACTCTTGACTACTAATGGGTGCACTAAAAATTTAAAAATTACTGCTGGGTTTAGTGCTTAAAGTCTCCTAAATGCTGGGGATCATCTTCTAATAGTTGGAAAATCAAGACTTTACTATGCTCATTGTACACAAATAGAACATAGAGAAAAGAACAGATATGAATTGCCCAATGTGAAACATGGGTTATGCAAAGAGTGCTTTTCCCTGTACCATACCATGTAAATGTATTTCATATAATAAAGCTTTCCAGAACAATAATGGGTGCTTATAGTAAGTCGATTACCACATGTGGTACATATGTATCCCACCATTACTATGGCTCAGACATTATGTGTCCCAGCCTTTGGCTCAAAAACCATTCGTCAAAAAATTCCCATTTGCTAAATGTACTCTATTTACGACATATTTTGTTCACTTGGATTAAAAATGGTGTATTTTTTTTAATTCACAGTCAAATTAGTTTATTTGTTTACACAAATAAATAGAACGCTGCATGTATTTTGCTTTAATAAAAGAAATATTTTTTATAATTTAAAACTTAGCCTTTAATATATGAAGTATATTTAATTAAAATACCTTTCCTCTTTCTTTTTCAGTTGATGGGAAATGGAGCGAATGGAGTTTTTGGTCTGTGTGTTCTGTTACATGTGGCATTGGTGTGCGTTCAAGGGTAAGACATTGTGATAGTCCAGATCCTTCATATGGAGGTAAAGATTGCCTTGGAGATAATGAAGAGTTTGAAGAATGTGGAGATGAAGCTTGTGATGGTAATTTTCTTGATAATTGCTAGCGATGATTATCACATTGCTATGCATTGATAATTCTTACCTTTTTGTCATTTTGAATTTTAAGTTTTATATGTATACTTTAATAACTAAGTAATAAAATTAAAGGTGTCGGAACTCTTCAAATGCAAAATTGTTGTTTAGAAGTTTTGAATTGAAATCATTGTTTGGAATTTGATAAAAATTGCTCGCCTTCCTACTTGTGCATATGTTGCTGGCATTTAGATTATTAAGAGACTAACCTAGTTTTAAATAGACCACAATGAAATATATTAAGAAATGAGCAAGAATATTGCGCAAAAACAGTTTTAATTAAAGTTTTATATTTAGAAGCAAAAGTAACTTGACAATATTAATAATTTAGTTAAATGATCATAAAACTAGAATGAGAATACTGAAAGAAGTCTGTTAAGTTTAATGGTTGTTTTTAAGTTTTTCAAATATAATAAAATATTTACTTTATTTTACTCTAATAAAATTAGGAATGAAGAATGTAATTTATATATTTCATAATATTGCTGCTGTGAAAGAAAATTTCATAAAGCATTAAATATCCTTTTTCTAATATTGCAAAGAAAATGATAATAGCAAACTAGGCACTTTTTTAATGCTTAATTTTTTTGTGTGCATGTATTGTGTAAGCTTCTCTCCCACCTCCATGGAGATTTCAGACAGCTGAGAATAGTTTTTTTTCTCTTAAATTTAAAATCATGTGATGCTTATATGCTTAATAATTCATTGGAGTAGTCTGCCTTTTTCTGTACACTTAGGTATCTGTTCGATATTTTAGTTGCTCCTGTTCAAGCCAAAGGTCATCTGATTGGTGTTATAAATGGAATTGATTTTGGTTTGTCAAAATTATCTGCAAATATTACCCAGTCAGGCATGGAATTCTTAGTATCTGCTGATATACAAAACATAACAGAAGAAATTGGTAATGTAATTTTCTTATTTCATTTATAATTTCCATGATGTTATGATTTATATATATATATACATATTAAAAGTTTTTTTTTTTTTTTTTTTTTTTTTTTTTTTTTTTTTTTTTTGTAAAGCTGTCTGGATGAAACTCTTAGTACCACTATTGAACCCAATATATTGGACAACAGCTTATGAAATTGGTGATGCAGTTAATGGGTACACTCTAACAAAGGGATTATTCCGCAGGGAAACACAAGTGAATTTTGTTACAGGTAACATTTTAACAGTTAAAAAAACTAATGGTTTTCATTTAATCTATTTTATTGCTTAAGTAAGAAATTGCATATTCTCTGATTTTAAACTATTTAATTGTAGGAGAAATATTGTTCATGACCCATGTTGCACGAGGACTTGATAAACGAGGAAATCTCTTGGTTGATATTGTTATAAGTGGAGAAATTCCTGATATACCTACAGCTTCAACAGTTGTACTCCACCCTTATTTTGGTAATTTAATGAAAATATAATTCATGAAATGTAAATTACAATGCAAACAATTCACAGTGCTTGTTTACGTTTCTTATCAATGTAAATGCTGTATAATGTACATATGTGGTTACAAACTCTCTCTAAATTTTGACAATCCATTTTTATGACCTTCTGACCTTATTCATTGTCCTTCATTAGTAAAATTTGATTACTTTTATTCTATTTTTATCAGTTCATTGCAAAAAGGGGAGATTAGTTGTATATATCTATCATTTCAATTGGTCAGTGAAAGAAATTATAATTGTATTTTCCATAATTTAAAATGATGACTTTATATACATGCAAGATTTAATATAATATTGTGCTAATCAATATGTTTTACACAAAATCAGATGGAAATCAGAAATGTTATGGAATAAAATGCTGATTTTTTATAGATCAAATCTGTGCTTCAAGTCAAATTTTAAAAAAATTACTCAAACAATTTTACAGTATTTCTGCGTACAATTTGGCATTAATTTTAAACTTTATTAGCACTTTTTTTTTACTTTTCAGTGAATAAGCATATTCTGAACTTTTTTGTAATTTCATAATGATTTTTTTATTATCTGATGAAATATTATTTTTTAATTTGCACATTTTAAAAATGTTTAAAGTATTAGAACTATTAGATTTATTATTCAGAACATTTCTTTTAAAAAAAAATTCTAAATTTTTCAGTTTTATTCATATTTTGTATTTAGAATGGTAATTCTGGTATCAAAAATTAAGAATTTGAACTTAGCATCTGATAAAAATATGTTAGCAAAAGAAAGTCTTGAAAAATATTACATGAAACTAGCTTTTTATGTAAGTAAAAATTGTTATAGTAATTCATGAAACATTTTTTAAAAATTTTATATGAAATTTTGTAGGTAATAATCACCGGAAGATTGTTTATTTGCATATAATTTAAAGAAACACAAGATTACAAAGAATGAAAGCCAACTTAGAAGTATATATGAAAGCAGCCATCTTCTTACAGTGTTATGACCTTTTGTACTGCCTCCACAAAAAATCAAAATAGTCTGGAATTGTAAATCTTAGGAAGGTTTTGCCACAGATACAAAACAATAGCAAAAGAATAAATAAATAAATAATTTAAAAAATCATTTTCTTTCAAATTTGATTTAAATTTTTATCAGAATTATTCCAATTAATTTAAATATTAATATCTTTAAATATTTTTAATAGGGAGTATTATGTGTGTCCTGCTGTTTTCACTACTTTCAATGAAGACATTGGTTACATCTTAAAATAAAATTATTGATCTTTCTGAAAAATGTAATTTTATTTATGGAATCATAAAATGCAAAAATACCACCCATGCCCAAATTTTCATCATATGAGTTAAATTTTCTGCATAATTTCTTAATTGCTTTTTATTGCTATATTGCTGTGATGAAAGAGTTATAAGCAATGTACTTTACATATAGGTCCTTCATGTGCATTCATAATAATCACATCATAAAAAAATAACTTTTGGCGCCAGTCCCAAAAGCTGAAAACGTGTTTTCACCTTAGAGGCAAAGATGTTTCTTAAAGCAATCTGTTACTTATTTTCAAATCTATTCATACATTTGTTTTTAATAAACATGTTTTTCTGCATAACGCTACTTGAATTATGCTCCTTTCCCTTCCAGAATTTTGCATAAAAGCAATAGAAATTTCTGGTTATCTGAATAACAGCTATTAAGAATATTATTAGATATTTGATTGCCATTATATGTTATAGATTATATTCCTTTTATTCAAATAAAATAGCAGTGAAGCTTAAGTATTTTTTATTTGATGTTGGAAAATTGCTGAATGAAATAACAGATCAGAAAACTTGATAAACTTAAGGATGGAATAAGTTGTGAAGTGGCTAAGTGACTGCTTACATCACATCCAGTTTTCAGCAACACCAGCACAAGTGCACTTTTTGCCTTTGGAATATTATGTTTAGTTTTTATGCCACAGAGCCTCTATTGAATTTCTAAAATCACTTATCACCTTCAAGGACATCAAAGCAGCTGTGGGATAATTATGATCTCTCACCAAGAGATGTTGTCTCAAAACAATGACAACAAAGCCAGCTAACATCTAATTCCTCACAGTATTAACTTATTCTGTATCCAGTTTTTTCCCAAATCTATCAATATTTAACTCTAATAAAATATTTCTATGTATGTTAAAAAAATTATTATTTTATTAATGCTTTTTATATATGTTATTTTCAAAAGTATCCAAATAATAATTGAAGTTCACAAAATCAGGTACACTTTCCTGAAAAGTGTTTTGTACAAGGCAGTTTTTTTAACTTATTTATTATTATTATTATTATTTTCATAATACAGTTTTTTAATTATTTTAGAGGACTATATACAGACTGGACCAGGTTCATTATATGCTTTCTCTACTCGCACTTATAAGGTCGGAAATTATGTTTTGCCATATTCATGGAACCATACGATATTCTATGATGAAACTCAAGGCCAAATGCCTTATGTAGTGGAAAGACTGTATGCTAATGGGATAGACTGTTCTTTTGATGCTGACAAGCAAGAAATAAAATTTACTGTATCAGCTTCTATTACTAAAGGTAGTTTTTTCCCCACTAATGATTATGCTTATTTAATAAATTATGTATAATTGCATAAATTTAAATATTGACCCTTTTTTAAGTTTATTGCATAATATTCTTTAAAAATATTAATTACATTTTTGGAAGAGAATTTTGAATAGAAGGATCATAAGTCAATGTTCATTTTTTTAAAATTAGAAGTATGTAGTTTTACAGAAGATTTATCTCAATATTCTCAGGTAATATTTTTGTTACATATAATTTAATCTGTAAAATAATAATTAGAATTCAAGAGTAAAACCTATTTGATAGTGATTTGCTACAAGATGATTCAAGCATTAACTGTTAGTCAACTTTCAAACAACTTTGAAAATAAGATGATTTATGCATTATATGAATTGCTTTTATGCCTTTCACAAAATGTTAAATTTATTAAAAGAAATAGACATGACCTTTGGTAATTTTAAATGTCTTTAAAAATGTGTAACATTTTGGAGTACAATGAAAAAGTTAAATGCTTGATCTGACCAATTAATGTGTGAACAGGCCATTAAGAAGAATTCTAAGTCTTAAAAAAATTGACCATTCTAGATTTCTAATTTTCCACAAATTCCTATTTTTGCCGAGATTTATTGTTAAGAATTTGTAGTACTAAATTATAAAACTCTATCTCGCATTCATTAAAGTGAAACAATGGATGCTGATTGTGAGCAGGGACTGAACATTAAATTCTGCATTAAGCATTAAGCCTAGTGAAATGTGGAAAATGATTAAGCAAGCATATGCAGGCAAGGCAATTTCAAGAAGCCGTGTTTTCAACTGGCATAAAAGGTTTTGTGACGGCAGAGATTCAGTGCAAGACGATCCTGGAGCTGGTCACCCATCTATCTATAGCACATACCAATGCAAACGTGGAGCATGTAAGGCAGTTATTGCAAGAAGACTGTCATGTAACTGTGCGTATGAATTGTATGAATGATGAACTGAATTTGAATCGTGATGTGTGTCATTTACACGAAGATTTAGGGAAACGGAAACTTAATGCAAGAATCATCCTTCACTAACAGATGAACAGAAAGAAGAAAGCTGAAGAATTTCTGCTAAACTATTAGACAGAGCCATATGTGATCCCACATTTGTGTCAAAGATTAATGTGATTTTTTCTTGTTTCCGTGAGTGAAAAGGCAGTGACTGAAAGGAAAGCTTCATCGAGATTATTGCAGACATCCAACACGTTGTGATGAATTAGCTTGGAAACATCACATTTGAAGATTTGCCTGCTTGCTTCCAAGACATTCAGAACAGTTGTGTATAAATAGCTAAGGTGTCTACTTTGATAGCAGCTAGGATCATTACTTAGTAAATGCAATTTTCTATTTTTTATGACCTTTGTCCTGGAACTTTTCTGACAAAGGATGTATAAAAGTAAGAAATGGAACTCACTCATATTTTTACATGTCCTTTTTAATGAACTTTTATTTATTTGTGTAAACACATTCCAGGAAATTTAATGAATCTCTGCTTCATAATAACAAAGTTATTTACTGCCATTGTGTAATTAAATATGCTTGAAGGATGATGGTTTTAAATTGCATAATTAAATCTGATTTAAAAGCTCTTCCCCCCCTCCATATTTATCATGTGTATTGGGTCACATTTTTGACTAAAAAACTATAAGCATGCATTTCATCAGTATATAAAATTTGAACTTAATGTCCTTAGATCTTTTCATCATCTGAAAGCATTATTGTTAAATTTAATATAAATATTTAATTCAAAAAGTTGAAATTACTGTGAATTATAAATGCAAAATTAATGCATTAAGCTTTATTATTGCTTTCATTTTATTGTCCAGTATCTTAAGACATCATTGGTTTTAAATGTTTTTAATATCTATTATTTTTTCAATGACACTTTTTTTAATGAAGGTAATTATAGTGCTAGCAATGAAGTGTTGGGATACTGGATTTTAAATTATGCAAACTTTTATCTTATTTAATGCAAAAAAGGTGTATCTTCAAGATTTTGTTCTCTTTTTTATTCAGCATTTACTAATTCTTCTTTTTATTAATATCTTAATTATTCAACATTCTTAATATGTGGTGTTATGACTAATGTAAAAATGTAAGACGTCTTGCCTTCTTCAAGGTTTCAGTTTTATTATCAGGTTCTTTTACAGAATCTGAAATTTTACATCCATAATTCAGTTAATATGAACATCTGACAAACTATTCCATAAGTATGGTAAAAAAAAGTAATTCAAATATTTGCATTTTAGAAGCTTTATCTATAATGTGTTAGAATTATATGAGATAAATGGTTAAGGCTGAAGTTCCTCAAATTTTGCTTTTATATGCAGTAAGCAGTGTTTTGATATCAAATGCTGTTTAAGGATTTGATATCACCAAATACTTATATATTGCATACATTTTATATTAATTGCTGGTTTCTCAAAAATAATTTCAGCTTTTCAATATTTTATTAATATATGTTTCTTTTTTTAAAGGTTATGGTGATGAATGTTTTGAAGGATTTATTTTAAGCGAGGATGGTAAATATTGCAGTGGTAGGTTGATATCAATTTACATGATTTTTTGTAGGTGGCAAATGCTATATATGATATGCTTTGGGAAATTTCTTTTAATTCCTAGATTAAAAAATATAGTAATCCACTGTTTTCATGTCAGATTTCTTCTCTTGGTTTTAATCATGAGGAATCGAATATAAAATCAATGTGGGAGCCTATTTTCCATTATATTTTGATGAACTTCTAAATATATGAGCATTCTTTTTCAAATATTTTTATAAATTACATATCTTGTTTCAACAAATGTAGTTCTGTTTCTATTTCCCCATGCTTAAATGCATATGGGAGAAGATAAGCCCATCAAACTGTAGTGTTTCATCCTGTGTTTGAATCCCAGTGAATGTGCTGACTGCACAGGTGTTCTCATAATTCATAGTTTCATAATTTTATATGTAACATGAATACGAGTTAGTTCTTTTTTAAAAACTTCCACAATGGGAACTCTGTCCTTTGACAGACATCTGTGTGTTTGCATAAATACTAAAAGGTAAACAATTTTAAATGCAGTTAAGCTTACTATTGTCTTAGAAAGTGAAACCACTGAACTCTGGTTGTCCATCTCAGGTTCTGTTGCCAGCACACAGGTTGATGTGTTAGGTATCTGATTTCTTCATGATAGCATGAAGGTCTAGTGTCCCCTAAGATGTCCTCAATATATGTTTTCCTTCTTTATCTGATAGTCCTTGATTATTTTGCTTTAATTAAATCACCAACTTAAAGGTGTATCACAAATATGCTTTTGCAATCAAAATGAAGCCAAATAAATGCAGAAATGAGAAGAGACAGTCAATTTGCAATGGGGTAAAAAGGATGAAAAGCAGCTACTGGCTTTGGTGCCAATCCATGAAAAATTATTTTGAAAAGTATCTGGAAATACATGAATGTTTTTTTTTTTTTTTTTTTTTTTTTTTTTTTTTTTTTCCCCAGCGAGGGAGGAATTTATTTTAATATTTATTATTAAGAAGTCTAAATCATTATTTTATGTTAATTCATAGGTAATATTAATCATGGGTATTACTGCATCTATTAAGCTATGCAGGTTTTCTTTGTGTTGAATTTAGCAGACATATTCTAGTCTCTTCTATGATTTGGAAATACATAGTAAGAAAATATTAATCTCTGAATGATGATCCCAGAAATAAATATTCAAGCAAAATCCTTTTGATATTATATGGTATATAAATAGCAATGGTAAATAAATTAATCATAAATTATTAAAGTTGAATAAATAGGGCTATTTACTCAGAGTATAGCATATTAATTTTCACAGATACACAGTGACAATGTAATCAATTTTCAGTTGCAAAATATGTCCAAAATTTTGTAAGCCTCATCCAAATAAGATAAATATGAAAGAAATATATTGCTTTGACCCAAAGTTAATAATCAATAATTGTTCAAAGTTTTATTAATCCCAAAACATCTGAGACTTGCTAATCGTTCTCAATATGAGATGGAAACAATAGGCAGAGATGAATAGGATAAAGTAAGTTAATCTAGTTTTATGTTTTAATTGGGCATTTATTTTTAAATTTAATTAATAAAGCTATTTATATTCAGGTTTTTTGCTTTTGTTCTGGATGAGATTTGTTCACTTGTCGTTGCTAAAATGATAATAGCTACTATTTCATGATGCTTTTCAGTACCTAAAACCACCTTAATAGAAACTGCCAAATTTTCAGAAAATGTTGCACTCTGACAATCATGCACAACAGTTCTTCAGTTTTTAATATATTTATATTTGATATTTGTATCTTAAGCTCAAATTTCAAATACATGCTTGCCAGATTTTTCTATAAGTTGTGCTTGAAGAAGTTGTGGTAAAATATTTGAAAGAATATGTAAAGTCACTAAAAGCTATGTTTTGAATCTTTTGAAAATTGATGAATTTCTGTGCTTTGACAAACATGAAATTTTCACTTGAACAACAAATAATATAATAATAATAATAATAAATAGAAAACTGTATGTAAGTAGCTTTATTGATGAATTTCAGAATAAGTGCTTAATTAAAATACAAAATGTGTATGCAATAATATGAAATATTTTTTTTCAATTATAAATCATTCTATTTTTCAGTAACATAGTCACCAAAATGGTTTTGCTAATATGTGAATAGCTAATTTTAATCATATTTCTTTTTCAGTCTAATTTTTAATTTTCTGCAGTTAACTTTTCATTTATTCAAATATATGTTCATGAAAAAATTTTATATCACCATTCTTAAAAATATATTTGAAAGGCCTCTAAGAATTATTGTAATAAAATTGTGCAAAATGAGAAAATATGTTATTAAGACTGTTCTTTTTTTTTTTTTTTTTCCTGTTACTAATAATAATCCTATAAACTGTGCAGTTATTATAAATTTCTTTGTACATAATAAAAATATTCATAATTAATTAATTAATTTTTTATCTGTAATATACATTACAGCAAAAAAATCTGTCTTTGCTAATTGTATAAACATCTGTCAGTCTTCTGGCGAAAGTACTAAATATAATGTATTAAAATCAAGAATAACATAATTTTTTGAGCAAGTTGTGTGTGACCTGAATAGCTTACTTAGAAAGAATAATAGGTGTCTTAGATGATGTGTCTTTATTTTGTTAAGGCTTGTAGGTTTTAGAAGATAGGAAAGAAAACTGTTGATTGTAAATAATACATCTATTTTTAATCATTTTAAATCACTTCAGTAGTTAATACGTGCTGCCTAAGAATTGGCTTCAATTAATTGCTTTTATTCATACACAACATATACAAAATAAATTAAATTTATGTGATTCAGACTCCATCAAATAGAAATTCTCTTGTACAGGATATTGTCCAAACAGTCTGTAAATTGAAAATGCAATCATGCACTTTTCACCATAACTATTACTGAATGCAGACCTTTATACCCAAATGAAAATGAATATTTTTTATAAATAAAAACTACAGACATTTTAATTTCATAAATGGATGTTTTAAAAATTTTATAAAGGGACGGACTTTTATAAAATTGCTTTCACATGACATTTGGAAAAAAATATCCTATTGTCAGGAACCTATCTATCAGCTCAGAGCATTTTGTGTTTATATTGTTTGTCATGTGATTCTGCTCCTTTACAAATTAAGTAATTTTGTGTTTTTCAAAGTTTTTTTAATAGTAATTTTATTAAAATAAAAATTGTGCTGAATTTTTTAAAGTATAATATTTCGTGTGAGTTTTAATTCTGTAACATTTTGATGATAATACAGAGGATGTTTACATTTTAAACATTAATTAAATGGCCCCAAAATTGTTCTAAAAATGTGTAAACACTCTCTGTATATATATAATGTTGTATGATCTTAAATACATTTAGTGTGAAAACAAGTTAATTACACAAATTTCAGTGCACAGTGATTTGCTGCAAATACAGTTCAATGTCCTTAATCCGGACTTGTCGGGACTTCGGCGCTTCTGGATTATAGATCATCAATTTAAATCTGGCAAGATGGCATGCAGAAATTATGCATTTAAAAATATGAAACCATAATTTATGAAATAAAAAGCAGTTACGATCTAAATTTCAAATTTCTAAATTTTTCTAAAATGATTTATTTGTTTACTTTATTAAACATTTCTTTCAATGTAAGTTGCTTCATTTTTTGTGCTAATACTTTCTCTTTAACTCTATAAACAGACATAATGTCTTGTTCAGTTACAAAGTTCCACTGTTCAAGTCCTGTAATTGCTGTGTCAAGAATACCAACTAACTTATCATTCGAAATTTTTTCGTTTTCAATAACCTCTCAGTCACTTTCTTCACTATCGGAAGCGCACATTAAATGCACATGCATAAAGCATACACTCATAAAAAACGTTTGTGGCTTTGAGGTCCGGATTATAGATCATTCCGGATAAGACTTTGTACTGTAATGATTTTCCATTGAGCTTTCTGTGGCAATCTACTCAAATGTTTTTTATATTTTTTGAAATCCTCAGAAATAGATGAAATATGTTCCTAACAGTTGCGTATTGTTAGTAGTCAAGGTGTGGAACCCTTTAGCATACTTATATACACAGTAGAACTCCTATCATACAAGGTCTCTGTTAGCAATCAGTTTAAAGTGATCACTGAGAAAATCTAGTAACATTAGAATGGGTACCGTGAAAATCAATAAACATGTATAAATTTTATCAGTAATGAATGTTGGACTTTCTTCTCAGTGATAGGTCAGTCATATTACAGGCTTCCTAGTACACATTACAGTAAAAAATGTGATTTACATGTGTCAAAGATGAAACCAATACTAGCTTTCAGCAAATGCTTAGCCATGTTTCAAAGGATAAAATGATAATGTTTGGAAATTGAAAACATCGAACTGGAATATCAAGTTTGGAGTGATAAAAAGATCATTGGTGCCTTAGAAATGATGCTAAATTTGACAGTGAAAACCATCAATGTAAAAAACTGATCATATTGAAGTCTTCATTTTAATTTATTTTGATTTTGTCAAAGCATGCAAGGATTATCTGCCTAAATAAAAGGATAAATATCTTTGTGGAGGACTTTTTAAGGGAAATATTCTCATGTTCATGTTACATAGGAAAAACTTGTACACCTCTATGCACCTAGTCTGTTCGTCAGGATTTGAACTACCAGTATTCAACAGTTTCATTGCTTGACAATTATCAGGTACTGAAGTCTTGAGCAAAGGATCATCCCAATGCTTATCCTGTAGATACTGTATTGCTCAAAAACTGGCATGTTTGTATAATGACTGATAGACTTCAGGATAGTCATAAAAAGGGTCAAGAAAAAATTAATGTCTCATAAAAATATATGTTAGAAAATCACCTAATTTTTTAACAAATTTTGTTAAAGTTTCTTAATTCTATGTTTTCATGAATATTTTTGTAATGAAATAAAACTGTATATGGATTATATAACACTTGAAGGAAATAAATCTTATCTAGTAATAAAAGTTTGTTAAAATATAATAGTAGTACATGTGCATTTATTTTTAGAATTTCAATTGAAAGATTCAGAAAAAGAAATTTTTATTTGGAATAAAGTATATTAAGTAATGCTTTAAAATAATACTTTGTCAAAAAAAAATTTTAGTCTCTATTAACTGAGTTTTCGATTATTTTGAAAGTGTATATATGCTTGCTTACTGACATCTATGTTAATACCATCCTTTGTAGAAGGGGAAGAATTAAAAAATAAAAATTAAATTTCAATTTATTAATTCTGAATTTTGAATGGCATATTTATTTTAAATTACTTATATATATGTTCCATTAATGTTTATATTTTTTTAATTGCAGATATTGATGAATGTGAACCTAATAACCCCTGCTCACAAATTTGCAGCAATTTTCTAGGTGGTTTTTCTTGTCTTTGCGTGAATGGTTTTGCGTTAGACGTAGATGGGGAAACTTGCAATGGTAAAATATGTTCCTGAAATAATTTAATAATCCTAAATAAATTTATCACATAATTTAATAATCCTGAATATTTGAAATATATACATTTCAAAATTAAAAATGTATGTACATATATGTATGTGTGTGCATGAGAGAGAAAGAGGGGGGAAGCTTGCTTTGAAAAAAAGTTGCTGTTGTAAAAAATGTAAAACAATATATCGCACACAGATAAAATTAAAGTATCTGTCATACATATCTCATAAATATCACACGAATATTTTTAATTTTATTCAAGTTTTACATATTTTCCTGTCGATGAAGGAAATTCATTATGTTAAATACTTTTATTTTGTGTTAAAAAATTTTTTTAAATAAATAAATGAAAGACAGGTGCATGGTTATTTTACTTAAAATACACCCCTAATGGCATAATCTAACGAAGCCTGAAATGAACTTCACTAATTCTCTAAAGTTTCAGTGCTACAGAATTTTTCATGTCTTTAACTTTTCCCCCCATCATAAAAAAGTCCTTCTTCAACGATAACTTCAATTTTGAGTACTGAAACTGTGAAAATAACTGCAAAAGGATTAATCTGGAGATTAGAGTAGATGGCTGCATACATACATTTGTTTTTTCATCACAAATTCCTGTACAACTACTGCAATCTAAACTAATATATTATGGTGTAAAAGGAATCTGCTGTTATTAGCTGAATACTCAGGCCAAATGTGAAGAATACCCTTTTACAGGTGTAAATAACTTGAAAAGAATTGCATTGATAGTTTGAACCTTTTGAACAAACTTGTGAATAATACCTTTGTTATTTTCAAAACACATCAATGTTATTTTTTTTTCCCATGATGGTAGTGGCTTTTATTCAGAACTCTTTGTTTAATTATTTGACCAAGTTAAAAATGCCATATTTCATTATCTGCATGAAGTGTGATTTTTTTTTTTTTTTCATATTAAACATGATCACCTTTTTATTCAACAGACAAAGAATGTGGCATCCTGCCTTGCACTAAAACCTAATGAATCAACTCCCAGTTAGCACCAAAATTATCTGTTATCATTTTTACGATCAAATAACAATCATCCTATAACCATTCTGTGATTTTTCGAAACAAGTGCCTCGTAGAACTCAAACATCTTTCCTAGTTTAATGTTCTGTTCATGACTGCATTGTGTTGGAATCATGTATAGCATCTAAATTTCTGTGCATGAGATAAATAATTTTTCTCATAGCCTTGTGTCATTGACTTGGTAGCAATTTTTCTGAATTTAAAACAAAACATTTGCTTTTTATTCTATGTTAATAATGTAATAACTTTTTCTTGCAAACTAAATGAAATGATGCCCTAGTTCTCATCACATTTATTAGATGGTATTGAAGTGTTTTCAGATAATAGATGAAGATTAGTCATTTGGATGATATGCACTGTGTCATCAATCACGCTTGGCCATGAGAAAATCAGTCTCATTGATACATATTAGCTTATAACTTAAGATATTTTGCTTTCTTTCTTTATGTAGTAATGTAAATGTAATCTTAATGAATGCAAGCTTATGAAAATAGAGGCTAAAATAAGTAATTATATAGATTTAGCTAATAAATGCTGTATAAATGTAGGTCTTCCTAACAGATCCAAAATCCTGTGCCGCTCAGAGGGTTAAACTTTAAAATAAAAATTTTAGAGCAAACATCTTAACCTTTTAGCTTGTCATTGTGCAGTGTTATTTTAACTTTTATTTAAAATATTTTGTAAAATATTAAAATCTATCTAAGAAAAGCAAGCCCTGTTCATCTGTCAAATTTTCCTTGCGTGAAAGAACAATATTCATAAGTATGTTTTTTTAATACATTTTATCCACATTTTAGATAATAATAAATTGTGCTGATTATTTTAGATGTGAATGAATGTGACCTCAACACAGCACGTTGCTCCTCAACCGAAGAATGCATCAATATAATCGGTTCTTACAAATGCTTGGTAATGTGCAGAGAAGGATATGAAAGAAGTGCAGATGAGCAATACTGTTTAGGTAAAAATTACTTTGTGTTTATTAACAAATTAGAGCAATTTTAACACATAGTGTTACACACTGTTTTCCAAAAGCTAAACATGTAGTGCAAAGTCTGAGCTTTGACTCAATTTCATGGGTCAAATTTACTGCGATTGTAGGGGAGAGACATTTACTTTATTATGTTACTGTTTAGGATGATTAGGTGGTTGAAAATGATGCTTTTTAGTAGACAAATTTAATTGCTGACAAAAAGTTTTGAAATTTTGCTTATTTTTTATTAGATATTGTCAGCTGTGGCTTAAGAGGATAACTGGGTGATTCTGAATATCGATTGAGGCTAGGCAGTCTGTTAAAGCTACTGATAAATATATGGTATAATGCTTGAGCAACTATGGTCTCATCAATGGATGAGTAGTGACTAAGTACTAAAAGTTCAACCCATGTTTAAACTCAGGTAAACAGCCTGGCTGCATGGATGTTTTTCTTAGTTTTTCCATCTGCAACATAAATACAAGCCAGATTCTTTAAGAAAGTCCTCCATGACGGCATCCTTTCTTTTAGGCAGATAGCCCATGTGTGCTTTATGATATTCAGTTAATCTAACCTAGCCATGAGCAAGTGCATCAACTCTAATATCGGTGGTTACTATAATACTTAAAATGTCATTATCTGAGATTATTGTGCAGTGAAAAATTACATATGAAAGTACTGTATGTGCAGGTGCCATGAATTTATTTCTTATACAAATGACAAAAGATTCATACTGGAATCTAATAATAAACATGTGAAGATCTGGAGAAAATATATTACAAACTTGGTAATATGCTTGAACATCATACCTTCAATGTTGCCAGAATATAATGATATGGGCTGTATTTGCTTTGAACTATTGAATCATTATAGAAAGTACCATTGTGTTTCAAAGATACTGGATGAAGTCTTTGTTTCCATTAAGAAATTGTTAGTTGTAGCATTTAATCTGGCATTTATTTTATGCATGATAATACATTCTCTTCAATTACTTTCAAAGAGTTGGAAACTTCCGTGTTAAAAGAATGGCAGTTATTGCCCTCTTGATGTGCTTGGCTGTTTTATATTGAAGGTATGGAATGTTACTACAGATCAAATGATGGGTCACATCTGCTTTAGATTCCATTTGTTTTCATATCTTACTTTTTAACCCAAAAGGGCTGTTAGTTTTGAAACATGATTTGGCATTACTTTACTATTCATTCAAGTCTGTTGCAAGTCTGAAAAATGCAAGATATTTATCTTTTAAATTTAATTTTCTATTATTAACAAATTAAGTTATTTAAAAGAAACAGATGCTGTTCTTAAAAGTGTTACTTCTTTACTTTTTTAATCTGATGGATTCATGGTATATTTAAATAAAACATTAAATATTTTTATAGAATTATGTTATCTATTTTTTCACTTTTCAAGTGGAAAAAATGATCAAAATGTAGTCCTTGAAACCAGCCCCAGTAAACCTCCTAGATTTTCAAAAATATCTTGTCATTTGCAAACAAGATTAACAAGATTTTACATTATTTCTTGCTGATGACATGTGGCTAAGTACACTAGCATATCTTTCAAATGTATTCTCAAAACTAAATGAACTAAATCTCTGTCTACAAGGTAATTCTTTGACTGTCCACACTCCTCAAGAAAAATTAAAGGGTTGAGAGGAAACTTGATTTGTGAGTTAGTTGTGTAAAACAGAGAAAATTTCACCACTTCCAACCTTAGAATCTTTTTTAGTAGAAAATTATATTGTTATTCAAAAAAATAATAATAATTTATGCAGTGACATATGTTTGCATCTCGAAATTCTGAAGTCACAATTTGAAAATTATTTTCAAAGTGTTGATTATAGAATTTTCATTGGGTCTGTAGGGATTTATACTTATTTTAACTAAGAAGTTTAATTTGAAACTTTCCTATAAGCCTTCATTCCTCTTATTGTCAGCTCCAGAATATTTAAATTTTGTAGCACACATGCAGGAATGCAAATTTCTACTTTGAATAAAGTATTTAAAAGCCGAGTTTGAGTGGGAAAGAAAGAGAATTAGGCTATAGCCCTCACCTCTGTTGTAGATACTTTTGCTTATTGCTGGTTCACGTGGCTTAGTTGCAATTTCTTGTTGCCACTAGTTTCGAAGGGGTTTTAAGTAACAGGATCTCCGCTGAGCCCTGTAGTTTAGTTCTATCTCTTAATAATATCTTCAAACTTTTAGTTTCATTATCTGATTTTCAGTTACCACCAAGCAGAGGTGAAGTTTGTTAGCATTGAGTTGACACATTGTAAATTTTAAAGATTTAATAAAGGGTACTTTTATCCCTTCTCCTGTGGAGTTACTACTATCCCTTTTTTAACACAGAAGTATATTAACTGCACTTTACAGGTCTATGATCCTTACCACTGCAATACTGAAAATAACAAACTATCATTGAATGAATGAGACCATTTAACTGAACTCCCGAAAGACACCGGACTTGAAATCAAATTACAAGCAGCAGGTATGGTCTCCCCCTTCTCTTCATTACCAGTATAGTGATTAGCAATGTTTTAAAATTTATAATTTAGTTTACCTCTACATATTTTGTCAGAAATTGTTTAAATCAAATAAATAAAAACAATGGTTTGAAATCAACTTGATGTATGTGCTAGTCTCACACTTAAGTTACCATCATACATCCAAATGTAGAACACCTGTGCAATAATTGGCAGGCTCACATATTTCAATAATGTGAGTACCAATATTTATTTTTTTTCTTAATTAGATAAAGATTATCCAGACTTTAATAGCCTTGAATTGTTAAAAGTGAATATAACTTTTCTATTAATTCAGTGATTGTTTTGTCCCTTGTACCCCTTTCACCATCACTAAAAGATAATTGCCCCTCCTTTCCAAAAATAAAAAAGTACATATATTTAGACTCAAATTATTTTTTAATGTGTTTGTAAATTAAACAACAAAAAGTATAGAAAATTTTGATAAATACCAAATAGTTTTTTTACATTCATAAAATAAATCAAAATACTTAAAAGCTAAATAAAAGGCTGACTACAATCCCTCTCTGCCCTTGAAATTATGAAATTCTCCATATCAACTTAACTGAATTATATCAATTTAAAAATTAAACAATTATTTAAAATTTTATTTTAAAAATACAAGTATACTGGTAGTAAGATATGCTAAAAAATTATTTTTTAAGGAAAAAGAGTAAGGCCATCCTCAGAACAATCTAATTTATAAAAGTGGACTTAAAAAAAGAGTGAGACACATTGCTATAAAATATCTTCCTATTCCACCATCTCTATTAATAAACTTTTAGATTTTTTTAAGATCTCTTTATTAGATCCCTTTCAGATCTCTACTGATAAACCACATTAAAAAGTCTTTTCGGACAACTATTAAAAACTGAAACCTGTTCAGATTTTTTTTTTTTTTTTTTTTTTTTTTTTTATGTATAAATTATTACAATATATTTTGTTATTATTAAATTTTCAGTCATGAATATGTAAGTTAATGATTACTTTTCATGTGATATTTTGAATCAGTCAATGCTTAACTTTGTGAGTTTTCCAGTTACGTAAAGTACCACTACATGAATTTTTGGAAAGCGGTATATATTAAACACCAAAAAACCTAATAATTTAGATTGTTTCATGCTGTGTTGATTAAGAATGAAAAAATAATTATGTGTTTTATTTTTATGGGACCATCTTTTATTAAATAATAATATTATTATGTATAAATACATTCTCTTGTCATTTAGATGTAGATGAATGTAGTAGAAATCTCCACAAATGCAGCCAAATCTGCATTAATAATATAGGAAGTTACAGTTGCAGCTGTGAGAATGGCTATTATCTTCTAAATGGTGTAGACTGTATAGGTATGTTCCTCTCTTAAACAAATAATATTTATAAATTCCTTTACGACCAGAAATATTAAATCAGCCTTACATAAACTAATGTGTAATTTTGGTTTAATATGTAATGTTTTTATGTATATGAAATATTTTATGGCTATTATATTTAATACAAAGTGTACCTAATTTTCAGATAATTTACTAATAAGAATTAAGAAAAATTTAATAAAATATCAGAGTGTATGTTGTCACATTTATAACATTATCTCATGTTTCACATAATAGCTAAATGATTTCAGTGTATTTAGTAATGTAACATACAATTGATACTAAGATAAAAACTGGCATGTTCTGTTTCAGTAATAATACAAAAATTCAGTAGTTTTTTAACAAATATAATTAATAATGTTATTTATAAAAAAAATTTCCTATCTTATGAAAACATCTGATGCCAAAAATTGAATGGTAAATATAAAACTGACTTAAGTTTCAGATTTTGAACAAGAACATAGAATTGACTATGAAGAGTCTTTAAGTTCTGTGATAAGCATTAAGAATTATGTTTAGAATTGTTCTCTAAAGTAGAAATATTGTTATAAAGTCTGCTAAAAAAACTGTGCTTTTATACAGAAAATTAGATATAATATATAGATATATTTCATCTAATTCAGAGTAGTCGTATAAAACTTCCCCATTATATTAACCCCTCGCAGAATATCAAAATTTTCAACCGGCAACACCGAGTTTTTTCCTGGTATTATCAGTATGATATGTAATTTCTGTCTGTATGTATGACCTGTAAATTTCTGTAAAATCACTAATGAGACACAATGATGACAGAGTAATGAGAAAGCAACATGTGCTTCTTCATTTATACCAAAATGATCTGGCCAAAGCAAATCAGTCAGATTTTTGCATCTCTTATTCTTGTTGCATTCATTTATCAAACTCTCTTTCTCTTCTTTGGAAAACTTTTGAGTACACTGTGTTAAAACACCAGCTAATATTAAGCTGTAGACTTTTCATTATTGTATAGGTGATAACTGAGATGGAGGAAATCATTTAATCTAGAGAAAGGTATGTATGTAGTTAATATTCATATAAATGTCATCATCTAGTTATTTCATATTGCAACCTCACCAATATTAAAATTCGATTCCTCATGATTAGATGTTGTAAATACAGAGTAATGGGTTGGTAGCTTACTCCATTGTAATATCATTTTATTTTGTATGAACAGACTACTACTTTCTGGGCTGATTTGTCAATATCTTCCCATGGAAGTATTAAAGATTAATTGCAGTATTTTAAATCAAACATTAATTTTATGAAGTAGCATTCCAATCATAGACTGAATATTGATTTAAACAGCTCTGGGAATTTACATCACGTTGTTTTACTCTGTAACATTGCATTATGTATTTCACAACATATTCAGAAATTATAATTGTTGAATGTTGTCTTGATGTGTAGCACTAAAATGTAAAAGTACTTGATTGAAAATGTTTCTTTGTGATTTGCTTTTTGCTGTGCTGTATTTACTTTTTTTATAAGTATAATGTACAGTATTCTATTATGTCTCAATTTTTTTAATATTATGATAAAACATTATATCAGAATTTTTTAAGAAACTGAAAAGCAATCATTCTTATTATTTATTCCCTTTTTAGATATAGATGAATGTACTTTAAATGCTTCATGTATGCATATTTGCATGAATATACCTGGAAGTTTCCTTTGTTCTTGCTATGCAGGCTATGAATTGCAAAGTGGAAGTAACTGTATTGGTAGGTCATTAAAGATTAATTGCAATAGAATTGTGCTAGTCGATTGTATTTATTGTATAAAATATATATATATATATATATTCAGATGTTAAGTAGCAGTTAACCATAAATTCATTAAAATATGAAATTTGGATTTAAAATATCATGTAAAAATTTTTACTTCCAGTCACAAAAATATTTTCAATAATGCAAAGGTTCATGTTTTCTTACTTTCTTACTTTTTTAAAATTTTTATTTTTATGCAACATGAAATCAAAATTTTTACATACTTCTCTGGTTCCTATACTTACATTTTGGAAAATTTAATTCTCTTTATAAAAAGAAATGCAAAAAAATTGAGTCTTGTAGATCAAAAACTGACTGGAATATTTGATAATAAAATCAGAAATCATTTTCTTGGGCCACGTACAAATTAAAGAGCAAAATGTATGTAATTAAAAATACAATACCATAAGATTACATGATGAGTATTTCTAGACAGATTATTGTGGTAAATATTGATCAATATAACTTTTTTTCAAAATGGAGATCTTATTAACAGCATCTTTAGCATCCATGTTTTAAAAAACACTGTCAGGCTTCATTGCAGCCAACTTGTATTATTATCTGCATTAATTTAAAGTGAAAAATATTTGTACTTTTAATAATTTTATTTCATACTTAATAATTTTTTATGATTACAAATTAAAATTTTTATGAAAATTTTATGTGAATATTAATAATGTGCTTTTAAATTTTGAAAACTTATAAATTACTTTCATGAAAATTCTTTCAGCATAGCAAATGTGACACAGTTGTAAGTAAAGAAACTAGTACATTACAAAAGATTATCATTGAATCGAATTTAAGAGGGAAAAAATCAACCTGGAATTTTTTTATTTACCAATGCATCAGTGTAAATTCAAAATGATGTTAAATATCGCAAGTTTTGAAATTAAATATCTCAGTCACTTTTTGTTGTATGGGAGTCAAACTTTTATGTTTTGCTTTTTGTAATGAGTACTAAATTTTCTAAATATAAGTACAGGGACTGGAGGAGCATTTAAAAGTTTAGATATCAAATTTTTATAAAATATTCATTTTTTTTTTTAAATATAAAATTATAAAAACATGAATTTTTAAATGTTAATTAAAATGTTTTTGTAACTGGATATATATGTCTGACCAGTAATTGCATAAATAAATGGCTCGTAAGGAATTTGAGGCCATGGTACATAAACTTCAGCTTTGTATGTTTATAATAATGCGATATAATACTAAAGTAGCAATAGTTTTTTTTTTCCCCCTATAGCATCTTATTTAAAATTTTTCAGTATGTTATCTTTTTCTTTAGAATAATTTGTTTTGTTAATCTGACTATTTGTGTAGGTTTAACTATATCATATTTCAATTTGAAAACAAGAAAAAAATAAAAAATGGTTTTATTTTGGCTTACTTTTTTTACATTATTCTAAAAGACCTGTGCCTATATATATCATTATTGTATTTAGAATGTAAAATTATACAGTTTAGTATCAGATGTGAAAAAAAAAAGTCTTAAAATGTTAAAAAAAAAAAAAAAAAAAAGCTTTATATAAATTCATAAATTAAGCATGTCTCCTTTCGACATACAAAATATTGTAGATTTTTATTTGAAATTATTGTAATCTATTCTAAATTCAGATTTATATTACAAATTATTATATTTGATTCCAAAAGACTGACTATAAAAAGCTTTTTGTTTTAAGTTATTATTGTTCTTAATTATCCCCTTTTTTCAGATATAGATGAATGTTATCATGGTATTTATAATTGCCCTGAAGATCAAGAATGCAGGAATATTGATGGAGGCTATGAATGCATTGATACATGTTTATCAGGCTTTTTCAGGGCGGTAATTGGTTCCTGCTTAGGTAATAATAATTTTGCCTATTTGCTAAAATATACACCGATTTTTATTAGCACTTTACATTTTTCTTAACTTTTTTATTCTTCACTGTATTCTGATGGAAAAGCCTTTAAAAGTGGCACATAAATGCTGAGTGCAGTTATGTAATTTTCATAAGTCTGCAGTCCTAATACAAGAAATCTGTTTACCATATACCATAAAATTCCAGTTATCCAGAATATTAAATTACCAAGATCACTTGATCTTTCTAAGTAATACCATAAAATGCATGCAGTAAAAAGCTATTATATTAATTTTTATCATTAAGAGCTCGCTGTCTGGCATTCAGCTAAAGGGAAATTTCAAGTAACCAGAATACAGTATAACTCCAAATATCCAAATCAATTGGGACCAGACCCCATCCGGATAATCAAAAATTCAGATAAGTGGATTTTTTCCAAAGAATGAGTCTTTCGAGTAAACACATGTTGTATAGTGTACTGTACCATGCATACAAGTGCTGAAAGTCATTGCTTGCTGAACATCTCAGCCAAAGTAAGCTATTTGACTGTGTTCACCCGTTTTTGGGCAGCCAAGTCACTCATCCGCTTGACAAGGAAAAGTTGCATGTGGTCACACTCAGGCTGACGCTACATCCACTTCAAGGCCTGTCCTGTTTCTGCTTCAACTTCGACATTAAGGTCATCTTTTTCCTCGACACTTTCTTCCCTCATACTTTCAGTAAGTTCATCATCATTTAGAATTTCAAACCCAGGGTCTGCTGAATCACATACCATTCATTCTGCTGTATCCTCAGCACTAAATTCTAGACATCCAAGAATCTCCAAAAAAAAAAAATGTTTCTTAATTCCTCAACTCAGCTTCATCTTCCTACTCTTCTTCAGTTGATTCTGAAATTTTGAAGGCGGTTTGGATAATTGGAGTTTTATTGTACTTTTAAATTTTACATTAAGAGGCTCGCTGTCTGGCATTGAGCTAATGGGAAATTTCAAGTAACCAGAATACTTTTAAATTTTAAAATTTTCCCCCCTTCTTTTTACAGAAAATTAATCAAATGAGAGATTTTCAAAGCCACCATAAAGCACATCTACAATAATACAGAACAAACAAAATTCTGGTAAACAGTGTAATTTATCACTAGTAATGTATAAGCATGATATCACAATGCAGTCACTACATCTTTGCCTTGATTTCATGTATACTCATTAATTTCCAATAATAATTATTAAAATAGTACAGCATGCAGTGAAATATTAGAAAATTATGGGAAATAAAGCACAGTCATTTCTTTCACGTTTTTGCAGAATGACTGACACAAATTTGGAAGGATCTCTGCCAGCTTTCCTGATCAGATAAAATGTTACAAAAGTGTTGGCTTTTATGTCTGAATTTTTTTAGTATTATTGTTTTATTTTCCATAATGTTAAATGTTGGCTTTTGATATTCAGGCTGTCATTTCCCTGGTAACTTGCTTATTATTGTAACTGACTTATTGTTATTGTTCTTTAACTATTAAATATATTAGCAGCTCCATGCTGTATATTAGCTTATTCATGTTTACTCTGTGAGTAATTGTACTATTCAAGTATTTTACATGAATAAGAAGTAATATCTTAATTTTGGCAAATAAATATCAGTTCTGCAGTTTGGTTTTTACAAATAAAAAGTAACAGTGGTTATGCATCTTAAGTAAATGCATAACTAAGATTGTGCATTTACTTGCGATGTATGTCAATAAAAATTTATTTTGTTGTTTTATTTTAGAAATTAAATTTATGAAACAGGAAGCTGTAATATGCTAAGACAAGTTATATAAGTAATTTTATTGTTCAATTTCATCGAAAAATTTACTTTGTTTTATAGAAAGCTATTATTGAAGCTATATAGTAATTGTAGCAGTCATAGCAGTAAATTTAGAGAAACTTTTTAAATAAAAATTAAATCAAAACAAAATAGTATCCAGTAATGCCGCTAGCCACAAATGCCTGTCAAAGCTCTTAACCACCAATTACCTACCAAGTTTAGGTTCACATTTAGTCAACCAGTGGGTCACCAAAATGAGACAGTATAACAAATTTCATGTATTTAAAAGTGAAGTTTGAGTCTTTTAAAGCTTTTGATCACTAGTGACAAATAAACTGTCTGAACAAAAATTTTTCCAACAGAGAAGACAATAAACTATATCATAAAAAAATTTATTAATTATTTAATATGGGAAAGTTCAGAAGTATACTATAGAATGCAGTATTACATGAAAACAAACAAAAAAACATATATACTATGCATCAACATAGAAAATATACTTCTTGGAGGCAGTGCAGTAAATTCAGATGCGAATGTAGATGTAAGTTATGTCTGGAATTTGCCAACCCACATCCTGTAATCATCAGTTTCTCTCTCTCCTATTTGTTAATTGCTTTCATGTTTAAAAAAAAAAAAAAAAAAAAACAAATCTTTACTTATGCATGATTAAAAATTTAATTCTCTAATCACAGTTCACACTGCAAAAGTAAAAGTTCATGATTTTTTTTTCCCCTGGATTTAAGCTAATCAGAAAAAATTGGGATTACAAATTAACTATAAGTGACAACACACATGTTTAATTAAAATATAAAGAAGATCTATGCTTAGTGATGTACCCAGTCACCTATAGGCCTTTAGGAGGCGTTTCAAGACAAACTACTAACTAGATTAAAAATAATTTTCCAGACTATGTAAGATGTATTCAGAATTAAGGAGCAAAAGCAAACCAACTTGGGACTGCAAGATGTTTTTGCAGTTTCACATTATCCCTAGTTTTTGCAATATTTTGTACTTAACAGAATTATTAATTTATTTGTACCTGAAATTAACTCATCTAAATAATGTTTTTATATTTCTTATGCCTAAACCGGTTTGTTAATTTTTTATTGTTCAAAACTTTTGAAACTATTATATGAATACCTTTATTTATATTACTGTATCTTAATTTCTATGAAATAATATTCATTATGTTTTTTCACAACATTTTAGTGTAAATATGATTAAATTCAATAAACATATATGACAATTATCAATTATTATTTTTTTATTTAAGTTTCATTAGATTGAATGTTTAATGTTAAGTAAGCTTTATTTTGAAAATTTAAAGAGATTTTTGCTATCTACTGTCACATGAAATTCAAATATTGACAGGTAAATTTTTAGAATTTCCTTTTCTTTTTTTCTTACTTAGATATTGATGAATGTCATGAGAGATTAGCAGCATGCCACTTTACACAAGTTTGTATCAATACATATGGTAGCTATCACTGTTCCTGTCTCAGAGGTTATTATTCTGCTGGACCTGGCAAACCATGCCAAGGTAATACTCACAAATTAAAACAAAAATATAAACAATAGTTGCATTTTTTATGATTGAAGTTTAACATATGTTAAATATACTTCCCTTCAAAATCTTTATTATTTATTACATCCAAATTAGTTTACAAGTATAAATTATGAATTTTATTTTGATATAGATATAAATGAATGTTTACAAAGACCTAGACCTTGCAGTTATCTTTGTCGAAATATACCTGGAGATTATGAATGCGTGTGTGCACCTGGATTTAAAAGGTTATCTGATGCAAAGACATGTGTGGGTTAGCTGCTACTATTTACTTTTAATGCATCATTTTAGAGTCATATAATTTAATGATGTAATTTAACCACTTATATTTAATGTCAAAAATAATACAGGCCTAGTATAAATGTTTCATTCGTTTTGAAAAGGCTACATTTTCAAAAGTATTACACGTATACACATGAAAGATATATGAAAAGAACCACAAACTCACCAAGTTTGTAATTATACTGTGTATTCTAGGTGGCAGCATGAGTCCATTATCTTTTCAATCGGGTGTGGCAGTACGAGGTTAGTACCTGTCGAAAATGTCCACGTGCAGTCATTGCAATTGAAAGAGATTCACCAAAGGTGAATGTTTCCTGTGCAGTGTCACAAACAAAGATGTATGGGTTGAGCAAACTGTGACCGGTCGGTGTGCGATGCGTTTATGGTTATTCCCACAACTCAGTGCTGACTTCAGGGATTTTGTCTTCCAGCAAGACAGGGCACCCCCTCATTGGCACACATCCAGTTTGTGTCTACATAAACGATAAACTTCCCCATCACTGGATTAGCGGTATTGCTGAGAATGACCTAGCTTTGTCCCCTTAGCCTACGTGATCCTCTGGTTTAACATCCTGTGACTTCTTCTTGTGAAAGTATGTTACGTAGAATGTTTAATTACAAAATAATTTTTGGTATGTTTTCAGAGTACAGCAAAATTTCCACAATAGTGAGCTTTTAGAATAATGTTATTTGTTTTCATCAAAAGTAGTATGAAATGTATCGTGTCCTCATATCTGTTACCTGTATTTTGTATATTCTACTCTATGCAATGCATGCAGAATAATCTGATACTTTGCCCTTGTATGATCATATAATGACTATGGAGTGTAAAGTGTAACTTTAGATAGTTGCAGGATCTGGATGATATCTGATTAATCTGTGCAAGCTGCCCAGGTGTCCGGACCTGCAATCCTTAGTCGAACTCAAAGAACGCTGTAGTGCAGAAAATTTGACAAAACTATGCTACAAAATGTATGAAATGAGCTTGATTATAGTCTGGATATGTGTCGTGTCATCAAAGGGGCACATATTGAACACTTGTAGAGGATGTATAAACTTGGTGAGATTGCGGTTCTTTTCATATATCTTTCATATGTGTATGCGTAATACTTTTGAAAATATAGCCTTTTCAATACAAATGAAACATTTAGACAGCCTTATAATTTCAAATAATATATATAATTTTCTTCTTCCACTTAAATATGCTTTTTCACTTAAATCATAATAGATCCACGGAATCATTGAAATGATTTTCAATGCTAAAATAATTACATTTATAGGCTTTACTGTTATTCCAGGAATTGAATATTTGGATGAATTAAATCTTGAAGTTCAGCATGACTTTATCAACCCTGAAAGAAACAGGTCCAATGGCCTTTTTTCAGAATCAAATGTACCAAGTAAAGATGAAGCTATATCTTACTGTGAGACTGGTTTTTATAAAGTGAAAGGAGAGTGCAAAGGTACTCAAATTAAAATTTCAGTTTTAATACATTTGCTACATAGTAATAGGTAACTTTCTATTTACATGTGTGCTCAGTGAAATAACATTGTGTGGCATAAGCTATTTTGACTCTAAAATTATGTAACAAATAAGGTAATATGGTAGTGGCTATGTTATTTTAGATGCTTTCAGTTTTATATGGGTATGGAATTTTATGTGTATATTGATTGAGTACTTGTTAACAAATCAAATTTTTAAAATTCTTAATTAATGATTAATGTTTTAGGGATAGAATAGGTTGCTTAAAGACGAGTAATAAGACACATAAATAAGATAAGTGTACTAATAGTGCAAAGTAAGTAAGACAAGTGTACCATATTTTAGAACTGCTAAAGAAAGAATAACTGTTTTCCGAAGATATAAAACGTACATAATTTTCAAATTATATACACTAAATTATACATTTGATTTTAATTTTTCATGCTTTTATCAGAATATGATATGGATGTATGAAACTATTCATGTAAAAAGGTTAAACTGATTTTCTTGAAGCACTTTTATGAAGTACCACTGCAGTATATTTAAGCTATCCATTATAATTGTCCAATCAAGATCTTGATTTCAATTTAATGGTTTTAGATAATGAAGCAGATGAGAGTTTGCATCCACATCAATATATATATATATATTTGCACACACAGATAAATAGTTGGTTGAATGAATGGATGTGAATAAGAAATGCTTCATGGTATCTAATAAGCTAACAACTAAAGTTATTGTAATTTCTAATTTTTAGTATATTTACTTCTTGAAATACCTTCTCACCCCATGGAAAAAGTAAATTATTCATCTTTATTGGAAGGGGGGAACTTTACAACAAATGAATATAAGCTGAACTACTTAATTAACATTTTACATATTTTCAATGTTAAGATATTGATGAATGTGAAGATAAAGGAAAGTGTCAACATCTATGTGAAAATACTCAAGGAAGTTATAGCTGCATCTGTCCAGCAGGTTATCGTCTAGGACCTACAGGAAAGACTTGTGAAGGTATGGAAATGTCATTCTTTTGCTTTTTTAAGATTAGCATATTCTAAAAATAAGTATCAGCATATTCTAAAAATTAGTAAGTAATTAGTAAGTTAGTAAGTAATTAGTAAGTTAGTAAAATTAGTAAATATTCATATTCTAAAAATAAGTATCCATAAAAAACATTTAAAATGATATAAAATATAATAGGATACACTTTTTAGCAAATTAAACAAAAAGGATTGTGATTTATGATCCAAACTGCTACCTGTACACTGTTTGAGATATTTATTATATTGGGCTAAACACTAAATTAAAATAGAAATGTTGCCTCAAATTTATATAAATGCAAATTTTTAAGGGATTTCCACATATTCTGCATTTAATCAAGAAAAGAAAAATTTGTGTGTGCTTGAATTTTATGCTGCAATTGAAATATATGCATGGGATGACATGTGTTGTGGCAATGTTAAAATGTTTGTGTTTTGCTTAGAAACGCTTTTTCATCATATCCAAAAATTCTCAGAAATGGAGCTGATTTACATATAGTTAACAAATTTTCTAAAAAGGAATCACAAAATTCTAGAAATAGTTATACTGGTGATATTCTCTTGAATATTGTATAGAAAAACGAATTTTAACTAAAAAGTCTGTGTTGTCTACATTTGAATACGTTTTTCTACATCATAGCCATCTATTACAAAATTGTTAAGTAGTAGATGCATCTGTTAATTGTTTCAAATTTTAATAAAGGATTCTACATTACTATTTTATATACTAAAATCTTTATTTATATTGTTGCGTGTGTACGGGTTCATTACGAAATGAATGCAGAAGTCCAATGAAAAATGAACAAAAATTTATATTATCACAACAAATATTATTAAATGTTCTCAAATAATCATGCAGTATCACAATATATCACAGTAGTTATCTTCTAACTACTCAAACATTCAAGAGAACTTAATTCAAAACAGCTAAAGAAAGCTAATCCGCAAATTCGCTACAGTCAACAAGAGCAGTTTTCTAACACAACTAAAACTACTAAACTACTAAAACTGAGAGGTTTTTCCTCTCTTTTTATAAGATTTTAAAATCCTGCACGAGAATTTTCTAGTACTTTCTCGAAATCAAAAAGAGATATTTATTAAATGTTACGTGCACGCGCTCTTGTATTTTCAATTTTCCGGCTTAGCTTTCTTTTAATATTCGTCACACGCTGCACTGTGCAGGAAATAAAACCATTTAATTACAATTCAAGCTATTTAAATACCATATCCGTAACAATATTTTATTTGCTATGGGTTTTATATACTTGTTTTTCACTCGCTTTATATCTATCTTTAAAAATTTTTATCCTTGCTAGGGTATGTATTAAAAGAGTTTTATATTTATTTAGACATAGATGAGTGCTTAGAGTCGAATATAGAATGTGGTGCAAGTAGGATGTGCTTTAATATGAGAGGTTCTTTTAAATGCATCGAGACTCCATGCCCACCTGACTATGACAGAGATCCTTTAACTGGGTAAGTCATTAAAATTGTTAATAATATTTTTTTTTAGTCCAAAGGGATTTGAATCCCGAAGGACTATTAGTTTCGTTTGGCATTTTGTGTCGGACTCATAAATGTCGTTCACTTTTCAAACTGTTGCCACAAATGTTAGAGTCCTGCATTATTTTGAAGAAATTAAATAATGAAAAATCTGCATAAATGTATGTATATTTCTCGTATTGCGATAAAACAACGGTACATAGAGTCATCGAATTTTGAATAACGTAATCCTCCAACGAATATGAGCATGTGGAAGACCAAATTTGAAATTTGTTTTATGATCGATTTTCTATTTTTTAAAACTTTGACGAATTTTTGATTAACAAACTCAAGGATTTCAAAGCGAGCAATGGCAACGTTGTGCAGAAAAAACATTTTTATCTCCAGCGCGTGAGTCCTCTGTCTCTGTATCGGAAATTTCTAAAGATATGCTCGTTTTAAAACTATTTTGTGATATTGCTGTTTGCACTGGATCTTATGGTTTAAGGCGAAGACATGATATTTAATAAAGAAGGTAACACACAAAATGTTAAAAAACGCCGCTTTGGACGTAAAAAATTTAAAATTTCTGAAACATTTTTTTTTTTTTTTTTTTTTTTTTTTCCCCATTTTAAGCTGGTAAATTGCCAACTTTTAAATTAAATACAAATTATGTTAAAGGCATTTCTTTGTAATAAATATGAATTTATACAACAGAAGATTTTTTTCTCTTCGCAGTCATGTAATTTTCTCTGGATATTTGTATTAGTCAGATTGGTGTACTGACCACTAAAACCAGTAGCAAACATTCCTAAAGAATTATCTTCTACATTTAAATTAACTTTAACCCTGCCATTTTTTAAATTATTATTACACAATTATTTATGCACATTTCATAGACTTCTGAGGTTAAAATTATCACATGTGCTACTTTCAATATAATTCAAATAATTCTTCCTATCCAATGGAAAATAATCTGTATTCTCCAGGATCATGTGTATGTACATTTTACTTTGATATTATTTTTCACTTAATTTAAATTTACTTTCTGAGAATGTCTTAATAAAGTGTTGCTCAAACGTAACTGCTAACCATACTGTTTATTGAAGTGCATGCATACAATGTCAATTCAGATCAGTTCAGTCAATTTAGATTTATAATCAGCATTTTACTTCCCTGCTATATAAAGAGATAAATTTAAATAAAATCTCTTACATCTAAAACATCAACTTAATAGTAAAATCAGTACTTACTGATGGTGAACTTTATTCAACAACAGGAATTCTCGCCAATAGCTATCTTAACAACATTAAAACTGGTAAGTGTCAACAAACTGAAATACAGTTAGCTTGCATTGATTCTTGAATTATTTAAACGTAACTCTTAATAGTATTTTCTAAAGAAAATTTCTATGAAAATTGAAAGCAGATTCACTTTCGTATCCCTAACTGTTATAACCGCATCGGCTTTTCTGTGAAATAGAAAATATAGGTATGTAAAAATTCTTTACCTTAATTCTTAAATATACCAGTATCCCCCTTTAAACGAATCCATTGAAATTGTTTTGTTTAACATCTGCATTCGAGTGGAAGGGTCTAATTTTGTGTTTTACGATGGTATGCTTCTTTTTCATATTAACAATAATAAGCTCTGTTATCATTTAGACATATTAAAATACAAAGTAGTGTTAGAAAAAATTCCATCTAGTGCTTAACCAATATTGTGCTTATTGTTTTGATTAGCTTTAAATCAATTTTATAATTTTGTTCACAGTTCCTATTTGGGGATATTTAAAGATTTGGGGGAGGCTGGATTTTCTTTAAAACATGAGATGTGACTAAGATTCAATGAGAGTTGTATGTACCTTTGTTGCGTCTCCATTTTTTGTCTTTTTCTCAGTCAGATGTAAACTTTTAAACAGTGCAAAAATATAGACCCTTTATTTTTCAATGCCATTTTGAAGGAAATATTTTTAATGCTGCTGACAATGATTAAACCTAATTCCAATTTGATGCCAGTCAAGTTTGTATTTTAAAATTAATATTCAAATTCATGGAGAAAATGAAAATCATTACAAAAATGTGTAAACACCCTCTGTAATAGAGCTCTCTCGGTTATGGTTAGCGTGAAAAAACTGGATTTTTTTTTAATGGTTTCGCAACACTTTTTTCCTTTGCAAATTAATCAGCACGTTGAAAAATTGTAAATGATGTTGAAACGATATGTGAATGAAGAAAATTGACAGCTTAAAATATCTGCAAAGGACCAATCAACGTTTGATAGGAGGTGTATAATTCACAAGTACAGACACTAGAATCACAGAACAAACACCATTTAAAAAACATCAGGTATTCGAGTATGCTAACAAGACGACATTTAAACATCAAGGTGAAGTAACTGATAAAACTGTTCAATCACAACAGAGAAAATGCTGCTGAAGCAGTACCATTAAGCCATACCTTGGAGGCTAAATGCAGGTCATTAATTTAAAAGTCCAAGGGCAAATTGTATTTCCTTAAAAAGTCCAATCCAAGTATGCAAGGATCTGTAATATCTGCCACGTGATTTTTGGCAGCACTTCCAAACATAATGTTAATGTTTGATTTTGAGGATAGTGTCCAAATAAGTTCATCTTTAAACTGTTGAGCTAAATCTTTCCGAATGATGGCAACATTCACTCCTGTATCAATGACCATATTGCAAGGGACTCCATTGATATGTCCCATGATGAAGATTCCATTATTGCCACCACTTTTTTCATTTTTATTCCATCTCAAGGCACTGGCTTGTTTGGTTAAATCATCTGTTTTATTTTCCAATATCCTGTGGTGTTCTGCAGTTCCGCCGTATGTGGCTTTCAATATCACATTTCTAACACTTTACAGTTGGTTTGTTCTCACTCCTATTCTGTATCAAAGCATTGACTGCATTTCAGGATCCTGTTAAGCACTCTGAAAAGGTGAGATCAGACAGCCTTTCAACATCCGTTGCGAGCTCCTGGAGTGTTTCTGTTGACAGGATTTTAGTTGCTTGCTGTAGTCTTTTAAACACTTCTCCCCAAAGCACAGCTCCAACCACGCCAGACAGAGCGGCGAGGAGACAGGCCTTAGCTTGGGAATCCCATCCACTCACTTCTGCCACTATAGAAATACACTTATACACTTGCCAGGTCTTCCTGTCATATGTCATATGTGACGAGCAGGTATCGGTAGAAATTTAAAACCATCAGAATTGTTTCCTGCTGTCACTGTGCACTTCTTTAAGGTGTCAACTTCTTTGGTGATGGCAGCAGAAACCCTGTCATCAATTTGCCAAACTCTTCCTTCGATTTGTTGCTCCACAGCAGAAACTCTTTTTTCTTTTACAGAACGCTTTCTGCAGTGTGTCCAACTTTACTTTCAACAGCCTCAGTTCTTATATAGCTTCGAATTTGTTTTCTACTATACAGGTAATCTCTTTTTTCATTCCCTCTTGACCTGCTTTCACAGATTCTTTAACACATACTTAACCATCTTCCATATTTTACATCACCAAGTAACTGTTCTTCCATCGCTCTTGTCACTGGCATTCAATCCCACTTGTCACTAGCAATCAGAACACCAGAAATATTGCAAGTGTATGGGTCCGTAATAGACTGAATGCACAAGTCCCATAATATATTAAATTGAAATAAAATTTATTCTTATCAAAAGAAATATATCAGAACTCTGAAATTTTTCTCAAAGATATTCGTACAAGTGTTCACAATATCGCGCAATATAATCAGTACCTTACACTTCAAACTACTAAAAACGATAAATACAACACAATGCAAAGCACCATCTACAGAGAAAGCTAATTCAGATATCTCAATTCATACGGAACTAAACAAATCACAACAACAATAATTAAGCAACTAATTCAGATGCTATCTCTTCGGCCTTTTCAACCGGTCGCGAGAAATTTCTAGTACATTCTGCTTCTTGAGATTTCTGGAAAGCAATAAGAGGATGAAATTACAGTTATTCAATTTCAATAAAAGTTACAAATATATCCATCTATTAAATGTATGTGCCTTTGTATTTTTTCTTTTCTGGCATAGCCTTCTCTTAGAATTTTTCTGGTGCTGCAATGCACGGGGAAATACAATTTTAATTCTACTAAAATTAGCTTTCTAAATACAAAATTCGTAATTTATCACAACTCGGCAAATAATGTCACCATATTAAAAGAAAACAGCTAAATTTTTTTTTTAAGTACAGTAAAGCACAAAAATGACAATTGCACATTGTACGTAATATATGAAACACTGCTGTTATTATTTTCCCATGTACAAAACAATGTCCTCAAGAAAACACTGCACAAATTCATTTCAGAAGAAATTGCACAAATTTAGGGTTTGCTACAGTTTGTTCATTACAGTGGACAGCATGCATATACGTATATGCATACAAATCTCTTCCCAACGATTTACGGTCATTGCATTTGAAATCATTTCCTGCCTTGTTTGCAGTGATCATTACCATCTTCTAAATGGTAAATCTAGAACTGACATGTACATACAAATTTCCCAAAATACCTTCATATCGTCGATTAAGATTGAATTCATTTTGCTATGATTTTGTAACCTGTACCTATTGGATTCAAATGTTCTAGAAATTCCAATGGTGCTTTGGCTTGATAAGCAGTACATTTGGGTTTCAATTCACTCTTTTTGATAGATCTTTATCTACCCACTCCACAATTTTCTCAAACTGACATTTACAATAAAATGTCTAAAATTACTGATTATGAATACAAAAATGGCAGTATACAAGAAAATGTAAAAGCAATATTTATATAATGTTTACTATGAGAAATGTGCTAACTTGGAAACAGAAGTAGCAGCCATTTTCCAAATAGCAATGTTTTACTTAGTGCCTATACAACCTCCAACTATGATCAACAGTTGAGAGTTTCTAATAATAGAGAATAATAAACACAAGAATGGAATCTGTTAAGGCATTTACAGAAGAATAAACAAATTTAAACTTTTGTCTAACTAGAGTGGACATGATGCAACAAAGGGTTAAATAACTCGAAACAAAGATGGACAGAAGAATGAAAAAAAAGGTATGTTTATTGGAACAGCTCTAAAAATTTGATATGAAAGTTTCACAGTTAGTTACAAAAGCTGCTAATAGATGGTGCTGTACACCGTTGTGTTGGAAGATCAACCAGGCATTTCGTGGTTCATGCAAAATGAGGCACAACCACACTGCACCGAACACGTTCCTTGAGGAGTACTTTGGGAATAGAGTTATTGCTTTGGGCTATTCTATATTTATTGGAACAGGCATGGCCTCCATATTCATCCGATCTTACCCCTGTGATTACTTTTTGTGGGGCACCTTGAAGGACACTGTCTTTCAGAAGAAGCCTGTGACACTGGATAAGCTTGAAGAGTCGATTTGTGAGGCATGTGCATCCATTTCCATCGACACACTAAGGCAAGTGTGTGAAAAGTTTTTCATTTGTGCCACCTCTGTACTGCGTGAAAGGTAGACATTTTGAAAGATTATTATGTGATTGCAATGACACCTTGCACAGGACACATTTGTTACCTTTTTCTTCGAGAACGTATTGCGACTACAGTGCCACCTATTGGCAACTTTTGTAATTAGATGTGAAACTTCTGTATCAAATTTTTACAGTTGTCCCAATAAAAATACCTTTTGTTTCATTCTTTTATTGATCTTTGTTTTCAGGTTATTTATGTTTAAAAATGGGGGGTCCTTTGTGGGCTACCCTGTATATATTGTATGCACTGTTTCTTTCCATATATACAGCGGTCTGTTTTCATTTTAAAAACATCACAGAATTTTGTGCAAACTCGGTATTGTGCACACAGTCTCAGCACATGCACGAAACATGTATTACCCCCCTCCATGTACACAGCAATCAGTTTTCGCTTAAAAAACATCAGAGAATTGGACAAAATCGGCATTGCATACATTTTATATAAATTATATAATACATTATTGTTCTAATATCCTACAATCTCATGAATTAAAAAAAAGGTTTGTCAAAATAAACAAAAAGTAGGATTACTAAGATAACCCTTTACTCGTCACTTAAGTTGATTTAAATTTCAGTAGCTTCATAAAATTAAATAACTTGTACACTAACTTATACACTCCAAATATTAATTCACTTTCTCCATCACTTTGTGTAAGTTACCTGCAGGTCATCTCCTCAATAATTTATTTTCCACTTCTCTATTCATATTAGAAATTTTTATAAATTAGTTTTTCCATTTTTTGTCACTTTACATTAGATTATGCTAATGGGCTTTTATCATCCAGGCAGTCCAGCATATATTGCCATTCCATGAGGCTTATATCTGCTAATCTATGATCCACGTGGCATGGAAATAAATATTTATGGTATTATTATAATTAATAACAAATTTCACACATCTCATATGTTTTATATTATGCATTTTAAAAGAAAACAGTCATTTCATTTTTTTCATACTATATATTGAGATGATAAATATTTTTCAATATATATGCATTTATTTATAAGAGAATGAAATTAATAAAATTTTATCAATTATTAGATAAAGTAGTTTTAGATTCATAGATTTAGTATTAGTTTCTTCCACAGTTTTGATTAAGTTAGGTTTTTACAACGCATGAATATGCAGTTCCCCTTAAACTACAATACTCTAACACTTTAAGAATTAATTATTATAAGTCTTAAAGCTTTCAAATAAAGGAAGAATTGAAAAATTCTCAAAGATGATCTGCAGAAGTTGAAAGAGCAATAAAAACTAGATTAAAGCCACAACAAGAAAAAAGACTAAAATATAGTATAGCACGTATAATTTAAGTATGATCCCACAGAAAAATGCACTACATATTAAAATATTCAGCCACTTAAATCTATATTCCCCTATACACGTGTTTAATACAATTTCATTTTACGTTATCTGCAAATTCATTTATTTTCACTTCTGCTAATGATTCCGTTTGACATTTTATAATTCTTCCTTCTTACCCCTCCCTTCAGACATAAATTACTATAATTTTAGTTAGGGTACATTTGATGGCACATTACAGCTTATTGTGCTTACTAGTAAAGAACTAGATGTAGAAATATACATCCATTTTGGAGAATGTTCAGTCTCAATTTTGAAAGACGTCAATGCAAAAAGACTACAAAACCTAATATCCTGTAAATAGAGAAACTTCTTTGATATTTTCTTCTTTGATTTTTCTAATCCTTCGAACTCAGTGCTATCATTGCAAGTTTTTGTACTACTACAATTACTTCTAACAGGCATGAAAGTGCAAGTTGGCAAAAAAAAGCTGAACAACGCGCGGACACAAAACTACACCACGCACGACCTCCCAAAAAAAAAAAAAAAAAAAAACATTTTAATAAAATATAAACCTTTTAATATAAAAAGTATTAAACATATAATTAAACTAAATTAATACTTGTAGTTACTATTTTGCTATTAATTTTATCTTCTACTTGTTAAAAAAAATCAGTAAATCATCAAGAAATTGTAATGAATTAACCTTCTTTAAGATGCTCTTTATATAACTAATTTAACAGCTGATACATGAATACTGTACACAACATTACAACACACTAATATTCATATTTATGTTATATATTACTGACCATTTTCAGGCAGTGACAAGTCTTAAAAGATATATATATATATATATATATATATAACTTTTAGCTATAGCTTTCAATTATCTTCACTTTTAGTTCAATAAACACTACTTTATATAACACCAGAAAAAGTAGTCATATGAGATAATAATAGTTACAAAATAACATATAGTTAAAGGAGGAATATAAAAAATAACTATTTTGTCTCAGTCTCACTCAATCCTGATTAAAAATTTTTAGGGGAAAAGCTTTTTCTTTTTTGCTACTTTTGCAGCCAACTTTTCTAATTTCCGTTTGAGAGCTAGTCTCAATTTCTTTTCAGCAGCTTTTATACAATCCATTGATACTTTTTTATTTTCTGCAATGTTTAATTGCTTTTTTTTAGATTCTCGCTTCTTGTGCTCATGATTCGGATTTAAGATATTGTTACTGAAAAACTTGCAGCAACAAACAAAAAAAGAAATAACATAAAGGTCTACACTCCGAATTACAGCATGCCACTTTACACACGCTAAAATTCGCACGTGCTCTTGATAACATCAATAGGTTATCCGTATGTCCAATAGATGATGCCAGCACCTATCGCTGAAATTATTGAAGTCAGCTCTCATTTGACGGTTGCTTGATCTTCTTTGATTCGATATTCATACGCATATAGTTCCGCCTTTCCACATAAGTGCCACCTACTTCGCCTTGATGTGAAACAATACATTTTGCCATCTCAGGCCTGATGTAAAGTTTTTTTTTACAAAGAAAAGAGGAAGAGAGGGAGCATTTCCTACATCCCCCCCCCACACACACACATTTGCCGGTCGCGATTTCTCAACGGTTCTGCACCGATCTCAAAAACAGCACGGGTGACATTCAAAAAAGCGGAATTCCGCGAAAACGCAGAAAACTTTCATGTCTGTTCTAAAAAGGAATACTGTTTCTGATGGTCAAGCTCAACTGTACTGTGACTTAATGTGACTGAGCTTTAAGCTAAAAAAAAAGAAATCTATGCACTTTTTATAATTTAAGTATTAACTTTTGTATGTATAAAGTAAATTTCCAATTAACTGACATCTCTAGAACAGGACCTTACAATCTTTATTGGATTTTAAAAATATTATATATCTGTTATATGTAAATAATATTTATTCAGCTTCAAAACTACCATTTTCACTTTTATGTATTTATTTTAATTTCTATTATTATACCATTTCTTTGCTAAGGTTATCAATGTTAGATTGTTTTTCTGTTCACTATATCACTTTAATCTTAAAAAGCTTATTTGAATTTCTCACTTTATTCAGAATTATCATTTAAAAATAATCTTTACCTAAAATATAAATTCAAGATATTAAATTCTTTAAAAATTCTGATTAGCAGTACTACCATATAGATAAAATTTTCTTTCTTAGACTTGACAATGAAAATTTGATTCACAAAGAAGTCTAGATAAAAATTTAGTCAAAGATTAATTTCATGCTTTTGTGAGAGTTTTATTTTCTTACTGTTTTGATAATAAATTTTTTACATAGATGTAAATCTGATCTGTGTATTCTAGGTACTGTAAACTGTCATGTGAAAAGGCTGGAACAGCTTGCCCTCCAAATGTAAAATATTCTGAAATACTGGCATTTAAAATGATAGCTTTGCCAAGTGGAATCCAAGCTTATCAAGATCTAATAAGGTTAGTTGCTTATGACCAAGATGGTGTTCAACTACCAAACACAGTATTCTCCATTATAGAAAATGACACAGGATTACCTTTTCGAATACGTCTGGAAAATGGAAAGGGCGTCCTTTATACACAGAAAAGTATGGATTCAAATACAGACTACCAAATAAAAGTTCAAGCTGTGTCATATGACATGGAAAATCATATTATACAATATACGACAAAGTTTTTAGTATTTATATCAGTTTCTAAACATCCATATTAAGAAAGGATACTGATAGTATTATTTCAAAATTAAATTCATCCTTCATTTCTTCACAAAAGGAGCCTAAAATTTTGTTTCATTTAATTAAAATTATTTTACACTACATTCTTAATTTATCTTAAATCAAATGTAATTGAACTGTTGGGGACCATTGATATGTAAATACTTTTTAATGTATTATGTTTTACAGAAAATATATCTTTTAAAATATGCAGTATCTTTATTATTATTAAATCAAATCCACACACACTGTGAATTCAGATTAAAAGAATTATAAAATTTAGGTACAGTGGATAATCTCTAATATCAGAAATAAATTAAAATGCCACAGATATGAAACTGGAATATTGTCTTTTATACTCATACCTACCATTAAAAATATGCCTTAAAAGTATCATTCATTAATCTTTTTAGATTATAAACATAGAGGTAAAACAAACTACTAATATTTTTTTAATGTAATAGTTTTATGTATTTAAATTTCGAAACTGCTCCATGATGGCATAATAGGATATGGTCAGAAATCTATGCAGATAATTTTTAGGTTGTGTCATCGGGAAATACAGTCTAATTCCATGTTAAATTTTTGTTCAAGCTGTGTCACATGACATGGAAAATCATTGATGAATCATACATTCCTATTGAATTCTGTTCTCTACTAAAACTAGTGGGCAGACAGCTCTTTTTATAACCCACTTGTTGATCTGGCACTGTACAAGGCAAAAGGATCAGTAAAATAATAAATGTTCCTGTTTTAGGGGAAAAGGGACAGTCAATTACAAATTTGACTTTTTAAGCATTTTCATTAAACTTATTCTTACAGTGATTTGAAAGTTAAAACAAACTTTTTTTTTAATTAAAAAACTGCACTTTAAACCTTAATTTATATTAATGGAATCACTGCAGAAATAAGAAATCGTATTTTATAGAAAACAGATAATCTATACTAAATGTTTTTATAAACAGTTTCTGCTGCCAGCTTTTCATCTGGATATAAATTACATGCTGATCTGGAAGTAAACATTTAAATAATTTATAATTGGTGATAATACAGTTAGGGCAGAAATGCATAAAATCATAAGGACCTAAGAATTTTATTGCGCAAATATTTTAATTGCATTTATATTCACAAGATGTTGCTTTCTACCTCAAAGAACACAAAATAGCTCAAATGCTAAATGCTGTAGGTAGCATTACTGTGTGCCGTGCAACCGGTTTAGTGGTTAGCATTGCTGACTGCAAAGGGCCTGGTTTCGAATCCTGGTGGCGTGGGGACACTCTAAAGATGCGATGAACCGAAAGTCCTCTCAAGAGGTTGGTGATAGGGGAAGATGGAGTGGGAGACCCTTGGACTCATCCCTCTGGGATGCTCTTCATCAAAATCGGGAGTGGAACTGAGCTAAATCGCACTGTCTCCTGTAAGGTGCTCAAGACTATTGCCAGGTCAGAGAAGTGAGCTAGCCTAAAAATAAACTAAAGCATAATGGGCAGCTGGAACAGCATTTCTTTGAGGTATTTTTACACTTGTTAGGTAGTATTTTTTAAAATTGCCAGTGGAATGGTCTGTGGCATCTATCTGTGGATCTGACTGAGGCAGAAAACCTTTCATGCTGTGACATAGTTTAATTTATCAACTATCAATCTATATTGCAAAAATATGATTAAATTCCAAAACTTTTCTTTCTCCTATTGAGATGAAACTTTTTCCTCAAAAACGTTATTAAAAGTGGAGTGCATATTGTAGAACTCTTGGAAAAAGATTGTAACTGTATGTATTTCTGCACCAGTTGCACTTTAAAATATAAAATCACTTTAAATGGCAAAACGATTCATTTGCTACTTGCTGAATACAAAAAAAAAGTAGGTATATGACAAAGCATATTTCACCTTTAGAGGCTTACTTACTCTAAATACACAATTTTATTTTCTATATTTAAGCCATATATTAACATGATTTTCTATAGGTCAACATATTGGATATTGATTTTCTATAGGTCAACATATTGGTTGTCATGTTTATCAAAACATGACAATTTCTGTAATGACTCATGTAATATATACCAACACAGATGGTTCTACAGATTAATCACATGAAAGAACTGCACTCAAACATGGATCAATGAATACCACAGCTGTCACATATCCTAAAAATTTAGCAGTGCCAAGATAAATACTTTTTCCTGCGTAAACATAGATTAAACTCAGCAGTGGCAAAAATAAAAGTAATCAAAAAGCATCACACAGAATTCTTACATATATGCTGCTGAATTAAATTTATGTATTTAAATTTTAAATTAAGAAAAATATTGCAATTTTTGATTTTGGAAAACAAAATATGTTGTAATACAGGTAGGTGGCCTTAAAGCTTTAAAAAGAAGAAGTAATGTTGCTCTGCTATGTACCATTAAAACATCAAATGAAAACGAATTTAAGTAAAAAAAGTTATACATACTTTGATTCTCCTTAAACTAAATCATTTTAATGTTTATTCATGGAAATATTTTTCTTAAGCATTATTTTAGTTCATGCAACCTTTCATTTACTGCAAAGAAAATCAGTTGATGCTTAAAAGAAGTTCCTGCAAATACACTATTCAAGGCATACAGTAATTTCTGCAAAGAAAAGAAAAATGCTTGAATGAAACTTTTTAACATATGAAAATGTTCTTATTAATGACGCCACTGTTGTGACTAATCTCGCTTGTCTGACTTAATCAGAACAAGGCCACAAATTTTATCAATGGCAAGGAGTACAAGACTGCATCTGTTGTTGGCAAGAGCATTGGGCATCATATAAGTATCAGGTTTTGCCCAGTTCCTCCCTAATTTTGAGGGAGACCACCCCTCTTCCCCTACCACCAAACCACATGAGAAGACTTTCAGCTCGCCATAGATTTACAGTGCCCCCATGCTGCAAAAATACTATATACAGTACAAAGTCCGAAATCCAGACATCCATTATCTGGAATAATCTAAAATCTGGACCTCAAAACCAAAGATCTTCTTGTAGGCCTAACGCATGCGCATTTGATTCCTCCCTCCGTGTATAATAAAACATCTGGAGAGTCCCAATTCTTAATTTCACTTCAACACTAAATAAAATACCTCCTTATTTATAAAACAGTCATTTTAGCATAAATTTGTACAATCAGTAATTTGGCTCCATTTCTGCGTATTTGCTTGGCACACATCTCAAACCCAAACATTCCACACAGATTCATTGATCTGACGTCATGAATCAATATTTATTATACTTTCCTTTCATCACCACATGTTTATCAAAACATGACAACTTCTGTAACGACTCATGTAATGATGCCTAAACAATTTTTTTATGTTAGTAATTGAATAATAAAGGAGTATGGTAACCTTTGGCGATGATTACAGATTTAAGTTAAAAGCACTAAAAAATGTTGACGAGGAAAAATTCACCAAAACTCTTTCCGTATGCTAAAAATAGATTTTGTTGATAATATTCATACACCAGCCCACAATAAGGCTTAAGTATATGTGGGAATTTATTTATTCAGAACTCTAATAAGCCTTAAGCATGCACAAGAAATAGACATAAGTATAATAAATAACTAAACTAATAATACAATTCAAGCTTGTCTAAGTGTGCAATAGAAGCAAGATAAAATTTAACGGAACTTGTCGTTAGTCGCCAAGCTCATGATGCATAGCCAAATACGTATAGTGAAGGATAGCTAAATTTGATGATGCTAGCCGCGAATTTTAAAGATTTTCAGATATCACAAAACAAAGGTGAAATTTTCCAGTTAACGGATTTTGTAAAGAAATGTGGAAAAGTGGTAATAAATGAAAAGTTTTTCATTGCAATGACAATGCTTTTCAATCATCAATCAATTAATGAATGGCGAAATTTCTAGATCCAGAAAATACCACTTTCGATAGTAAAGAAAGTGACAGAGAAGTTATGGAAAATGAGAAATTTTCAATTGACAAGTTAGTCGGAATTCTCGAAACAGCAGTTACAGGACTTCAACAATGTAACTAAGCAAGAGATTATAAATAAATATTAGCTTTTTTTTTTTTTTTTTTTTTTTTTTTTTTTTTTTTTTTGTAAACAGAAGATTATGTCAGCTGAACAGCAGATCATGTCTGTCTACAGACTTAAAGTATTAGCACAAAAAACAAAGCAACTTGCATTGAAAGAAATGTTTAATAAGGTAAACAAATAAATATTAAGCTTTTGTTTCGTAAATTCCGATCATAAATACTTCATTATTTCATAAATTATGATTTCATATTTTTAATTTTATAATTTCTACATGCCATCTTACTAGATTTAAACTGATGATCCCAAATCTGGAATTGCCGAAGTCCCGACGAGCCTGGATTTTGGACTTTGTTCTCTATTTACAACATTGATTCCTTCCCTGGGATTCAACCTACGGTAGTCAGATTCATTAACCACTATCCTGTTGGCAACACTTTTGTTGTTGTTAATTAATGCTCATTTTTCTGCCCAAGCCCACGAAATTTCTCATGCCAAGGAGTTCAAGATATGTCTGCCATTGGCAACAGCTTTAAACACCGTATAGGTGACAGTGCGACCTAGCTGAGTTCTGCTCCCAATTATGATGGACACCAACCCGAGGGGATGGGTCCGAGGGTCTTCTACCCCTCTTCTCCTCACCCCACCAACCTCTCGAAAGGACTTTTGACTTGCCATATATCTAAAGTGCCCCCATACTGCACAGGTACTATATATTTACAACATTGATCCCTACCCTGGGATTCGACCTAGGCCCTTCGGTAGTCAGAGTCACTAACCACTATCCTGTTGTTTGGTGCTTTTATTAATGTACAAGACTCAAGTAACTTACCAGAGATTTGGACAAAGAAAAGTCATGGAATGTTGAGGAAAAGGTTGCAGTTTATTAAGGCTTTAGCTAAACTAACTGTGATAAAATATTAAAACCAATTATTTAGAAGTATGTAACTTATTAATATTTGTCACGATCTATTAGCATGGCCACAGATGAGAGAACATTCTTAAAAATGAAATTAATAAAAAATATATTACAGTTCAGTGAAATTACAATACCAACAAGCTCCAAGTTACAGCACAGATATTTAAAAGAGTGATGATAAATGATACAAGTTAGGACACTCTGGAATCATAAAAGGAACATGCTATATATTCAGTAAACACAATTAAAGGATATATAATGGATTCCACGTGGTATAA